AATCTTGCACATTTGAAAGATATAGCCGTGATTCCAGTAAAAATTTCTAATTATTTTCAGATTTGAAGATTAGAGGAGACAAAATACAGCCTTGCCTCACTCCACGCGTGATTTTCACATAGTCAGTGTGTTCACCTTCAACTCTGGGATTTGCTGTCTGATTCTAGTCAAGATTTCTAATTATTTGCAGATTTTGGTTGTTAATTCCTGCTTCTTTTAGTGTTTGCATCATCTTGGCGTGCTGTGCTCGATCAAATGCTTTTTCGTAATCAACAGACATGCGCATACGTCGCAGTTGCCTCTAGTAGCGACAGCATTTGTGAACCCTAATTGGTGAGGGGAAATTTGACTTTCACACAGCATGTAGATTCTCTTATGAATTATCTTTAGGAATAATTCTACAGGAATTCTATTAGGAACAAAACTAAATGGTCCAGTCTGTATAAAAGCTGAAACTTAAAAAGTTCTCAAAAATTTATCTTATAAGTTTATTATACAGGAAAAAAAGTCATTTTGGTGGATAACACTTTATTTTTAACTATTATTTATATAAAACAACCCTAATATCAACCCTATACCTGGTAAATATTTTGATTACCTGTGTTTAAAAGGAACTTTTTACTTTTTTACAAAATTTGCTTACACAACAAAATTAAGGTACACTCTTTATGTTCCTTTTAAAAATATGTTCTCTTTAAGAAAAACAAAAAGTAATATATCTAAAGTTAACTCGATTTGAACATGGCAGTATTATGGCAGTTTCTTTTTTAATAAGTCTATAATTTTTTTTAACCATACTGCATATTATAAATGAACACACTTATAATAAAAATATTCATATCTACGTACTAAAACTAATTATTTATATGACCATTTTCCCCAATAGGGTAGAAAATAGTAAAAAAATTAGAAAGTAATAAAATAAAGCAAACGATGTTGCAAATTATTGGGTAAAAGTGCTTGGAAACACAAAAATCAAATTAATTAAGGAATTACAATCGTTGAATACCGTTGATACAATTGATAACTTTGAAGACTTTATTCTAACTCATTACGGAGTTTTTCAACCTTCCATTTCTTCCTTCTGAGATTTTCCTCAATCCAATCTACATTGCCATTCAATGGTTATTACTATTCCCTTGCGCTAATGGCAGATACAACTTCTATTATTTTTATTGGATGACATCTTGAAGTCCTTATATTTGCTGGATATAATACCTAATATAGTCATTACCCCATGCCCATGCTTGGTGAATTACACTTTATTTTTACAGCATGGCATGTACCAAATACTCAAATACAAAGCAAAAACCTTCGACCAGCAATGGTACTGACATATGGAACTGAAACATGAGTTTTTAACAACAACAGATCCACAAATTCCAAGTGACTCAGATAGATATCGAATGCTGAATGCTCAACATTAAACTCAGCGATCGCAAGTCCAATGAAAAAATAAAAATACGAACAAAAGTTACGTTACATTAGTTAAGATGTAATCCAAAAGATCGCCATGTTAAAATAGTACAGGACATGGCACATAGGAAGAATGGGGTACAACCGTTAAACGAAGCGAATTATTGAATAACGACCAAGAGCAAACAACAGAAATAGAGGCTGACCTCAAACCAGATGGACTGATCACATGAAGCGAATGGCTGGTCACGATAGGATGCAAAAACAACAAACCGAAATGAATAGACACATCTAAGGGAGGTTTACAACAATAGCTGTTCTAGATTGTCACTCTAGAATGTTTTGCTTCAGTAAAATGTTAAGTGCAAGACTTAAGCTGCCACCTAATATGTGTAGATAATGTCTTCCATTGATTTCTGTTTGGCGTAATCTTGCATTTTGGAATAAAAAGCAAGGCTTTCGGAAAAATATATCATAAGCCATGTTGATAGACAATTAAAAAATACAATAGATAATGATAAATGGCAAAAGAACTGAACATGTGATGTTCAATATTTCTGTAGGATGATCTTATTAAAAAAAGAATGAAGAAAGAAAAATAAGTTTAAATGATAATAAAAGAAAGAACCCTGCAATATGTCAAATATATAATGTTTCGAGAAAAATAACATTTTGCAGCCATAATCCAAGACAAAAGAAGAAGTTTGGGAAAGAAAACGAATGTTTTAGCTTAAAAATAAGTTACCTAAGAAACTGAGAATAAGAATGAGGTAATGGTGTGGTTGCAGCTTAAAATAACTCTTTAAGACAGTTGCTTCGAATGTTAGAGTGGCCAAGATCATTACCAACACGGTCATGAACACAATGGTTACAAGCGAACTGCTAAATTGTCTTCTTTGCTGTGAAGAATCTATGTATAAAGGATATTGGCTTCTTTGCTGTGAATAATCCATGTATAAGAGATTTTTTTGACGAAAATCTTGTACCTTCATGCTGTGTTCGTTTTTTTTTTCATCTTGTTACTATTAAATACATAGACAGGAAATGTAACTCATTAACAAAACAACTACAATCGTCTCCTCTTAATAGATAGAAAACCCACAAAACAATTCTCGGTACCCTTTAAGGGTACATAAAGGATTCTCTAAATATTGTACATTTTACTACAGTAACAATAACAATATGAAAATAATGAAACATTGCGAAGCAGGATAAATAAGAAAATAAAAGAGGTACATTATAAATTTGTAAATTGTGGTCATTTTTCTATACAGAGTGGCTCAAAAGTCTGGAAACGGCGAATTATCTCGTAAATTGCTAGTCACAATTGTACAAAAATTGAGCTACACCTATTTTGGGATATGGAGATTCCATATTTGATATTTGCAATGTTGCCAGATTAACTGTTTCTCTTATATTATTACTAACTTTGGTTTTTCAAATTCATCACCCTGTATATTCAGTCATTATTGGAATCTCATATAACCATATGTAACTAATAAATAGAATAATAACCAAATAAATGTTTTAATACTAACTATTTTCAACTACATTAAAACGTAACAATTAATAGATTACAACATTTTTTAACATAATGGTTACTCTATCAAGTGTTCAAAATGTGCTCCATTTGTGAGTTGACAGTACCCTAATCGATGGTAGAATGCGTCTACCACATTTCTCCATGATTGTCTGGAAATTATTCGAGATTAATCGATAATTTGTAGATAATTAGCTCTGCAAGACTTGCTAGTTTAGTTTTGTAAACTGAATTTTTCAAGTATCCCCAATAAAAATAATCTTTAGGATTGAAATCAGGTGTACGTGGAGTCCATTCAATTCGACCTCGTCTACCAATCTATCGTTCGGGAAATATCTCATCTAAATAACGCCGAACTTTTACACCAAAATGAGCTGGAACTCCATCTTGCTGAAACTATATCTGATTAAAATTAACCCCAAACAAGTTTCTTAGTGTAGGTACAATTTCATTTCTAAGAAACATGTCGTAACTATCTGACGTTAAATTTCCTTCGATAAAATATAGCCCAATTAACTGAGTGCCTACTATACCTGACCATACATTTAATTTTTGTGGTTATTGAGTATGGTTTTCACGCATCCAGTGTGGATTTTACACTTTCACGCTATGTAAAGGTTGCTTAATCGGAAAAACATATTCTGTTAACGAAATTTTCAATATTTTTAATTTTATCAATCATTACCTCAGTAAACTAATCAACGATCGAAGTCATCTTCACTTAATTCTTGCAATAAGTTAATTTTGTATGGTTTAAATTTATTCTTACGTAATACACATAAGACAAGAACGACCTACATCACGTACCTGTGCAACTCTACGTGAGGATGTACGTGTATCTTCAACAAAACTTTGCATTTTATCTAAAGTTTTGTTGTCATTCATAACTCAATTCATTCATATCTTACAGTTCTTTATACCGTCGCCTTATGAATAGAAGAACGGTTTGCGAAAATATCATTGAACAGGTTGGCTACTTCACAATAAAAAATTTTTCTGTCACCGTACCCTCTCATCATTAGAATAGTAATTCGTTATTTTTCGTTAAGAGCCATTTTAGAGAAGCAATTTATCTTACATAACTTGTCTAAACACAAATACTGTGAGTTTTAGTTAATAATGTAAATGGTGAACAAATGTCAAAATCACAGCATTCTACATTTAAATATTTAAATTTATTAAAATCTACATATTTTGCACTGTTTTATGTATTTAAGACCTTCCAGACTACATAAAAGCATAAGTGTTACAGATGGTTAAACCCTTATTGAATAGGAGATTCCAATAATGACTGAATATACAAGGTGATGCATTTGAAAAACCAAAGTTACTAATAATATAAGAGAAACGGCAAATCTGGCAACATTGCAAATATCAAATATGGAATCTCCGTATCCCAAAATAGGTGGACTTCAAATTTTGTAAAATCATGACAGCAATTTACGAGATAATTGGTCGTTTCCAGACTTTTGGGCCACTCTGTATATGGAAGACTATTTTATAGAATTAGATCGATGATTAACAAATAGATTGCATATAATGCAAATATAATATATTGCATGCGCATTGGGAAGAATGATACGCATACCTTGGGTGGATAGAGTTCGAAACGATGACGTCCTTAAGAGAGCTGGAGTGGAAAGAGAACTCTTTGAATTAATTAAAAAACGCAAGATTGATTACCTTGGGCACATATTGAGAGGAGCAAAATATGAAATACCACAGTTAATCCTACTGGGACTAATCCTACATAAAGGGAAGATCGAAGGTAGGAGAGGAGCCGGCCGCAAACAATTATCCTGGTTAAGGAATATTAAAGAATGGACAGGAATACATAATACAGGCGAGCTGTGTCACGCCGCCAAGAACATAATTCTAGTAATGAGATAGTCGCCTACGCACTTTGGTGTATGGCATGTTAAGAAGAAGAAGAATTGCATATAAAAATAAAGAAATCTTTACAGTATCCAAACACGATATTGCAGTAAATTATCTAATCTTAAATTTACATTAACTCTCCATTCAGACTTTTACAACGATAATCTTATTGATCTTTTCTTGGAATAAACTGTAGCGCTTGTTGCGTTTTTTTAATAATATCCAAAGTAGAATCTAGAACGTGACCTAAAGACGGTTTTGGGAAACTTCCGAACTGAGGTGAAAGTTGTGGGATATGCGGAAGCTGGTTTGATCCCCAACCACCGCCAGGTCCCCAACTCGCACTCGGTCCCCAGCTTTGACTTGGTCCCCATCCTGATCCCGATCCCCATCCTGCTCCCGATCCCCATCCTGATCCCGATCCCCAGTTAGAACCCCACGGTTTCCATTGGTTTTGCGGGAATTGCCATTGATTTTGTGGCCCATTGGATCCCCATCCTTGCGACCATTGATACGGATTGTTGTTGTGATATTGCGGTCTGTATTGGTATTGCGATGGATAAAATTCCGAGAATGTCTAAAACAGTAAAGTACAAGGTTGATAATAAATTTGATATACATGGAACGCTTATAAAATATTAAGTATTAATAGGATCGATACAAGGAGTTAGTACTTACCCAACACAAAGTAATAACATTTTAATCTTTAACTGTTAATTGATATTATTTACAAATGAAATTGTTAGTAGTGGTGAGTCACTGTGATTGCTATTGTTTTCATTCTTTTAAGGTATCATTTATTATAAATAGAAACAATCTGAATAATGGTTTTCTATTAAATATGGTTGTCACGTGAGTAATTTGTTAAAGGAAGTAGATTTTATGATAGAAAATTCATATTTGTAATATGTTTCGGGTATACACGGTTCACAGGATAATTTCCGCAATTTGTTATGACATTATCATCATAGTTATCAACATATTTCGATGAAGTTATTAATTGATAGCAAAATATCTATAAAAACTCGGCTTTTTGTGGTGTGAACTTTTCTTAAATTAAATTTTTACAGATGTTTCTCTCAAGTTTTCTTCTTTATTTATGGACCAAGTGGTCTATAAAAAACGACTACATTTGAATGTGAGAGGTGGCATTCTGATTTTTGACTTTGACTTGACTTTTATTTGAAAAAAATTAAAATATTTAAGGGACTAAAAACATCGTTTTTTTTTTCTACTTTTCGTGCTTATAACTTTAAAACGATTCATTTTAGATTAAAGCATAATAAAACAGCGATAATTAAATTTTCTATAAGATATATATTATTCTATAAGAACATGAAATTCGAACAACCTGGTGTAATTATATAAGTGAACTGTATAATGATGATAGACCCGAAGAACCGGAGACTTTAGTTGAAGGTGAAGGACCAGAAATACTGCATGCTATAAAGTTAGCAAAGAACAAGCAAGCCGTTGGCCCTGATAACATACCAACAGAGATGTTAAAGCTTATAAATGAGGAGAACATTGGAATACTGGTCAAACTTTTCAATGATGTTTTTTCGACTGGTGATATCCCTGAAGATTGGTTAAAGTCCGAATTCATAACACTACCAAAAAAACAACGTCCGAAAAACTGTAGCGATTATAGAATGATAAACCTTATGAGCCACACTTTGAAAATATTTCTACGCATCATCCACAGTAGAATCAGAGATAAATGTGAAGAAGATCAGGATGAAACACAATTTGGCTTCAAAAATGGACTGGGAACTCGGGACGCCCTCTTTGCACTAAATGTATTACTGCAGAAATGTCGAGATCAAAGGAAATACGTCTTTGCTATATTTATTGACTATGAAAAGGCCTTTGATCGAGTACAGTAATATTTAAGATAGAAATATGTAAAATACAAAGAGGTGTCAGACAGGGTTGTAAACTATCCCCACTGTTATTTAATTTTTATTCAGATCGAATATTTAAAGAAGCGCTGCATAATTTGGAATGGGGCGTGAAAGTTAATGGAATTCTGATAAATACAATCAGATATGCAGACGATACAGTTATTTTAAGTGATGACATGAATGGATTACAATGCCGTTTAAATGCCATTGATGAAGTGGGAAGAGAGTTTGGCCTAAACATAAACTGTTCAAAAACAAAACACATGGTGTTTAGCCGTTTAGCACATCAAGGTGAACGATTCTATGTTGATGGTCACATAATTCAAAGAGTGTCCAGTTTTAAATATCTTGGTTGCCATATTACTGAACAAGTAGATCCAGATCAAGAGATAAAATGTAGAATCGAGATAGCCCGCACGACATTTTTAAAAATGATGTCATTCTTCTGTAATAATAACTTGCAACTTCAACTTCGAAAGCGCATGGTTAAATGCTACATTTGGTCAGTCCTCTTATACGGTGTCGAAGCATGGACATTAAAAATATCCACGATTAATCGTCTGGAGGCCTTTGAGATGTGGCTGCACAGACGTATACTAAAAATTCCATGGACGGCTATGCTGACAAATGTGGCAGTCCTTGAAAGAGCAAATGCTGCTCGCGAGCTGCTTGATAACATCAAATGTAGAAAGATGGCCTATTTTGGACACGTAGTAAGGGGAGACCGATATAATATTCTTCAACTTATTATGATGGGTAAACTCGAAGGACGCAGAGGAATTGGTAGAAAGCAGGCCTCTTGGTTGAAGAATATCAGGGAGTGGACAGGAATAAAGAAAGCTGAGCAACTATTTAGAATAGCTCGCGACAGAGACAGTTTCGCCATGTTAATCGCCAACGTCATGGGGACTTGATAGGACACGTTAAGAAGAAGATAAGATATGACTGGTTAAAAATGTTTTAATGTATTACTCTTACTGCAAAATCGCAACACGAAAGGTGAAACCGATTATAGACTACGTAATAGTCAAACAAGATACTACAATGGAGATAAAAGATGTGAGAGTCAGAAGAGGAGCATAATGTGGAACCATAACCATTAACTACTGACAGCAAAAATGTGCATTGATTGGAACATAACAAGACAGAAGAACCGTTGAACACTATAAGAGAAAAACAATACAATATACTCCTCAAACTAGTGTAAGAACAATCAATAAGAGAACTATACAAATAATAATTGATATAAGGTTGAATGCTCGAATAAATGAACTTTGAAAAATTAAGCCAAATATCGAGCACAAGTTTAATCAAATCTTGCCCAAGTACTTTCGCTATCTACAGCATCATCAGGGGGATTTCGTCAAATTTTGGCTATCCAGCAATTACATTCTGCGCTTGCTGGATAGCCAAAATTTGACGAAATGCCCCTGATGATGCTGTAGAGAGCGAAAGTACTTGGGCAAGATTTGATTTAACTTGTGCTCGATATTTGCCTTAATTTTTCAAAAAAAATATATACAAATAATGTTTAGATATTTACGATACTACTCGCAACCAAATTGATCACATCATTTTAGATGCCCGTCATTAGAACAATATTATAGACGTAAGAAGCCTGAGAGGAATAGATGGAGACACAGATCTTTACGTAGTCAGAACAAAAGTCAAACACAAATACAATAAACCCACAATTGAACATGGACGAAATGTACAATACAGAGAAGCAACAAAACTATAGAGAACAACTTGAACAAACAAATAATAACCAAGACAGCGGACAAGATCTTTGGAAGGAGTAGGCAGAAGAGAGCAAAAACATGGTATGACTGACGGAAACAGCTAGAAAAAAGACAAACAGTAAGGAAGACCTGGATACAACTGCAAACAGACCAAAGTAAAAAGGAATATGACGACTGCCGAAAAGAAACAAGAAATTTAATACGCACAAAGAAAAGAAACTATGAACAACAAAAATATGAGGCTTTGGAGAGAGACCGGCCCAAACCAGGCTCCAGAGAATTCTATAAAGCGATTTCCTCGGAGAAAAGAGGACATAGAACTAATTCCATCCATACACTAAGAGACAATCAAGGCCGTATGATAATCGACGGTAAAGAAGTAACTGAAGAATGGAAAGGGTATTTCAGGGACCTTCTAAACATCATACAGGAAGAACAGCACAAATAAAAGATCTATATCACCTCGGACATGCCCGTCAAAAATCCTTCCTTTGAAGAAACCAAAAAGGCCTTAAATAAGCTGAAAAATTACAAAGCGCCGGGTACGGTCGAGATACAAGCAGAACTTTTGAAATATGGGGGAGACGCACTACATCGCCAAATCCACCAGCTAATAACGCACATTTGGTTAGAAGAAAGGATACCAGCACGACGGAAGGAAAAATAATAGTGCCCATCCACAAAAAAGGGACAAAACAAAATACGCGAATTATAGAGGAATTTCACTCCTAAACACGGCATATAAAACCCTCTCTAACATCATTTTTAGTAGACTAATCCCTTATGCTGAAAATGTCCTAGGCGAATATCAAGCCGGTTTTAGGACAAACAGATCAACTATAGATCAACTATTCACGCTGAGACAAATTCTAGAAAAGGGATGGGAGTATAACAGACCCATACAAAATCTTGTTCTGAAGCTATTTTCTTGTGGCATTTTAAATTAATTACTATTTAACTGGGAATAAGCCACAATTAAAGATAAAAATACGTTTATTGACGTTTCAATTTCCACTTCGGAAATCGTTCTCAAAATACAAACAGTAAATTAAACAAGTTTTGTTTTTTGCTACATAGTGAAAAATTCTTCTAATAATTTAATTTTATCTGACTTATTTATATTGACAATTCAGACATACATTATGCATTTTAAAGTAGACGACTTTAAAATGATATTGCCAATATTGTTGAGTTGCGCTCCTGGGACGACTTTCCTTATAAGATAGTTCATTCGATTACATGAAATCAACTTTAGCTTGAGAATATCCGTCAGAAAAAAAATCATAGCATGTAATTCGTCTTTAAAACGACAAACACATGAAATGATGACAGTAAAATTCTGCTGTTAGTGATTCATAGGGTATGATAATGAACATAGTGTTCAGTGGAATAATTCAAATGTAGTCCTAAAAGAAACGGATGGTAAAAAAAGAAAAATCAAAGAAGCGGCTCTAATTATGCTGAATGAGGCCAATTCGCAAATTCCTCGGCAGAATGTAGTAGGATCTGGTTACCAATATTGAAAGAGGAAGTCATTAATAAGAAAATACCAGTATTAGTAAGTCAGTAACCTATAAAGGATACATCATTTATGTTTTTTTTTCAATAACGAAACATATAAAATTAGAATTTTGGTGTTTATTGAAGGTAAACTAAGTGCACGAACAAATACTTACCATGTCGGGATAGTATTATGAGGATTTTTTCCTGGTTTTTTCCTCATAATTTACTATGGAATCACTAACAGGAGAATCTTACTGTCATCATGTCATGTGTTTGTCTTTTTAAAGACGAATTACATGCTATGATTTTTTTTTTCTGACGGATATTCTCAAGCTAAAGTTGATTTCATGTAATCGAATGAACTATCTTATAAGTAAAGTCGTCCCAGGAGCGCAACTCAACAATATTGGCAATATCATTTTAAAGTCGTCTACTTTAAAACACATAATGTATGTCTAAATTGTCAATATAAATGAGTCAGATAAAATTAAATTATTAGTAGAATTTTTCACTATGTAACAAAAAACAAAATTTGTTTGATTTACTGTTTGTATTTTGAGAACGATTTCCGAAGTGGAAATTGAAACGTCAATAAACGTATTTTTATCTTTAATTGTGGCTTATTCCCAGTTAAATAGTAATTCATACACAATCTTTTCATAGACTTTCGACAGGCATATAATAGCGTAGAAAGAAGCCATGGCGGAGTTCTCAATACCAAAGAAACTGATTCGGATGACCAAAGTCTGAATGGAGGGTGAAATATCTAAAGTACATGTAAATAATAAACTGTCTGGCAGCTTTGAAATCAACAGTGGACTCAAACAGGGTGATGCGTTATCTCCACTACTTTTTAACCTTGTATTAGAGAAAGCCATGAGGTCGGTCAAAATAAAAACAGAATTGCTATCGTTTCAAGGTCCCAAGCTGTTACTCGCATATGCAGATGGCATAGATCTCGTTAGAGACTCCATCCTATCCACGAAAAACATCTTCAACAAGGTGGAAGGAGCAACAAGTGAAGTAGGGCTAAAGATTAATGAAGAGAAGACGAAATATATATGTGTAAATAGAACTACACGAAGACACAGAATAGGACAAAATGTGACGGCCAACACCTTCAATTGTGAAAGAGTACAACGTTTTAAGTATCTGGGGGCCGTAATCACAGCTGACAACGATGTTACTAGAGAAATAAAAGACAGAATCCAATCTGCAAACCGCTGTCTATTCGCACTGGATAATCCATCGTCAGACCTGTAATAACATACGGATGGACCATGACCAAAGCCAAACGAAGAAAAGCTCAGACGCTTTGAACGAAAAATACTTAGAAAAATTTTCGGACTTCACCATGACATCACCACTAACCAGTATAAGATCAGAATCAATATCGAATTAAAAGCACTCTACAATGACGCCAATATTGTCCAAGAAATCACAGCGAGTAAGATAGGCAGGCCACATGGGAGCAGTGGGAGCAGATTCCCATAGGCAAAAGACCACGCGGACGTCCCAGAATGCGATGGAGAGATAACATCCAAGCAAATCTTTGGAAAATGAACATTCCATTTAACCCGATGTTGGTGGAAGACCGAACAAATTGGAAAAAAGTTATACAATCAGCCAAGCCCCACCCAGGGTTGTAGCACTACGTGGTGATGATTATGAAATAAATAAACCAACAAAAAGAATAATTGAAGAAAAAAAGGAACTATACAGAAATGGCTAACTACAAACAAGGATGAAGTTTATAAAGAATATAGAGAAAAATATTGAGGAGTGAAAAAACAAATAACACAATAAAATAATGAAGAATGGGAAACAACCTGTTGTAAACTGTTTTACATATTTTTTGGGGTCTCAAAATTAACATGCTCAGCAAAATTCAGCTTGTTCTCTGACTGGAGTATAATATTAGACAATTTATTTAAAAATGTTGTGTATTCTTCATAATATAATATTCTTTATGAGAGTCTGAATTGTTAATATTAATAAGTCAGAAAAAATTAAATTATTAGAAGAATTTTTTATCAAATTAACACAAACAAAATTTATTTAATTGAATTTTTTTTATTTTATTTTATTTATTTAATGTTTTATACAAAACAAAAAAAATACAAAAAATAGTGAAGACCACCAAGCTTACAAAGAAACCGATAGACAACTACGAAAAATTATAAAACAAGAAAATAATAAAACATGGGATCAGAAATGTCAAGAAATCAATACATACATCGGAGGGAAGCAATCTACAGAGGTATGGAATTTTATACAATCAGTAAAAAATACAGGAAAAGACAAAGCACAAATACACACCATAAAACCAAGACAAGGGAAAGATCACTATGAAAGCTTGCTGATAGAGACAAGACAAGAATACCTAGCGAATTCCCCAACACAGTCAGTACATATACAAGGAGAGGAAGCGAGGGTAGACATCGAAACAGTAAGGAAGGCTGTAATGACCCTAAAGAATGGTAAATCCGCTGGACCTGAGTGAACTATTTGAAAACTTAACTTATGTGATCAATCAGTGTCTAAATGGACACCCAGTACCAGAACAGTGGAGAACGGCATACATGTCCTCAATACACAAAAAGGGGGACAAAAGGAATTGTAATAATTATAGAGGCATATCGGTAACCAGCACCCTGAGCAGACTGTATGGACGAAGGAAGAACAAAGCGGGTTCCGTGCAGGAAGATCGTGCACCGATAACGTATTTTGTCTTAAACAAATAATAGAAAAAAGATCAGCTAAGAATCTAGAAACTCATATTACTTTTGTAAACCTGCAAAAAGCATATGACAACATCCCTTTAACAAAATTGTGGACAACGTTGCAAAGATCTAACATCAACCACACATTGAAAAATGCTGTACAAGAACTATATAGAGACTCAAAGGCACAGATAAAAACAGGAAAATATCTAACAGAAGAATTCCTGGTTACAAAAGGCTTGCGACAGGGATGCTGTATCTCACCAACCTTATTCAAGATATATGTTACAGCAGCATTGGAAAAATGGAAAAGAAAGGTGCATAGGATGGGTATAGAACTTAGCAATGAATGTGTATATACACTTCAGTTTGCTGATGACCAGGTAGTATTAGCGACCGACAGGGAAGACATGCAGTACATGCTTAGAAAACTGATAGAAGAATATAACGACTGGGGAATGAATGTCAATACAACAAAAACCAAATATCTTTGTATTGGAAACGAGTCAGATAACATAGACCTCGAAAACGGACAGCATATTTCCTGCTGTCAGAGCTATGACTACTTGGGTGTTGCCTTTAACAATAAGGAACTGATACACGGGAAATAGAAAAACGAATCACTCAAGCAAAGAAAGTCTTAGGATGTCTCAATGGTATACTGTGGAGTAAAGAGATAACGAAAGGAAAAAAATTTAATATATATGAGACCATGATTAAAACTACTCTTCTTTATGGCGCTGAAACATGGAGAATTTGTGAAAAGAACAAAAAGCGAATAGAAGCAGTAGAGATGGATGCAATGAGAAGATCTTTAGGTATTTCCAGACGAGACCGAATCAGAAATGATGTAATAGAACAACGTATGGGAATAGAAGGAAATATAACTCAAGATATAGAGAAGAAACGATTAAGGTGGTATGGGCATGTTCAACGGATGCCAGCAACAAGACTTCCCAAAAAAGTAGTAGAATGGCAACCGATAGGTCGACGGAAAAGAGGAAGACCCAGATTAGAATGGCAACACGGCGTAAACAAGTCCATGAGCGAAAGAAATTTAACAACAAACGACTGCGAAGATAGGAAGAGATGGTGTTTAGGTATCGGACAACATCGAAAGACGTTCTAAACCGATGTATATTTAATGTTTTGTATTTTGAGAACAATTTCCGAAGTGGAAATCGAAACGTCAAGTAAACTTAATTTTAATGTAAAATTGTGGCTTATTCCCAATACACATAGTAAATTGCACAAGAAAATAGCTTCAGAACAAAATTAGGAAGATATTGCTAAATAACAAGAATATAATATTGAAATAATAGTCAGTAGTGTGCCTTAAAACATATAACTCTATAATAAACATTATCTTTTTGTAATGTCCGTTTAAGACGTCGTCGTTGTGATAGTTTAGCAAATTATCGATGCAGTCAAATTGTAACTTTACTGACTCTATCTCACGAAAATCGATCAAGCTATGCTATACAGGAAAAAATAAGTATTATATTGATTTTATTCAAAAAGAATCGACGAAAAGTGAACACAAAAATTAGCACTTAACACATTAAAACCACATGAAAATCTGGTTAATGATAAAAAACTGAATCAACCGTCATATATAGTTAAAAGTTAGATAATACAGCATGCTCTACTTACCCTTTTGTTTCCAGCGCCCTGTTTTTGCTGGCATTCCACCAAAATGCATAGGTCAACGACCAAAACAATCAAAACAATAACAAATCTTGTTAACTGCATCGTTCCTTCTTACGTGTGTTAGACGACGGTGTGAAGAAAAGATAAGTAGTTCTGCTGCGACAAGAGCTAATGATTTATACTGAAACAATAGGTCATCAACAGAGATGCATCGTAGTATTTATTTTCCGATGACCTTCTGGGAACTCTGTGTGGTCCACATATAAAAAAAGTTGGGGTAGCATTGTACAGAACCGTCCCGTAGCGTTTTTATAATTATTAAATGAACCAGTTAACATTATGATTTTATTATCTTCATTCATTTAGTTACCTCTTCATTTCAGTAGGTAGGTATTTTTGTTTTGATTTCGTTCACTCTATTTTTGATAGGTTAATATATTTTCTATATCTCATATTATAATGTCAGTTTTGCTAGCATTAATATCGTCCCCGTTTATAATGAGAGTATATTGAGCTTATGCTTCAGTAAATTTGATATTCGTATGTTATGCTATTGATGAATGATGATACAATCACATCCCCAGATTCATATGAAACAGCAGTTGGTTGATCGATGATAACTCAGCGGGTTGGATCACTTCGTTGGATCAGGAGAGAGAGCATTCTCTCTCCTGATACTGACAAAGAATGTAGTGCGTAGATTCTTTGTAAGTAATTTTAAACTGTTTGTCCTTCTTTTAGTGTAGTGTTTTGTACATTTCTGTTTTCATACATGTTTCTCACATTCTACGCTTGCTGGATAGCTCATATTTGACGAAATACCCCTGAAGATGCTATTTTAAGCTTACTTTCTTACTTACTTTATCGTGTCCGGACATGTCATTCATAAAATTTCGGCCCAGTATCGGGCTACGTCGGTTCCATCTTTGTTGGCGAGCCACAAATCTTCAAGGGTATATCGATGAGGACAGTTTCTGCATGTAAGAAGATGTTCCATATTCTGTGTTTCTCCACAGTCACAGTTCACATCATCTTGGTTTATTTTTCCCCATTTTGCCATGTTTGATTTTACTGTAGCAACCCCCGTTCTTATCCTATTTAAGGTTTTCCACGTTTTAAAGTCTAGGGTCTGGCCGGCCCATTGAACCTGGGGAAGTGGAAAATACTCAGGCGGTTCATCCTTCACTGTTCCAAGGAAGCTTTTCCTAGATTTTAGTCGCTTTCGTGGTGTTCGAGTTTTGTACAGGGCATGCCGATCGTCCGCGATCTGTTTAATTTTCTCTATGTGTTCTGCAGCGCCTCTGCGTGTTGAGGGTTCTGCAAAACCCGCTGCTCTATATAGATTTGAAAGTGGCGTTGGTTTCATGCACCCTGTTACTATCCTGCATGTCTCATTTAGCGCAGTATCAACTTGTTTGGTGTGGACAGATCTGCTCCAAACGGGGCATGCATATTCAGCAGTTGAGAAAGACAGTGCCTGTGCCGTTGTTCTTAAAACGCCAGGACGTGCGCCCCATTTACTTCCCGTTAGCTTTCTGAGTATGCTGTTCCTAGTTGTTACTTTCCCTCTTGTTTTTATGCAATGTTGTCTGAAGGTGAGGGACCGGTCCAGAGTTACTCCAAGATATATAGGTTGGTTTGTGTGTTCTAATGTATTACCATTCCACACAATTTGGAGTTTTCGCTTGGCTTCCTTTGTGCGAAGGTGGAAAGCGCAGACTTGGGTTTTAGAGGGATTGGGTCTCAGAGAATTCTGCAGGTAGTACGCTGTCATTGTTTTTAAGACAGTTTCGAGTTTCTCCTCAACTTCTTTAAAACTATTTCCTTGAGCACATATCGCAAGATCGTCAGCATAGAGGAAGTGTTTGGTTTCGGTCGGAGTAGGTTGATCGTTTGTGTATATATTGAAGAGCATTGGTGCTAAAACACTTCCCTGTGGGAGGCAGATTTTTTGAACTCTCCACCTACTTACTTTACCCTCCAGCATAACGAAAAAACGTCTATTTTGCAGTAAGGAATATACGACCTTTCCCAGATGGTGGTCATTGAGAGTATCGTATAATTTGCGGAGCAATGTTTTGTGCCTTACTGTGTCATAGGCTGCTGTCAGATCTACAAAAGCAGCCCCTGTTATAAGTTTTTCTTCAAAACCCTCTTCAATGTGTTCTGTTAATGCGAGGACTTGACCGGTGCAAGATTTGCCAGGTCTGAATCCTCCTTGTTGTGGGATGAGGTGCTTGTCGACATTTTTTTCTATTCTGGCGAGTATGAGTCTCTCGTATAGTTTAAAAAAGTGACACAATAGCGAAATAGGTCTGTAGCTACTGGGGTCTTCTGGATCCTTTCCTGGTTTTAACAAGGCTATTACTTTAGATTTCCTCCATGATTTTGGAATTTTGCAGGTTTTGCAGCACGTGTTATAAAATTGCAAGATCCAGTTTTTTGCTCCTTGGCCTAAATGCTTTATTTGTTCACTGCATATATCATCCACACCTGCAGCTTTCCTGTTTTTTAACCTGTTCAGACCGTCGTGAAGTTCTTTTAGTGTAAAAGGAGTTCCTAGGTGGTTTGTCTCCGAATCCAATCTTCTCCTAGTGTTTGGGTCCTTATATCGGTTCGTAGTTCTTCCATTCGTAAGGAGTTGAGTAGCGACTTGGTTTGCTGTAACCTTGCAAGGTGGTTTATGTTCTTTTGGATCACCGCTGAGTTTTTTTACAAGGTTCCATGCTATTTTGCTACTATGTGTCATGTCCATTTTTTCCAGGGTCTCAATCCACTTTTCCTGTCTGGCTTGACTTAGCTGTTGGAGTAGTACTGCTCCGCAGTCAACCGTTTCTTGGCTAAAAGGGTCAGTGGAATAGAGGGTTTCGTATGTTCTCATTAGTTCTTTCGACTCGCTGGACATCCCGGGAACGTATTGTTGTCTACATCCTCTAGGGATAGTTTTTCTAGACACATTTTTGAGTACCTCTACGAATTTTTCGTAGTTCTCTACTTTTGGTTCAAGGCGTAGTAGTTCAAAATCTAGCATGTCTGCATACTTTTGCCAGTTTGCCTTTTTGAAGTTAAATCTCCTTCTGAATGGAATAGCTTGTGGTCTGACAATTGGGAAGATATTTATACCAATTGGTCTATGCTGAGTTTTTGGTATGGGGCCATATACTACTTTGGTACATCGGTCTTCGAGGTTGTTGCTTGAAAAACAGATATCCGGGTTATATCCTCTTTTCCAAACTTTGCTACGAAAAGATGGTGGAAGTTTAGGATCATGGATTAACGTGAGGCCACTCGTTTCGGCCCATGCTTCTACTGCGTCTCCATTTGCGTCCGAATTTGCATAGCCCCAGAGTAAACTGTGACTGTTAAAGTCTCCCAGTACAAGCTGATTGGCTTGTGATTGAAAATTAGTTGGGGGTGAAAATATAAAAGGCTGGTTTGGGGGCTTGTATACCGAGGTTATTGTGCATTTTCCGATCTCAGTGGTTATTATCTCTATACCGTGTACATTTGTTGTTTCCACAGATGAGACTATGGTTTGAGTTCTCACAAATACCGCGCTCCCATGCTTATTGTGTGGTATCTCCGCAATCAGTTTCATACCAGAGACTTTCGGTCTCGCTGCAGTTAGGTCTCTATTTTAAGCGAAAGTACTTGGGCAAGATTTAATTAAACTTGTGCTCGATAATAGCCTTATTTTTCAAAGTTCATTTATTCGAGCATTCAACCTCATATCAATTAAATAATATAATTATTGTCTACTGAGTGTCTTGGGCAATAGTTCATATTCTGCACCGACTTCTGAATGGGATCGTATCATCTTAGGTTACCTGATTCTATTGCTGCTGGGCGCCTGGACATCTACTTCTATATATTTTATTAAGATTGATAAGGAATCTGGACGATGATAATGATAATTTTGGTTGGGACTAATACATATTGTCTTTTTCTTGCGTACTCAAGCAATTATTATTTTTAGAAGGACAATCTGTAAAATCTCGTCTAATTGCCTAAGTTTCTCCACTGCTTATTATATATACATACATGCTTTTTGACTTGTTTAACGTGATTATTCTGTAATAATATATTTATCTTGGATCCTATCGTTGTATAAGTTAAGGAAAGTTTAGAATGGGAAATTCTCGTAATGAAAAAGAGAAAGCACTTGGTCAGTCTACATGCAGATTATGGATAAAAGGATTGTGTGTTTTCGTAAACCCTTCTACACTATGCTCTGAAATATCTTTTATAAATACAGTACATATAATGTGTTTGTGCCTGGATTGAGTTTTATAGTTTCATGATTACTGAGCCTGCGTTGTTCTTCTTCCTTGCTTGCTTTGTCTCTTCTTGATCTATCCTTGTTCCACCAGAAGCTAAGAAGTGGATTTACTTTTTCGGTTTAACGTTATATTTTTACTTCCTTAAATTTTAACTTTAAAGTAAAATGTTAACGTTATAATTTTTGCTCTAGAGTAAAATTGTAACGTTACATTTTTTCTTTGTGTTGAAATTTTACTCTTTTTATCCGATGTTAAAAAAATTGAAATTTAATGAGCATTTTTGTGTTGTTAAATATAATTTTCTTGAATTTACTGAATGTTTTGTTTACTAATTCTGCTTACTAATATACAAAATCAACTTACACTACCAGGCTCTTCATGAAATGCAGCAATATTTCTAAATACCGCATTTCAGGAATAGAATGGTTCAGAGAAGAATGTTCTATTATAAATTAAAATAGCTAAACAATATCTAAGGAAGATAAGTAGAGTTGCTAATAGAGTCTCAATTTTCCCTTAACAGTAGTAACTAGTTTTGGCGGTATAAAGTCCCTAGCTGTCGTACGGTCCTCTTCAATATCTGGAGTGCCTGGACTCTCAGCGACCACCGCTCTCGAAGATGATCTCGTATTACGATGATCCATCTTCGTATAGGAGTTTATTCAGATAGCGGCTTATTCGTATAAGAAGCTCTACCGAGCATCTGTAACAAGTGAGGTGACACCAGCAAACAGAATTCTCTAATAGTTCGACCTTTCTTACAACGATAATATTTCTTACTATGACAATAATTGTAAGAATTCTGATGCGTGGTATATGCCTCAAAAGTACAGAGATGTCGGTCTCCTTCTCGTTATGAATCGCCGCGTTCTGTCTCCTAGAAAGAGGCACAAGAATGCCGGTTGTGTCGGCTCTGCAATAGCCCGTTGCTTTGTACACCACCTTTCGCACTATCAGTATTTTCGGTGATTACTAAAAATGTATAAGGTTTAGAGTGACGAAGCGTCGTTGTGGCTCGACTCTGATCAGTGAAATCGATTATAAGTCTCCGTCCAGACTTCTCTTCGTATTCACCGTCGTTGTCCGATAAATCGCCGGTATCAGTTCGACACAATTTTTAATAGTCTTAAGACCACTGTCTTTCTATTTCAAAAAGCTCGTCTTGCTGATAAGAAGCAATTCTACAGCCGATACTTGGTTCTCGTGCACTGTGGTATATAAGCAGAAAGCGAATGATGCCTTCTTGTATCTTCGACGTCTGGGTTGAAAATGATCGATTTGGGGCGAAGGGCGATTTGGATATTTGGATTAATAATGAAACAACAGTTTTACTAGGAAGCAATACCAGGCCAACAAGGTCTAGTAGGGCTTGAAGTCTGACTACTGAAGTCCAGATCGGAAGGTTCGCTGCTCTTTTATACACATCGTGTTTGAGAATTCGCACCGCTCTTCCGCCGAGAGGCCAGACAGCGAAGTTTGCGCTGTGATTGGCCGGCCGGACTAGCAATCTTTGTCGAAATTGTCTATTCTGGTGACATAGCCCTTGTTCAAAACAAATTAGACCTTTCTCAACAAACTTAAATCGTGCTGAAAATGATACTGCGAATTTACATAGTATTTCTGTGATGCAGTTTTTTTTATCCCAATGTGAGAACTATACATACAAAATTTAAGTAGAAACTAAGTTTATTTTGACGTTTTGATTTTCACTTCGGATCTGGAAATCAAAATGTCAAAACAAACTTATTTTCAAATAAAATTTTAATTAGTTCTTTTTATTATTTTGTTTTCCTCATTAGCTATCGATGAAATACTGAATAGACTTTTTTTATTTTCTAATATATTCTATATTGTCCCTAACAACAAATAAATTATAAGAGGTTGCTTTTGCCGGTCCTGGTAATTTAGATTATTATATCTGATGTCCTTTTTTGTCTAAATTGCCTATAAACCATTTTCGATTCTTTTGTTAGCGCTTATTGTTATATTTTATACTACGCGTGTCATTTGTTCACATGATTATACATCAATTAGGAGGAAATGTTTTTTCATTTTAATGATATAATCATCTATTGGAACAGCGGACATAGAATTTATGATCTGAAATACTATGAACGATATTGTTTATTTTTTCAATAAAATATTTTATTCTAAGGGGTTCACATGTACTGTTGTGATCGTAAATGTAGTAAAATCAAATGTCGTTCGACCAGATATTATACTATTTGTATAATAACGAATATTAACTAAAATTAAAAGTAATAATTATCGCGGAGAAATATCTGATCTTATCTACTAGATATCTCAGAATCTAACATCAAATTAAAACTTTAATAGATAAAATTAAGTTGAATAATGCCACCCAGAAGATAAATATATTAAAATTAAATTTAACACTGCGTACCTAATTTAGTTGTTATTTGAAACAAAATATTCACTCGAGAGATCTTCTGAAATCGATTCTGCAAAAATACCGATTCTGCCAAATCCACCAACATGGATAGATTTGTTGAACATCTTGAAATATTTCAGCCAAGTGACGAGGAAAAAATTCGCTTGAAATCACCCAAACCAGATCCTGCGAGAATTAATAGGGTATTATGTATTCCATAGGTGAAAACACAGAACTCCAAAACAACATAATTGACAAAATCACCACCTAGCTCTATCTGAAGAATCCATGAAGTTCAAATCGAAAGAAGATCAACATTTTCACCAGAGTCAGGAATCAGAACGATAAATAGATTTAGACACCCCCCTCTCTCCAACAAGGTATATAAAAATTAACTATATATAAAAGTTGTTTAACAGGATGATAACGCTGGAGAAGTATGAAGACTGTTAAGAAAAACAGTAGGACAAAGTAAACTGAATGTAATTATATTTTCCAGCATGTATAGTCTAACAAGGTATCTAAGCGACTCTTTAATATTCAACTCAGAGCGATGTTATTGTTAGAGGTGTGAAATTACACAAACAAGGGATCTTCTTCTTCTTCTTTATTTTTGTATGTAAGCTTTAAAGCATGTTTCTTCTTCAATATTAGCCTCCTAAATTGTTTAAATTGTCGCACCATATTTTTCTTGGGCTGCCAATACTTCTTTGTCAATTTGGTGACATCGTGCTATTCGTACTATTCTATTCGTACTATCCGTCTTTCACAAACCACAGCTTAGCCAGTGGCGCACCCAGGGGGTTTGGGGGACACCCCAAGGGCACTATTCCGACACTGTTACTCACAAATTTTAAGACCTCAAAATCGAGATAGCATGAAAAATAGCATAAAAAAATTTCGGTGCCTAATCAACCAGCCCCCCCCCCCCCCCACTGGAAAATATCCTAGGTGCGCTACTGAGCTTAGCGAATTTTGTGTTGTGACGTCTACCTACAAAACTCAACTGACCCAGGAGCGCAATCGGATTGACTCATAATTTTTTTCTCTAAACAACAGGACTGTCAACTGTAATTTTGGAACTATTTAGAATCTGAATCGTATATAATGGTATCCAGAGGTGTTTCAAACGAGTAAAAAATTTCACAAATACACATAAAGACTTTTTTCAAGCTTGAAAATTGTTTTACTAAGTTTAGTCATGTCCTAAACAAACTTAAAGATTTTAATATATATAAAAACTCAATATTCCTTTTTTGTTTCAGCTATTCGAACGGTGGTTGTTCAATTGGGAGAACCATTCGAACCATATATCATAGAAAGAGGGATGCTTCCTTTAAAATATTACCACGATTTCAATTGCGAAATTGAGTCATTTAGTTACGCCTTTGGTCCATGTTGGGAGCCTGTTATCGCTCAGTGTAATTTAAGTAAGTCATTTTGTTATTTTATAGGATAATCACACATCATCACCGATATGATATTAGTGTTAGCGACGCCAAAATGTACCTATACTAAAATCACAGTCAAGATGCACTAGAAATAAACAAACCATTCTCCTTATTCAATAATGGAAATTTCATTTCCACATAATCATTTTTCTTCACAAAATTTCATGTCACTCTTACGAATAGAATGCATTGCAATAAGTCTAATTGGGATTCATTCAACTGTTATTAATTGTATGTTATGTAATTATTTTAACAGTTTTGGTTCTCTGATTTTTTTGATTTCAATTATTTTGATTCAAAAGCTCTTTAAGTTTGGCTTCCACCATTCAGAATATCGCTGTTTATATAATCTGGATGCAAATAGGTAATTTCTCGAACTTTCTGCTAATACCTATATCATATTTGTTAATTATTCATTCATTCACAGTGGCGTTTTAAAAAAACTCAGAGAATTGCGATCTTTGTGAAAAACGTACAGTCTTGGAATATAATTTTCATTTGTTTTATTTATAACCATTAAGCTTTGTATGTTGCGTTTATAATAAATGTATACCGTGCGCCTTATAATAGTTATAATAATAATAATAATAAAATATATTATTATTAATTTCAGTGTATAATTAGTTTTGTGCACACTTAAAAAATTAATGAATGGTAAATTGTAACGATGACCATTCTTCATAGTTAAAAATGAGGACTCCTTTTAAAGCGTTGTTTAATTGTCTATAAATATAAAACGTGAGTATGCATAGTTCCTGTTACTCCGAAGAGTATCTTTGTTATTTTTTCGACTGTCAAGGCTCTAAATACCGTTAAAGTTCGTATAAAAAATACGCTGAATAACTTGTTTGGACTTTTAATTGAGGATATACCTTTTAGAAGTAAATACTGTGCATAATAAAGTATGAAACAGGAGAGTTCCTAAAGTATTGCCTAAAATAGTGTCAGCTTTCCAAAATCAATTTGCTATCAAAATTGGCACAGAGGCATAATCTTAGACAAGAAATAGTATTTTATTTACAATTCCACTATCAAATACCAAACTTATAAACAAATTTGCAACTAACGTAAGGTTTCCGTTTTGACGATAAATCAAAACTAAACACACTTTAACTTAAAAGAACTCACAAAAACTCAAACCAAAATGTTCTACATGGTCTCCTTCGATTTCTATGCCTTTTCCAATTCTTTTTATAAAGGATTTTCGGACGTTAAAAAAATATTCTGTCTCCTTATAAGATTAGCTGCATTTTGAATGTATCTTCAAAGTTCGTCTGGTGTATTAATTTCATTGGCATAAACTGAGGACTTCATATGTCCCCAAAAATAAAAATCTAGCGGGTTGTACTCAGGACTTCTTGGTGGCCATTGAAAATCACTGCCTCTGCCAATCCATCGTTGAGGAAATACGTCATTAAGATGATTTCTAACAGCTAATGAAAAATGAGGTGGCGCTCCATCCTGCATAAACCACATTTTTCTTCTTACATCCAGTGACAGATCATCTAAAATATCACTAAGAGTATTTTCCAAAAAGAATAAATAAGAATCTCCATTTATATTCGGAGAAAGAACATAAGGTCCTAGTAGTTGGTTGCCTATAATGCCACACCAAATATTCAATTTAAACTCATGCTGAAAATGTCTAGCTTTAATAGCATGCGGGTTTCCTTCTTCCCAATAATGACTATTTCGCCAATTAAAAACCCCTCGTCTGGTAAAAGTTGCTTCGTCGGTGAACATAATACTCTTAATAAAGTGTCTGTCATTGCGATGTTTATTCAGAATACGTTGGCAAAACTGTAACCGTCGTGGAAGATCTGTCGGAAGTAAATTTTAAACAGGAGTGAAGTTATAAGGATGGATGTTCTCTTTGTTTAGCATTCTAACAATAGACGACTGACTTACTCCTATTGCTGCTGATAGATGTCGTGAACTTATTTCAGGATTTTCATCTACTTGAACCAATAGTTCAACTTCTTGATTAGGTGTGATTTGTTTCGGTCGACCACCCCGATTTTTAGTGTGAAATGACCCAGTTTCACCTAAACTACGATATAATCTTGCAAAAGTTTTGTGATTTGGGTGCCTTCTGTTTGCGTATAACATTTCATACATTCTGGCTACCGAGCGACCGCAAAAATTTTCTTGTGCTTATACGCAAATTATATCTCGCATTTCTTCATTAGTAAAATGATTGTGACGAGGCATTTCAATCAAAAAAAGTAACTTTTTAAAAAATGTAACATGACACTACACTCTCACATCAAAAATAATTTACTCTGAACAAATGACATTTACCAACAACAATTATCTGACAGTCCAAAGCATACTTTTAATAAATGAAATAATATTTGAAATCCTTTTTTAAGACTCTAAGCAGTTCGACTGCGTTTTTATCGAAAACGGTTGAAATTATCATGTTTAAACAAGAGTACCAATTTCACGTAAAAATGATGTTTACGTCATATTTTCTAATAAAAATTACTAAAAAGTTTCATCAAAAAAAGTTTGGACTCAATTTGATCATTAGGAATGATCCACGTGGCGCCCTCTATGCAGAAAACGTAAAATTGTAAATAAAATACTATTTCTTGTCTAAGATTATGCCTCTTTGCCAATTTTGATAGCAATTTATAAATATACAGGGAAACTATTAGCAAAAAACGAAAAACAAAAATTAACTTTAACACTCTGTATCTTTTTTCTCAGCAACATTTTATTAAGGCATATTTGGCCCAATAGCCATATTTTGGTCCAACTAACCTGTCCTTAGTCTATGTCCCAATAGTTATGACTCACCCTGTATATAGCAAAAATAAAATCAGTACCTACCTGACTTGAAAGTAAAGTAAATACTTAACTGCTTATGTCATTTATAATTTTTTATTCGCTACAACATTATTATCTTCTATTTTTATTATCTAAAACGACATATTGACAACTTAAATTTTGAAAAATACGATATGCATTTCACATATATTGAATGCCAAAGAATGTTATGGCTGCAGCTGAATTATATTTTCAACGATAATCAGAAAGTGGCAACGAGACAAGAGAATATTTAAAAATTTTATTTTAGTTCCAAATTGAGAAGAAAATAGGTATTCTCAAAACAAACTGCTGGGAGATATACAACTTCTCTATATAATGTTATTTTTGTTCGTAGATTTTAACCAAATATCTGCACCATCCAGAGATCCTTCACCACCATTATCATTTTGGGATAAAATGAGGCTTTTACTGCACGGTCGGCTTACTATGGTCGTTCAACAACTAACAGTCCTACTACATGGTTCATTGGATCCTTATAATACTACTGAAGAAATGGCGCTGACTTGGGAGAAAGTTGTAATGGATTGGACTAATGGTAAAACACAGTTTTTAAATATTTTACTATGGCATTTTATAATGATCACAATGTCAGAACTGAACAACAATATAAATTGTTTCGGGTTCCAAAACAACTGAATCCAATATGTTTTTGCTTGCTGAAATGAATAACCACCATGGAATTATTATTATTTAGCCCTTACTTAAAAGATAAAGTTAAATTTTGATTCCTAGCGTCACATGTTTTCAGTTTGTCTTATTCTAATGTTAACCTTTGTGTTCTTGGTTTGAATGTGAGGTTTCCATGTTAATCTCTTGTCGAGAGTTAATCCTAAATATTTAACTTGAGTGCTGACTGGTATCTGACAGTCATGTCTTCGATTTGTGAAAGTGACTAGTCGATTGTTTTCATTTACTTTCACTTTCTATATGTTGAGCCATATTTTTAGCTGGTGAAGGTGGTTTTGTAAATGTGTGGATGCCGTGATAGTGTCCCCATTAATAGTGATTACAGTGGTGTTATCGGCAAATGTAGAGATTTCTGTAATATTTGTAGTTGGGATATCTGCAGTAAATATCTGGTAAAGAAGAGGACCTAGCGCACTACCTTGTTGCACCGCTGATTTAGTGAGAAAGAATGTGGAAGTCGCTGTATTATATTTTACTTGGAAGTAACAATTTTCTATATAGAATTTATAATGAGGTAGTAGGAAGTTGGAAAGGTTGGAAGGTGAAGGTTTTAAGTTTGTATATGATTCCAGCTGTGAAATATTTTTGTCATCAATGGCAGTGAAAATTTTTGTTATTCCATGAGTTAATGGTGTTGTAGAATGTCTCAAAAAAAACCGAACTGGTCCGTAGGTATTTCTGCATTTAGGTTAACATCCTTCTTTAATCTATCAAGTTTTAGACATTGTAGGTGACAGGCTTAATAGTCCATAGGATGATGTTTTATCTGGAGGTTTTCCCGGTTTGTGAATTATAATTAGTTGTGCAAATTTCCGTGTGATTGGGAAATATGCTAGTCTGAGTACATTATTGTATATTGTAGTTAACAGCGGGAGAATATGCCTATCCCATATGAAGTAGACCTAGGCACTCCCAACAAGTCACCACTGCATTAAACGAAACATATAGAATAACTACTAACTGTATGAAGAAGACCGTAGATGCGTCTCTCAATATCTAGAGAAGTTCAGGCACACTTTCGATGAAAGACATTAATTATACGAGTTTGAGAAACCGCATATATACTAGAACGACTGATCTACAACAGAATTAGTCCAAAGCTACTTGAATCAACACCGGTTGATCGGGCAGGTATCCGACCGAAAAGAATCTGCGCAGCTCAGGTTCTTTCACTTACCACATTTATTGAGGCAGGGTTTCAGAAAAAGCTTAACCGCTCGAATAATCAACAGCATGCTAGCCGACCGAACGATTCAAGTAGTCATGGGAACGGACATCAGCACCCCAAGAAAACTGAAGAATAGACTGCCTCAGGGATCTGTCCTAGCTCCTCTTCTCTTTAGCCTGTACATCGCTTATTTAGACATAAGAATAATTATAAATTTTTATCGTTGGATTAAACAATACAGTATCCTTTTTTGCTATTTTATATTGTACAATCTGTGTGTTTTAGCTAAATTTGTTTACAAAGGAGACCTCAACGTGTATGTTAGAACAGCTTCAAAATATGATGATGTCCAACTTTTGAAGTTGCCCAATTTGAAGTTAATTTTAGGCATTGAATGGGTGTGCCTTGGAAATCCAAATGATCATCACAGTGTCGTGCAATGTGCACCTGATAAAGTTCCAGAATATTCAAGTAATCAAGTAAGTGTTTATTTAATACAAAAATGTTCTGCTATACCTTTGTTAAAAGTTCTACTAGTTTGACCGATGTAAGGTTTTGGTCAGTCGCCACATTTAGGTTTGTATACACCTCTGTGTAACTGCTTCTTCTTTTGTCTCTTGTTTTTAAATATATTTGCCCAAGTTGTTGTTTGTTCTGAAAAGAGATTACTTGAGAAAAGCACTCTGCCGAGCTGTAGTGATTAATATCTTAGTTTAGTTTTTTACATCTCTTGGCAGTCAACAATCCATATGCTTGTTGATAAGGCAACTATATAGTAGAGCAGTGGTCGCCAACCTCTTCAATGTGTTGAGCTACTTTGTTAATTTTGGAATAAACAGCGAGCTACCCACACGGAAGCCACGTAACGCAAAGTAAATGAAATAATCCACAGTTAATCTATCATTATATGTATTTATTTTACTGTTTAACTGGTAATACATAATACATAGGTACTAATAATAAACTAATAACAAAATGACTAATATTACTAGTACGTACTTGTTCATAGCTACATTCTTACCTATCAAACGAAGGTATTTAAAAAATAAACACAAACTTTTATCTAGCCACAACGGTATGTCACGTATGATTTAAAAATAGTTAATAATAACAACAAAAAGTAACGCACTACCATAAACATATTGAAAAATAAAAAAGCACGTTCAATGAGAAGGCTGAAACTCAGACTCATCGATAATTTTTTTAATGTTTGCAGTATAATTTGATGCAGCCATTCGAATACAATTTCCAAATGTTCATCTGTAAGTCGATTGCGATATTTGTTCTTAATAAATTTCATATTGGAAAAAGAAGATTTACACAAATAGGTTGAACTGAACAATGCTTTCACTTTCAATGCAACACGGCATAGAACTGAATATTTGTCTTTACTTACAATAGGCCAGATACATTCAGTACTTGAGACTAACGATTTTAAGGCTAAATCATTTTGAAACTCAATGACTTACATTTCTGTTGCAGCGATGTCTTCGCTAAAGTTCTGCATAGCACAAGCTGAAAACTGCTGGATATCAATTTCCATAAAGGGTGAAACAACAAACTGCGCTACTAAAGCCATTTCATTGAAATCTTTAAAACGATTTTTGAAGTTATTCTTCAGGGTAGAAATTATTTCCACATGATATTTGTTTTCATAGGGTTCTAATGGATTTTGAGATTTTTTTCTGAAAGAATAGGAAAATGCTTGGAATCGCTGTTAATTAGGTTTTGTTCCCAAAACTCCAACTTTTTGATAAATGCTTTTATATCAGAAATCATTTCCGCTAGTTCTTTGTCTCTCCCCTGAAGCTGCAAATTAAGTTCGTTTAATTTCTCTGTAATGTTCACGAGAAAACCAAAATCTCTAAGCCAGATTGAATTTTCTAGTTCCGGAGTCGGTTCATCTCGTTGTTTGAAAAATTGAACTATGCCAGATAGGACATCATTAAAACGTTTCAGCACACGTCCTATACTTAACCATCGGACTTCAGAGTGAAGGAGTAGGTCCCCGTATTGACGGTCAACTTTATCGGCGAAGGTTCTGAATAATCTTCTTTGTAACGCTTGAGCTCTAATCTTGTTCACAATTTTTACCACCAGTTTCATAACGTTGTTTAGTTTCAGGAAATTTCCACATAATGCTTGCTGATGGATAATGCAGTATTAACAAGGAAATTGCGGAAAAGTTTCATCTTTACGACATAACGCCACCAGACCCTTATCACAACCCACCATAGCTGGAACGCCATCGGTTGTCAAGCCTACCATTTTCGATATTGGAATTTTCTCGGAAGAAATAATATTTTTTAAATGAGAAAAGAAAGGACACACTCCTGTCCAGTAGTGTGTCCTTTCAGTGGAATGAACTTCAAAATATCTTCTTTAATCGTAAAATCACTAAAAACCATCCTGACGAACACGGCCATCTGGGCAGTGTCAACGACATCTCTTGATTCATCCAGTTGAAGTGAAAAATAAACACAGTTATATAAGTCAGTTCTTAACTGTAAAAAAATATCATTGCTCATTACTTCTACACGTCTCATCACTGAATTAGCAGAAAGTTGCATAGATTTTATAACTGAAACTATCTCGTCTTTATTTCTAAAGTTGACAAATAACGAATCAGCAGCTTCTAAAAACTCCTGTTTTATCATTTCCCCGTCTTCATAAGGTTTCTTTTTTTGTGCAATTATCTGGGACACACGGTACGATGCTTCAGTTGCAGCCTTAGTTTTGTGGACTGTTCTTAAAAATATTGATTGTTGTTCAATTAACTGTTTTTTTAACTGTTTCAGTTTCTCCTTTCTGGCGGCAGAATGTACTGGGAATGATTTTTCAAAATTAGAATGTACAGTTTTATGATGTCTCTCAATATTTCCTTTTTTAGCAACGGAGACCGAAGTATTACATAACAAACGCACATTTTTATCTTTAACTTCTGTAAAAAAGTATTGTTCTTCCCATTCCGAATGAAAGTAGTATTTCTTTACCTTCTTACAACTGCTTGCCATAATATTATTTTTGTTGTTCTCTACTAACCCAACCGCTGGACGTTGATTACGCGTTCAGTTTTAAACTAAGCGCAATGTCGCCGCGCCGTGCGTATTTATCCCGTTCAAAGCAATCCAGATCGTTCTCGAACACTATGCTCTGGTCCGGCTGGTCGGTTCTATAAATAGCCGATTCTAGCTTGACGGCGTCAAGGGCAGATCGCTCACCGCAATCTTGCCGCTGTTTGTGTTTAATATTATGACAATTAGATTTTTTTGTGGAATTTTCGGAAGCTTTTCTGATTTTTGCAGTTTGTATTTTTTAAATTAAAATCGTTGTGAGAGCTACCAGAATTGCCTCCGCGAGCTACCGGTAGCTCGCGATCGACAGGTTGGCGACCACTGTAGTAGAGTATCTATGTTTAAGGTTGTTTTTCCTTCTGTTGACCTGCAATGCAATAATTTCTATGATAATGAGATAATAACATTTAGGAATTTTAAAATAATTGATAGGTTCTACCATTATCCTATTTGCGGATTTCCCTTTTGGAGAAAAATATATAAAAACTTTAATAAATTAATATAGGTCTTATCAAAATATTTTATTGAATTATTTTGTAGGTTCATGACTCGTTTCGAGCATTTCGTTCTCAAAACGTAAATCTTAGTATCGTATTAGAAACCCGTCCCGTTCCAAACGAGCCTAACAGTTGTCCGATTTTGCTGTTATACGGAAGCACTTTAAGATGGATTGAAAGTTTAAAATTGATTTTATCTGGAGTAACTAGACCTACTAAAAGAGGCAGGATTTTCAACAATTTGCGACCTCGGAAGATACAATTAAGTAGACATTATAAAAGGGTTAGTATAATCGTTTTTATTTGTTTGGATCATTAAAACTATGATAGAGCATTTGACAGCCAAATAGATTGTGAAGTATTGTGATGTATAATTAATCTTTATTTGCACTTATTTTAATTTATTTACAATCTTTTAACAATAACACTAAAACACAATTAATAATATTTATTACTTAACGCTACAAATTAATATTTTAGACTAACTACAATTTACTTTATCGGTATTTATATTGTGCACTTCAATGGCTTGAAATTTCTCGCTACGGCTCCGTCTCGTTTCGAATGTTGTAATTATTCCACTGGCTTCTAGACTGGTTCGTCGCAACTCATCGAACGCTGCAGTTATGATTGATAGGCAAGGTTCTAGCGTAACAATTTGCTAAATACTGATTTAAAATTTTATTCGAACTGAATTGAACACTTATATGTGACTGAATCGACTTATCAACTGGCTGATAAACTTATATGAATGAGTTTTCTTATGCGTGAAATAATTAACGAGACAATATTAATGAACCATTATCATCTATTAAAAATATTCTGACTTAATCAACCTTTGAAATATAATAGCTCTAATTTTGATCACGGAATACGAGAATCTTCATAAGACACCATCTTGTCAGTGCCAGATGGTAGTGTGATATTTCTATTTACTTCTTCTTCTCTACGGCACTACAGCCCAAAATGAGCCTTGGCCTCCTTTATTTTTTGCCCCCACCCTTGTCTGTCTGTGGCTGCTCTTCTCCATACACGGACTCCTAAAAGTGCTTGTGCGTCGCTGCTTACTGTGTCTTCCCAGCGGTTTCTTGGCTTTCCAACTGGTCTCTTTCCCTGCATTCTGGCGTTCAGTGCTCGTTTTGGTAGCCTATCCTCTCCCATTCGTATCACATGTCCGGCCCATTGCAATCTTTGTATTCTAATGAAGTTTGACAGGGGTGTTTCCTTATACAGTTGATAGAGCTCGTTGTTATATTGAATTCTGAAGATTCCTTTTTCCCTCACAGGTCCTAGTATTCTCCTCAGTACTTTTCTTTCGAATGTGTCGAGTTTGTTTTTGGATGTTTCTTTCAGGACCCATGCTTCGCTGCCATAACATGCTATTGGCCGAATTAAAGTTTTATATATTCTCATCTTTGTATTTCGGTGGACACTTTTAGACCGAAATATATGGGAGAGGGCAAAATAAGCTTTGTTTGCCTGCGTTATCCTTTTTCGTATTTCTCCATCCTCTGCTCCATCGGCATATATTTCTACTCCCAGGTATGTAAACTTTCCAACCGTTTCAATGTCATCTTCATGTATAATGTTTTGTGGGATTATATTTCTTCTCGTCTGTACCATTATTTTTGTTTTTTCTGTGTTAATTTCCAGACCTAGCCTTTTCGTTTGTGTTTTTAACTCTGCGTATGCTTCCTGTGCTCGTGTTGATGTTCTATTCATAATATTAATATCATCGGCGTAGGCAGCCAGTTGAACCGTTTTATTGGTCAGTAGGTTTTCTCGTCCAGTTTGCATTTGCCTGACCGCATACTCCAGTGCCAGGTTAAACAATGTTGGTGCCAGCCCATCTCCCTGCTTTAGTCCCTGCGAGATTTTGAAAAAGTCTGTCCGGTTGTTTTGTATTCGTACACATGCCTGAGTTTCATCCATTGTGGCTTTAATGAGTCTAATTAGCTTATGTGGTATTGCTAATTCTGCCAATATATAGTATAGTCTGTCCCTTTTGACTGAATCGTATGCCTGTTTGAAGTCTACAAACACGTTGTGAACATCAATGTCGTGTTCCCACGATTTGCTCAAGACCTGCTTGACTGTAAATATTTGATCCATTGTCGATCTTCCCCGTCTGAAGCCCGTCTGATATTCTCCAATAATATTTTCTGCTAGTGGTTGGAGTCGCTGGTTTATAATATACGTGAGGACTTTACACGCTGTACATAGTAGAGAAATTCCACGGTAGTTTTTGCATTGGAGTTTGTCTCCTTTTTTATAGATTGGGCATACTATACTTTTCTTCCATTCGTCGGGTATTTTCTCTTCTTGCCATATTTCTTTGATAAGCGCGTGGATATGACTTGATAGGTGGTTGCCACCTACCTTATACAGTTCTGCTGGAATCTCGTCAACTCCCGGGGCTTTATTGTTTTTCTGGGCCTTAATAGCTTCGAGAACTTCCTCTATGGTTGGAGCTTCTACTTCAACTTCGTTCTCTTCTACATGGTTCGTACTAATTTCATCTTCCATATCTACTTGTGTTCCAAGTAGGGTCTGAAAATAATGCTTCCAGGTTTGTGTGACTTTCTGTTGGTCACTGATTATTTGCCCACTTTCATCTTTGCATAGGCTTGTTTGAGGTTTATATCCACTTTTTATCTTTTTTAGGTATTCGTAAGCTCCTCTAATTTCGTTTTTTTTTTTTGAAATTTTGTTCCATTTCTTCTATTTGTCCATTTTCATAAGCTCTCTTTTTGTTTCTGCATATCTTGTCTGCTTTCCGTCTTGCGACTTCAAATGATGTTCGTCTTTCCCGTGTTCTTCTTGTTATGTACATTTTGTGCGCTTCGTTTCTTTCTTCTATCGCTTGCCTGCACTCGTCATCAAACCATGTTCCTCTTCTCTTCTTTTTCTTGTTTCCCACGGTGGACGCTGCTGCTGTCAGCACTGCTGTTTTGATATTATTCCATTTGCTCTCTATGGAGTGCAGTTCTTGTGTCCTTAGCTCATTTGTGACTTCTTGCTCGAACTTCTCTCTACATTCCTGAGTCTTCAGTTTTTCCAGGTCTAGTTTGTTTGTTCTTTGTTGTCTTTCGTTTCTTTCTCTGTTAACTCTGCACCTAAATTTGGTTTGCAGTAAAAGATGGTCTGATCCACAGCATGCTCCTCGTCGTGTTCTCACATCAGAGATAATACTGGCTGCCCTTTTGTCAATCATCACATGGTCAATTTGATTGGTTGTGGTTCCATCTGGTGAGATCCACGTCATTTTGTGTATGTCTTTATGTAGGAAGCATGTGGAGCTTATAACCACGTTTTTACTGGTGGCAAAATTTATCAAAAACTCCCCATTCTCGCTTGTTTCATTGTGCAGTGAGTGTTTTCCTGTTGTGCCATAGAACTGCGGTTCCTTGCCTATTTTGGCATTCATATCACCCATTATAACCTTAATGTCATTTTTTGGCGCGTTGTCATATACTATCTCTAGCTGTTGGTAGAAGCTTTCCTTTGTATGTTGCTCTTGTTCATCTGTTGGGCAGTAGATGTTTATCATAGTAAGGTTGAAGAAGTGGGTGCGAATTCTTAGTTTGCATATCCTTTCATTCACTGCCTGGAAGTCTATGATTTTTGACTTAAAATCATTATCTACCACAAATGCAACTCCACATTCTTTGATTCCTTGTTCTTTGCCACTATATAGAATTGTGTGCGTTTTGGTGTCCCTGACACCTTTCCCCAGCCATCTTGTCTCCTGAAGAGCAGTGATCATAAGATTATATCTTTTTAGTTCTTGTAGAAGTGCAGTTTGAGCTCCTGGTCTATTTAGCGTCCTCACATTCCAACTTCCAAATGCATAGTCCATGTTTCGTAGCTTTAGTCGTTTCCGAAAGTTCCCCTTGTTCCGAGGCAAATGTTTAGGTTTCATAACAGTGTGTTTTCCGGAAGTGGGTTGTTAGCCCACTGCCCAACCTTCCTCCTTTACCCGGGCTTAGGACCGGCAATGGTGACTCCTGAGCTATTCAATCCACCCATTAGTCACCACAGGCGGAGTTTTTCTACTACTGTATTTCTTTAGGAGCGCGTGGTCAATAATATGTGCGATTTTTGTTCAACCCCCTCTCGTCTGCTATATACTCATCTACTTTACATTAATAATTACATTACGGTTCTTCTGTTCTCTTTCCAGTCTCTTATTTTCAGCATTCACGAGGTTCTAAACGTTTTCGCAATGGAGCATTCATCCAACCAGACCGTTCAATGTTATCTTCTCGACGGATGTTGATGTCACACTCACGTCTTCGCATAAAACCAGAGTAGGATCCTAAGTATTTTCGTACTCTCCTTACTGACAATCATGATTTTTGTTTTATTCTTGCGTTCGGAGTCATTCCATACTTCTCGCAGTACTGCCTAGTGCGATCAAAATTTGCAGCCCTTCTCTGTTGTCCGCAAGGAGTATTATATCGTCTGTATATCTGAGATTATTCACTAGTGCTCCTTCAATTGATATGCCTTCATTGATGTCTTCTAGTACCTCTAACATCTTTACACACATAAGCACATACTAAAAAGTAGAACATCTTTGATAAGCACACATCCTTGTCGTACTCACCTTCTTATAGGTATCTCGTTAGATTTTTGTTAGTCTACTCGTATTATGGATTTTTGATATCGGTATAACTTTTTCATGATTCTTTCAAGCTTTCTGTGTTTTATTTTGTCGAAGGCTTTTTCAAAGTCAAATAAACATGAATATCTTGGTTTAAGAAACTGAGGAATGCTTTGGTGGATGGTTTTGTTCCAGCAGTGTGGAGTTATTTAGAGCGGCAGTCAACAGTGTTCTCACAGCCGTAATGATTTCTGACTTCCGGTAGAAGATGGAGATATTGTTCTGAAGCTATTTTTTTGTGGAATTTTAAAGTAGATACTATTTTACTGGGAATAAGTCACAATTGAAGCTTAAGTAAGATGGAGATGGTTAATTTTCTCTTAGAACTAATATTTTACTGTATAGAATTTTTCTTATTTTATAAAATTTACCTTTTGTTACTTTAGGTTCATCTACTTATGGGGTTGCATAAATTTCAAGTATGTTACTGGATGTCATTTGCAATGCAAAGAGGATGTGAATTATTTGGCGGTCGATTATCATCTAGTTCAGGTAACTATTTGCTTCAAACGTTATGAACTTTTATGAGAAATATTTTGATAAAGTGATAAACCTCATTAATCATTTAAATCATAGGTAAAGCAGTGTCGCCAGAGCGGCCAATCAGAGTGAAGATTGTCACTCCGGCCAGCCAATAACAAACGGTTTTATTAACTGCGTTGTTAATGGCCTTCCGATGGAAGATCGCTGCTGAGTTTCAAACAAGAAATGCATAAAAAGGAAGCGCATCTTCCGATCGGGATCAAGTCGGTCTACATATTGATCCCAGCTAAACCTTGTTGGCCGAGTGCCTTTTCAACTATTTCTGTCTTATTTATTACCTGAGAGAACATTTCTTCCAATTAAGAATACTTCGCTTACATCCCAAAAGCTATTTAGTGTGTGAATAAACACGAAAACTTCTTCTATTATTCAAACCAACAAGAGGTATACCAGTGTTGTTGACTATTGGTCTTTACTTGGTCGAGGTGAAGAAAAGTCCGGCAATGAACTTATAATTACCGCACGGAAGCCAGATAACAGCTCGGACAAAATGCTCCCTGTCCGGATAGAGATCGATCTTTGAAATAGAGAAAGACAGATTGTCTTAAACCTATTTCAGAACGTGTCGAACTGACACAGCATTCTACTACCTCCTCCTCCTCTTAAGTGCCTTCTCTGTTGAGGTTGGCTCTCTGTTCTGGGCTTGATGAATTAATTCATTTCCTCTTGTGTGGGTCCAATTTCTGATGTTTCGTAGCCAAGATTTTTTCTTTCGTCCTATGCCTCTTTTACTTTCAATCTTGAACTTTAATATTACCTGGAACTACTCAAATTCCGTATGGCGCATTATGTATCCTAGATATGTCCAGATAGTATTGACCAGATGAGGGCGTGTGTTTATTACTCTCAGTACTTCTTTATTCGTAGTTCTGCTGGTCCAGATTATTCTTAACATTCGGCAGTACATCTACATTTCAAATGAATTTAATTTGTTGACGTCATACTGTTTTAATGTCCAGGTCTCACAGCCATATAGTAATAGAGACCACACATAACACTTTAGTGTTCTCAATCTTATTACGACTGATCGATTGGCGTTACAGAGCATTCTACGCATATTCATGAAACCAGATCTTGCTATTTCAATGCGTCTTCTAATTTCTTTTGATTGGTCTAGTAGACCACCGACGGTTAGGAGTTAATAAAAGCCACAGGCAGACTTAGAATAACTCCTCAATCGGTGGCCGTGCGGCAGTAGCACTTTGTCGTATCACCACGAGAGGTGGCGGTACGGAGTGAAGGGCCTTCGAACAGTCAAGACTCTGTCGACGTTCCTATACACCTCGTGGAGTGTGTTCTTGGCCACACGTTGAATCGTGAATGGCCGGCATCTCTGTAGGATCCAAGACATCCACCGTGCTCAGAATACTAGAAAATTATACATTTAAGACAAATATATTATTCACGTAAGAAAAACTCGAATTGTTTAAAAGATTCTGCTTTACCTGTGGCTCCTTGTTGACCACAGAGCCTCCGGTGAGCTTCTCGCTGAGTGTGGAAATAAGTACATATAAATTCCACGAGTAAGAGGATGGAGGCAAAAAACGTTCGCTTCTCCTCCAGAGCGGTGGTCAACAAGCATCAAGACAAGAATCTCCTCGGAGTAAGTTCCGACCGTACAAACTTTGTACTTATGCCTTTTTAAGCAATCAAATAATTAGCAATTTTAAATATTCAAAAATGTATATTATTTCAGAACATACACTATCGTTGGTCGCTATCGACGATGGTTTAAAGCATCGCCCAAAAGCCGAATGGTCTGTAGTATATATGAACTCGGAGTTAAACGACTTTGAAATTTGGCTAAAAAGTGCTTTACACGACGAAATGGAACTTGAATTACCGTCTCCTCGACAGCCTGTAGAGAAATGTTATTGTCTATCGGTAAGTAAAATAATTTAGTTTTTAAAAAAATAATAAATATAACTTGTAACAAACCGTAGCCCCTGATGCCGTGACGGCCTTGGACGGTCAGTGATGCAATCGCAAAAATCATTCTGGGTGGGAGTGTGTGAACTTTAGTTGTGTCATATTGTAAATTTTAAAAAGAAATTTTAGGAAATCGAATTTGCAGCAATTTCAGTCGAAGATTCAGACGAAAAGTTAAAAATGATGGAGCTATTGAACAAAAACGGTTCTCCTTTAAATTCAAGATGGCAACTAACGGAACGGTTGGATTTAGTCGCGATTTTAAATGTGCACTACTATTGATTTAAATATTAGATAGGTTCCTTTGTCTTCTTCTTCTTCTTTTTGTGCTACTCCTATCGGAGATTGGAAATCATCAAGACTATTCTGACCTTGTTTACGGCTGACCTAAAGAGTTCATTAGTGGTGCAGCCAAACCACTCTCTCAAATTCCGCAACCATGACATTCTTCTACGGCCTGGATTTCGTTTTCCTTCTATTTTTCCCTGCATTATATTTTGAAGTAATGCGTATTTATGTCCTCTCATCAGGTGACCAAAATATTCGAGTTTTCTTCGCTTTAGCGTTAACAAAATCTCTGGGTCTTTTCCTATTCTTCGTATTACTTCACAGTTTGTTATTCTTTCAACCCAACTAATCTTCAGCATTCGACGGTAGCACCACATCTCGAAACTTTCAATATTTTTCATGTTGTTCTGTTTGAGAGTCCAGGCCTCTACACCGTATAATAGCGTGTTAAATACATAGCCCCTCAGCATTCTTAATCGTAGAGGGATGCTTATATTTCTGTTGCAGAAGAATTTTCTCATCTTTATGAAGGTGGCCCTGGCAATTTCGATACGTCTTTTTATTTCACTGTTTTGGTCTCCAGTTTCGTTTATTAAAGTTCCCAAGTATTTGTAACTTGATACTTTTTCAACTTCAGTGCCGTTTATACTAATATACGCTGGTTGTGTCATGTTTTTACTGAAGACCATATACTTGGTTTTTTTAATATTGATATTTATACCATAATTGTTGCAAGCAATATTTATGTCTGTAAGTAATCTTTGTAATTCTCCTACTGTTCTTGCAACTAGTACAGTGTCGTCCGCGTATCGAATATTATTTACAATCTCTCCATTAATTACGATTCCTCCGTTTGCTTGTAAAAGGGCTTCCTGACAGATGCTTTCACTATATACATTAAATAACAGAGGTGACAAAATGCAACCCTGTCGTACTCCTCTACGTATTTCTATTGCTTGTGATGTTTCAGTTTCTATTTTGATGTTAGCTTTCTGATTCCAATATAGATTGAGAATTATTCGCAGATCTTTATTATCTATGTCCTTCCTTTCAAGAATCTCTCTAAGCTTATCATGGCGTACTCTGTCAAACGCTTTTTCAAAATCGATAAAACACGTAGTTGTCTTCTAGTGTAGCACTAGTTCCAAAAAAGTGTAAAAATACTACACCAAGTCATTCCTTTGCAAGGTGTAGTGCTACACCACTCTGTTCCATTGAAAAGTGTAGCAAAAAAAGTGTAATACCGGTGTCGATAAATCTACACCTACTTCTGATGGACACTGGTTACACTCGCCTTGCGCAGTATCATCCAACCGAATTTGATAACTGTTTAGCTGTCAAATGAGTGTGTGTTTACAAAAAAAATCTTTTTCTTTTTAGTTTAATTTAAATTTAAAAACATTGTAAAGCTTTTAGTAATTTTAAAAACAAAAGTACCTACACATTTTATTTTAATTTAATTTTTTATTTTGTTGTAATTGAGTTCTTAATTTCATCACTCATTTTAATAATATTTTTTAAAAAAGATACCTAGCTAATTATAATAAAGTTCATTTAAATTAAAGAAGGAAAATCAAAAGTAGAAGAAAATAAAACAAAAAAAATCTAAAGATAAACACGTCGTAAAATAACCTGACTTAATCGCAACTTAAAGGTTAACTACACTAGAACTTGTTTTTTGTATGCTAGTCCAACCTGATTTATTTTCAATCATTCTCTCAATCATTTCTCTCACTGTAACAAAATTCACACCTGTCTCTCTTTTCATTCTGTTCCTTTCTACTATCCATCTGTTGCAATCTAACATCGTATGTGTTACAGTGTCCGAGTGTACATAGTATAGGTCTTTACGAACCTAGATAGGTAGGCCTAAAACACCCGTGTTGTAACGACTATTTTGCTTACCACAGGGTAAGAATATGGGGGACAAGATTGGGCAAACAAAATAATCGAAACAAGTACATACGACACTCAGTTGGTTGTTGGAGAGCTGGGTCGTGGATAAGTTGAAGATATTGGGGGTTAGATTGGGGCAACTACAAAAAAAGAAATAAAGGGGTACTTATACAAATCTCTTGGGACAAACAGAATGAAAATAAACGGAAACACCTCAAGAAATTTAATATAGGGCGCCACTTGAGGTGCCTAATTATACCTATTACAACCACTAGTTGTAACTAGGGAAATAATTATAGAACATAAAAAATATAGAAAAAAATATCTTTTTCAAATAAAACTCAAAATAGATCAGAGAAACAAATTAAACATTTATTCTTGTCTCAAACAAAACAGATCAAAAATACATATTATAAAAGAAACATATCATATAACATAATACAAATAACAAAAACTTACATGTTCTTTGTTTACTATATTATGGCCAATTAGATTATCAAAAATTAAGGACCCTTGTTAATGAAAACATATAAATTTAACCTTATATATGAAATATCGTTTCTACATAATAATCAAATTAAAATTGTCATAACAAAAAAACAAATTAAGCTTGCTGTCAGGTATCACATTTAATTTTGATGACAAACAACAAAAGTATTAACAGCATAACCATATATATTACAATTTTTTATTTGTTATGAAAGCAATTATTACTTTAGCCAAAAAATATCTGTCTTTACTTTGAAAAATTAATATATTGAATTGTTACCTTAAAATTTACATATTTCGTCACTCAACTTAAAAAAAAACTTGTTACATCTCTGACTGGAAACTACTTGTACAAATCCTCTAACTGGAACATAGGAAACATTTCTATACTCAGGAACGAGGTTGGGGCAAACAGATGACACACGAAGCTGGTGGCACACCCTATGTACTGCTTTAAAATTTTAGCATGTTCTGGTATACTGCATAAATCCTTTTAGTGGTTTCTCTATGCTAATCCGTCATGTTTACGGAGAGTCCACTGTTTACAGGTCTGATTAATTAACCCATTACACAAAATTACCGGCTGTTTATGAAAAATGCCCAAGTCCTTTCAACTCGAGCTGCCTTACATCACCTGCCTACCTCGTTGCTCTTTTCAATCTCGTCGACTCTATTGTCACATGTCTGCCCTGTTTGAAATCTCTAAGTCGACTCCTTGCTTCGTTACATTTTACCAGAATCTAGCCAAAAATTTCCCTTCCGTTTTGCAGCCTGTCGCCGACCCACTTAAAACCAAAACAAATATTCCCTCCTCTTATCGACAAAAAAACAACTTTTAAATGTTCCTTTATTGCCTAAACAAACAAATATTCTTTTTTTTTTACCCTCGTCTAATAACGAAAACCAACTTTAATATTAGGGGAATTCATGTTTATTGCGTTTTTAACGAAGAAAACAAATAAAACCTTTTTTTTATCAGGGGGCATCATAAATTTTAAACTGGAGTTCTACCTGACTGTAACAAAAGGTTCGATATTTGAATCTAAACACAGACAAAAAAACATCTTTATTTACTTTTGAATCGGTAGAAATATACGCATTATTGATTATTCTAACCGGAATATTAGGGGGACTTCATGTAACATAATATCTCTTTGGCGACAAAAAACTTGTTGTTTCACCTAACATTGCAACACAGAGATAAAAACATATTTCCAGCATTAATACGCATTTAAAAATCTCGTCAAAAAAACTTGAAATATTATTTCGATTGTTTTCTTTGGTAAAAACAACAGGAGCGTAACACAGAAATCTTTTCTATACACTTTAAATAAAAAACGCTACAGTGTCCTGTGAGCACCTGCATCAGGAAATAATCCAGTCGCCTGTGGCCACAGTCCACCCAATCTCTTATGTTCGGGATCAACATTTTCGTTCACTGTGCCACATCCTGCGTGTTGACCCATTCTTCTTGCCCTCTTTCAATTGACCTTTTCCTTTCCTGTCTTCTCTCTGCGATAGTAAGGTTTGAGCCTCTTCTCTCATAGAGCTCTTTTCTTTCCACCGCCAAAACATGCAGCGAAACACATCCAGTGATGGTCTATAAGGCTGCCGCAGACACAGTCCTGTAGACGCATGCCACTCGCAACAGACTTGTTCTGTCCACTCGTGTCAGGAGCTTCCTATAGGCCGTTATCTCTACCGCCTCGCTCCAGACTGGTGCCGCGTAGAGGACGATCAACTGTACAATACCGTGTAAGACCCTCCTCCTTTCGGATTTGGGGCCCAATGTTGGGCATCACCCTCCCAAACGCAGCCGCACTATTACCCCTATTTTCCATTCTGGTGCAATGTCACTTCTAGGTACTTTACTTGTTTCTTGGATGTCAGACTTGTTATTCAACACTTTGGCTGTTCCTTTTCCTCTTTAGAATGATGGCTTCGGTTTTCTCTGCCGCAAGTGTCAGTCCATGAAATGGACCCATCCCCTCATCCCTCCTTACACCATGCTCTCGTGTTACCTCAAGCTTCTTGTCCATAGCTTTTCACATAACTCTTTCCAGTGCCTTCTTTTTTCTGCACGGATTTTCCTATAAAGTTCCCTCTTCCTTGCGCGGTACTCTTCCTTGCGCGGTACTCTTCCTCAATCTCCTCGACGACCTTAGGGTTGATCCCTGTCCTGCCCATTGCTCTCGTTAACCCTCTTCTCATTCAACTACACTAGAACGTTCCTTTGTTTAGTGTCACAGCCATGATTTTCGTTTGACAATAGCCAGTGTAGCTTACACTCAACTACACTCGAAAGTGTTACACTAGAAAACAAAGGAACAGACCTATTATTAATAAAACATTTGGAGCAGTTCTTCATGCAAGGTTAGGACTTTTTTCGTCCAACGCGACTGGACTGGAAGTTTTTTTTCACATCAGTTATCGTTTTCTGCTTGTAAAGTGGGGAATTATTAAAGTAATACAGCGTTATTTACAGTGTATAAATGTATATTTATTATTGTATGAATCTTTATCATCTTTACTTAAAAACAACTTTAAAACGTATCAAATTGACTATTATTACTGATTTAAATGATTTTATTAGGTTGCAAAAGTTTCATATGGCAGAGAGACTGTGTTACCCAATCATGAAAGAAATAAAGATGTACCCACTCACAGATTAGTTGTGTACGATTTGAGAGGAGCCTGGACTAAAAGTAATAGAAATGTAGCATTTGCATTGTTTGACACATTTATGAAAACGATGGTGAGTATGACTTATTTAAATATATTATTATCTTCTTCATTAAGAAGGTCGGCTATCTTCTCATTTGATACTGCCGCTCTAAACAGCTCAACAGAGTCATTGTAAAGTCAGGTAAAGTCTATGAGAGGATCCTCAAGGAGAGACTCGTAGAATTCCTAGACGCTCACTTCCTCATTCCCAACTACGAATTCGGATTCAGGGCTAGACAATCCACACAAAATGCAATGGTTGAAGCAACAACCTTCATTTCACAATCCATTAACGAAAGGAAGCACGTCGTAGGCATTTTCCTCGATGTCCAGAAGGCTTTCGACCAAGTCTGGCACGCAGGCTTGATCGAGAAACTCCACCTTGCTGGACTGCCAACACCTTTCGTTAAACTAATAAATTCCTATCTCTCCCATCGGACCGTTCGGATCAAAATAGGAGAGCACCTCTCCACTCCATTCACTCCTCAAGCAGGAGTGCCCCAAGGCTCAATACTTGCTCCAATATTATACACAGTATACAATAGCGACATCCCCCGCCCACAGCAAGGATCAGAGTCTCTTCTCCTATTCGCTGATGATACAGCCATTCTTACCTCAGGCTCCTACAGGGAAGGAGAGCGACGGTCTGTATTCGAGAAATCGCAAGATTATCTTGACAGAGTCGTGAGGTGCTGCAACAAATGGAGTGTTACTCTAAACCCCTCCAAAACACAAGCAATCCTATTCAGACCCCCATACGGACGCGGCCTTCAGGGCTGGGTGACACTTTTGGGAGAGGACCTTATTCTCAGGAACTCAGTTCTCTACTTGGGAGTTCGTTTTACGAGAACTCTCAACTGGAAGGCTGACGTCCAAGAATCCCTTGACAGGATGAGAAAGAGGCTCAACCTCCTGAAAGTGCTGGCCGGTAAACTAGGAGGAACGTCCACTAACACTTTGTTGCACACCTACAAGACTTTTATCAGACCGATTGTCGAATACAAGGCATGCATTTACCTCTCCCTGAGGAACCACAAACTTAATGCCATCACCGCCACAGAGCGTAGAATACTACGTTTCTGCATGAGAAAAGACTGGCTGTATCCATCGGCCCACATATACGCAATAGCTAACATCACGCCTATTAAGGACAGAATCCTAACCCTCAGTAGGAAGTATGTCTTAAGAACCATAGCTGGCGAACAACCGAGCAAAACAAACATTAAAGACACCTTGTACACATAGAGGGCAAATACTCACCAGGCATCCCGCCAAAAAAGTTCCATTCCCTCCAGCTAAACTTCTACATAACGCTGGACCTGAACTTCCCGATGAGTATTTTGATATTCTAGAATCTTTCCCCATCTACTATCGCAGATAAGCTGCGCACCAAAAACGCTGATAAAGAGCCGTTCCTACTGTGTGGCTGGTAACCCTGAAGTACCTCACTGCATGCTAGGCAATCCCAATTCTTCTTGTGCGTTCACGATTCTTATCGATCTCAAAATAAGCCACCTTCTTTTCCCCCTTCTTCCTTAGCAGTTCTCTGCTTCTTAGGCCGCGTTTCGATCAGTTGACGTTTTACCTCGTAACCACCACAACTCCGTAAAAAAAAGGAGTTCCCCGTTCCTTGAAGAGGCGTAAGCCTAAACAAGGTTAAAACTCAAGGTTAGTTAGTTAGAGTCATTGTCTCAAATTATTTAGCCAGGACATGCGTCGTTTTCCTAACCTTCTTCCACATCTAAATTGTACTCAATGTTTTCTAGAATTACTCGATGTTCAATAATTATTTGTACTTTACGATTTGTGTTTATTGTATTTTGTATACAGTCATAATTGTTATTTTAGAGGATGAAAAAAAATCTGTCCACTGACGCACTTAAGGGCTTTCGAAAAGATAATAGCACCACTACCCCACTAAAAAGAAGAAATACAGATCCTTCAAATACTCCACCTAATAATTCCATCCAAGTAAGTATACGATTGTGACATAATTGCGTATAATGCTTGCAAAGATATACAAAACTGATATAATGGTTCTTTGTACAAGTTTAATATTATCAACCAATTATTTTCTATATTACGTCCATTTTTTACTCATAAAACCTATAACCACGAAATTAAGCCGCTTATTCATTTACAATCACAACCTATTGAGAATCATAATGACATACATGTCACTCACTGACATCTATGATTTACAAAAGAACTGGAATGCCAACCATAGGCATTTACATCTAAAACCCACAGGCTTAATTACGATTTTATTTAATGGATCGTTTTTTTTGTATAACAGCAGAGCGCAACTGCATCTATTATATTAACTCATATAATTAATTCTGTATCATTTCTATAGCTGTGGTTCTGAATATTAATAATCTCTTGACCGCAAAAGTTTTAGTCGCAATTCACTTAAATCGTTTATTTTTAGGCAATACAATCTACCACTGCTGTGCAAGATACACCTTCACCAATAAGCAAACTGCAGTCTGGACACGCTGCAAATATGCTGCAACAACTAATAGTCGAAGCCGATAACAACTCTGTCGTATATAGTGACGATCTTTCTTCTATATCCAGACAACAACATCTACAGGGACTACAGGCTTGTCAAGAAGATGATGTTTTGCATAAAAATTGGCAGAGTAAGTAATTTATAGCCAATTTTTTTTAATCAATATTAATTTTGTAGTATATTCAGTATATACTATATAGTTGTCGGTCGGACAGCTACACGGGCCAGGTGGACGAATCGCATACACTTTACTGTGAATGATCTAGTGGTCGACAGCAGATGTCAGATGTCAGATTTTGACAGGAAAACAAAAAGACTAACGTAGTAGTTGTTAAATTCTAAATGGATCTGTTATTTTGACCAGAAAACGCTGGTGTATAAGATCGACTTATGGATGAACAGTATGACAAGAGATGGGGGCGTGCAGCTCGGTGTAACTCACTCCATAGATCCCTACTGGACGGGTGTTTTTGCGCTATAATATAATAAAATTGTTATATTGAGTATCTAGTTGACCAGAAATTAATATACATTTTTTTAAATTTCTTCTGCTAATGTTCATTAGTTATCGTTTTATTTTAGTTGCACTCGTCAATGCACAAGTATTATTGAAAGGTTGTGAAACCAAGGGTTATGTGATACTTAGTTCTGCAAAAGCAGAAATCGTACAGAGGATTCACAGACCTGCATGGAAGGACAGAACACTTGTGTCGAAAACCACATGGGTAGGAACTTTAGAATGCATGCAGTATTATGCCACAGTAAATGCTGGAGAGAACGATACCGCAGATGGTAAATATTTTATATATAATTTATTTTGTAAATTAATTGATTTATATAATTAATAAAATACTTACATATTACATCGAATCTAAGTAACTGACTCAAAAAAAGACATGGGGAAAGCAGTATGAAAGATTAATAGTGAGAGAAGAGTGATGGAGATTCGATAATCTTATATTTCACCACTTTTTAAATGAAATTATTTACTTTAAACTACATGGAAACAATAACCTACTATATGTACTAAATTCATCATCATTCCTGTTAATACACTTTTATTTTCATTATTATTACAACGTATTGTAACTTGTCGGATAATCTATGGTGCTACGGTTTAATTTGCAGTCTTGCCACTTTTCCCATCATGGTTTACAGCATTTTACACTTTAAGTTTACACTTAAAACCATCTCTTTATATTGTTGGCAGCTGCTTGTATATTTATATACAGAGTGGCCCCAAAGTCTGGAAACGGCTAATTATCTCGTAAATTACTAGACATAATTATACAAAATTTGAGATACGCCTATTTTGGGATACGGAGATCCCATATTTGGTATTTGCAGTGTTGCCAGATCTTCAGTTTCTCTTATATTACTAGTAACTTTGGTTTTTCAAATGCATCACCCTGTATATTAAGTCATTATTGGAATCTCCTATTAAATACGAGTTCAACGATATGTAACACTTATGATTTTATGTAGTCTGGAAGGTCTTAAATACATAAAACAGAAGTCTGGCAACGCCTAAATTGTTTCAATACATTTTTTAATACTAACTATTTTCAAATACATTAAAACGCAACAATTGATAGTTTAGAATATTTTTTAACATAATAGTTACGTTATTAAGTGTTCAAAATGTGCTCCATTTGTGAGTTGACAGCACTCTAATCGATGGTAGGATGCGTCTACCACATTTCTCCATGATTGTCTAGAAATTATTCGAGATTCATCGATAAAATTCATTGCCTTAGCTATGCAAGACTTGCTGTTTAATTTTTAAAACTGAATTTTTCAAGTATCCCTAATAAAAATAATCGTTGGTTAAGTTTTGTAAACTGAATTTTTCAAGTATCTCTAATAAAAATAATCTTTAGGATTGAGATCGGGTGAACGTGGAGGCCATTCAATTTTACCTTGTCTACCAATTTATCGTCCGGGAAATATCTCATCTTAATAACATTTACACCAACTATCTGACGTTAAATTTCTTTCGATAAAAAATGGCCCAATTAAATAAGTACCTACTATAACTGACCATACATTTAATTTTTGCGGTCTTTGAGTATGGTTTTCACGCATTCGGTGTGAATTTCACACGAGTTCAGCTATTCAATACGAGTTCAACCATATGTTCACTTGATTTTATGTAGTCTGAAAGATCTTAATACATAAAACAGTGCAAAATATGTAGATTTTAATAAAATTAAATATTTAAATGGAGAATGCTGTGATTTTGACACTTGTTCACCATTTAAATTGACAGTAGTTGTGGTTCAAAAAATTCTGCAATTTAAATTGCTTCTCTAAAATGCCGTTCTCTAAACCGTTCATCTATTCATAAGACGACGGTACAAAAAACTGTAAGGCGATTTCAGGAATCTGGAGAAGTAAAAGATAGACACCGATCAGGTTGACCAAAACGAGTTATCAATGACAACAAAACTTCAGATATAAGCAAAGTTTTGTTGAAGATCCGCATACATCCCCAGGCAGGGTTGCACAAGTACATGATGCATATTCTTCAGTCTTACGTTTATTACGTAAAAATAAATTTAAATCATACAAAATTAACTTATTGCAAGAATTAAGTGAAGATGACTTTGGTCGTAGATTAGAGTTTACTGAGGTAATGATGGATAAAATTGAAAATTATTAAAATTTCGTTAACAGAATATGTTTTTCCGATGAAGCAACTTTTACACTGTGTGGAAGTGTAAATGGACACAATTTACTGGTGTGACGTAAATTCACAGTGAAGACTGAATGCGTGAAAACCATACTCAAAGACCACAAAAATTAAATGTATGGTCAGATATAGTAGTTACCTACTTATTCAATTAGGTCATTTTTTGTCGAAAGAAATTTAACGTCAGATAGTTGGTGTAAATGTTCGGCGATATTTAGATGAGATATTTCCTGGACGATAAATTGGTAAACAAGGTAGAATTGAATGGCCTCCACGTTCACCCGATTTCAATCCTAGAGATTATTTTTATTAGGGATAAATTCAGTTTTAAAAATTAAACAGCAAGTCTTGCAGAGCTAAGGCAACGAATTATCAATTAATCTCGAATAATTTCTAGACAATCATGGAGAAATGTGGTAGACGCCTTCTACCATCGATTAGGGTGCTGCCAACTCACAAATTGAGTACATTTTGAACACTAACTTAACTAACTTAACTACTATGTTAAAAAATGTTCTAAACTATCAATTGTTACGTTTTAATGTATTTGAAAATAGTTAGTATTAAAAAATTTATTGAAACAATTTAGGCGTTGCCAGACTTCGGTTTTATGTATTTATGACCTTCCACATTACATCAAAGCATAAGTGTTACATATGGTTGAACTCGTATTAAATAGGAGATTCCAATAATGACTGAATATACAGGGTGATATATTTCAAAAACCAAAGTTACTAATAATATAAGAAAAACGGCAAATCTGGCAACATTGTAAATATCAAATATGCAATCTCCGTATCCCAAAATAGGTGTACCTCAAATTTTGTACAAATATGATTAGCATTTTACGAGATAATTAGCCGTTTCCAGACTTTTGGGCCACTCTGTATTTTATGTATGTACAATTATTTTTCTTGCACAATTTTACAAAATATTCCATGAACATGATATATAACTATTTATTTTACATGGGATGTTTACTTTGTAGAGAATATAATGTGGCTTACAGTCGATAATATTCAAGAAAAAGAATCTGCCGAAATTTCAGAACCATCTGAAGTTCCTAATATGGTGGGCAGTGGTGTGTCAGTTGGAGCTGTAGTGAGTGATACTGTTGGCCCTAGTTCCTCTAGACAGGTAAGGTATTTTATAATATATTTAAATTGTGTTTTAAAAAATACAGTTTAACAATTATTCATTTTTGAGGGTGACTCACTGGCAACACTGAAATTTTATACTGTTTTAACCGTTGTCAAATTCCGCGGTTGCAGCAGCGTCGTTATTTCATTGTGTTTTTTACTACTGAATTATTTTATTAGAAATTAATTCCAATGCGATGTATCTGTAGATATCTTTTTAAGTCTTTCTTTCTTTCAATTAAGAGTTTTGCGTTGCCATGAAGTGAATCTTTTAAACCTTTAACATCCTATATAATTATCGGCAATAATGTGATATAAAACCAATTTAATAACATTTAACAGTACTACTATGAAAATGAGCCAATCCTTACAATCTAAAGCGGCCACTATACTACTAATCCCTAAAATCTGGAGGAAAGCTAGAGTGGTGCTACAACATTTACACCAACAACCAACCCAAAAACCAACAAACAAGACAGTTTATTTACGCGGATGATACAGCTGTGGCAGCTCAGAGAAGTACCTTCAATGAAGTCGAAGTAAAACTGACAGATGCCCTAGAAGACCTAGCACTATACTATGACGAAAACCATCTGAAACCCAATCCTACAAAAACCCAGGTGTGTGCTTTCCACCTTAGAAACAAGCATGCCCGAAGGACACTGGAGATCAAATGGCGTGGTCAGATGCTGGAACACAATGACATCCTAGCTAAAATACCTCGGCGTACGTCTGGATAGAATTCTGTCTTATCGATATCACTGTCAAGAAAAAAGTAAGCGCCAGAAATAATATCATCCGCAAACTAAAAAAACACAAAATGGGGAGCACAACCACACACTCTCCGTACTTCTGCCTTAGCATTATGTTTTTCTGCCGCCGAGTTTGGAGCACCAGTGTGGGAAAACTCTGCTCACGCTAAAAACGTCGATGTTGCGTTAAATGAAACGGTTTGTATAATATCTGGTTGCCTGAAACCCCACAGTTGGAATCGCTTCACCTGCTATCAGAAGACAGGTCCCTTCAGAGATAGAATGAAAGAAGCAGGAAACGGATTTCGGGTGTTTATTATTTCTGAAATGTTTAAACTTTGATCACTTGTCTCACTTCTTCTATCTCTTTTAAAATGGAATTTTTATTATTAAAATTTTTTTTTTTTGATGTAGCCCTTTTAAGGGTTTTTTAAATAAATATACCCATTTACGAAGACTAACCTCTTTTTTGTGATACGTGGTATACAGCCAGCTACAGGAATTGTTTTCCTTGTGGATTAATTTTTAAAAGTTTTAATAAGAAAATTTTACCATTTTACAAAAAATGTTTACTTCATTGTAAGTTTTTTTCTTCTACCTCTCTTTTTAGTTGCAACGAATAGTTTCAAGATGTAAATGCGAATTCTTCTATGCTGATTACGGAGATATAAGCGTAGATCCGGAAGGTATCAGTGAGATTCCACCACCGCCACAGGAGGAAGTTGGACCTTGGGAAAACAAGCAATCAGCCGTTGATGCATTTACGCTTATGCATTACGACTTAGACGTTTGTACGAATTCTTTACAAGTAAGTTATAAGTTTTAATAGATACTGAAATTTATCTAAAACATTTTGAAGAAATAAATGATACCTTGAAATTTTTAAGTCACAATAGTTATAGGATTAAAATCGACTTTTGATGATACCCCATTGTCAAAATATGAAAAATAGTTTAAATTTAACAGTTATTTATATTTTAACAGTCTTATTAATGAATAATGCTTTAGTACAATAATAAAACCAGACCTAATGTGACCTGTATCGAATGTGATCCGAGCACCGGGTCGGCTATCATCCTTAAAAGAATAATAGTAGACTGCCGGAGTGATGACGTATTTTTATTGACATCTGTCAGTTTTACTTTTCAAAAAAACCTTGTTTAGTGTGGATAATTTGTATTTTTCGTTATTTTTTCATTTTTTTACAGAATCTTTCCGCTTTTTGCAATATCTAAGTATTCTAATAGTTACTACAACAATTTTACAAGGTTATGTAAATAATAAAGCATGTTGTTTTATAAAAATGCAATAAAATGCTTGTATCAGTAAAGTAAGGTTAGAATTTCTTTAATTTACACCTTTTAATTATATTTCATAGAAATATAACACCGAATTATGATGGTATTATCGCAAAACACACTATACTTAAGAAGAAAAAGCAGCAGAGGTAGCAAAATTTTTAACTTAATAGAAATCTTGAGATTGGGAAAACCGTAGCTTTTCAACTTTTGTTTGGAAAGTAATAATAACAATATGGTCGGCGTGACGTCACACTCCGGCTGCTGTCCATTGTAAAGTAACTATTTTTGTGGGTGCGAAAAAACAATATAATCTGAAAATTTTAATTTCTGTGGCATATTTGTTTACATCATTAATATTTTAATATGTTTTTAGTACGCAATGTTATTGGATGTAGTAAACAATCTATTATTATACGTGGAACCTCATAGGAAGGAAGCCCTAGAAAAATTGGCCCGTATGAGATTTAAATTACAGTTGCACTCAGTTGAAGATCAAAGAAAACCGATACAGAATCAACAAACGCTAGTAAGAAGTACACAAAGTAAATTGAGGAGACTTGAAAAAGAAACATATTTGGTCAATAAAGCTTTAGAAGAAAATCCTGATGATATCGAGTTGAGACAAGAATCTGATAGACTAGAAAGACTGGTAAGAGTTCTAACTTCTTATTAAATGTGTTTATGCATACTATGCATATGCATGCTGGTTCAATTCCCGGCTCAATCTATTTACAATATTTATTTAGAACTGAAAAACTGTTTACATAAAATGGCCCATATATACTAATCAACCGTTAGTCTCGAGGCAGCGTTGACCTTCCAGAACTTACTCGACCGTCGTGGAGCCAAACTGGTCTTTTAGCGTAGGATGGATCCATGGATCTTCTTACTAGAAATTTCTGCCGGCAGGTATATGATCTGGAAAATACTTGAATGAAAAAGGATATTTACAGTCTTATGAGTCATGTTTATCGCAACAGTATTAAAGTTTGGTGTAATTCATAATAGACTTTCCGATGATTCTGATCGTTTTACTTTTGATATTTGTAGATGTACGACTGCAAAAACCAACTTAACGCACAAAGCGAAGAACTAGATATGATGTTGTCCTGTTTCAAGGAGACTCAACTATTAGTAAATTCTAGGCTAGCTACAACAAGAAGCGATAAACCATTAACTGTTGTTAGAGCCAACGAAATTTGCTTTAAGCATGCACAGTGGAGATTGACTGAAGCCGACGGGCAGATTGGTATCGCAGATTTAGTATTAAGCAACTTTTTGTAAGTATCCATTATTTACTATTTTTGGGAATTAAACACAATTTCAGTTGTTAATACGTTTATTTTGTACACTGCCTGCTTCTACAAAATTTTAGAAGCAGGCAGTTTCAGGTATCACTGATTTATGACATTACGTATGGAATTATCAGCTGTGTCATAAAAACTGTGCTATCAATCATTTTCAAATGGAGTATAGTATAAGTATTTTTTCTTAAAACTTTTATTGAATGGGATCCTAATACAGTATGATTTCTTACGAGATATATGTAACGTGAAAACATCAAAATCCTCTGTTATTCCGAAGAAGTGCAGAAATTGAAGTCATTCTACACTAGGCACCCTTGATGCAGAAGTGACACAACTCGAAAAAATTAGTTTTGGAGAAATTACGAAAAACTAGTTATGACCTAACTGAACATTTTAGAAGATTCAAAAGCAACTGATTTAACGAATAATGTCTCAAAGTAAACAACTTTAGCGTTATTTAGATTTAATTAGCTTTTAGCCCTTAAAAAACTATTGTTTTGACTTGTGACGTTTTTTTGATCTTCTGGCTCTCACGGAATATAAGTATTTTGAGTTGTGACAGTTTTGATGATTTTTAAACCATAATTGATAATATTCGGAGGAAATATTTAAGGAAGCCTTAATGGAGACAACCGAAGGTATTATTGTGAATGGAGTTGTCAACAATATTAGATATGCCGACAAGACCTTCAAAATCTAATGAACAAAATAAAACAGACTTGTGATCAGTATGGATTAAAACTCAACGTTAAGAAAACTAACTATATGATAGTTAACAAACAAAATTATATACAAGATGACGGTATAAAAGTCGGAAATGTCACACTGGACAGAGTAGAGAAACTCGTGTATCTCGGCAGTAATATCAATGAGAGCAGAACCGAAATTAAAAGCCGAATATAACAAGCCCGAGCTGCCTTTGTAAAAATGAGAAACGTACTTTGCAGTCACGATCTTAGCATTGACCTTAAGAGTTCGAATGATATCGTGCTACATCTTTCCTGTCCTGCTGTATGGAGTGGAAGCGTGGACTCTAACTGGGGCTCCCCTTAAACGCTTGACAGCCTTTGAGATGTGGGTATACAGACGACTACTGAAAATGAGCTGGGTCGACAGGGTTAGAAATGAGGAGGTCCTTAGACGGCTGAACTAAAGAACACGACTATTCCATATAATAAAGAAACTCAAGCTGGAATACTTCGGTCACATTATGAGACACCCCGAAAATATGATCTTTTTCATCTGATTATTCAGGGAAAGATCCAAGGTTATCGTGGTCCTGGTAGAAGAAGAACACCATGGCTTAGAAAAATCTAAGGTATGGAAAATCAACTACATCGTTATTTAGAGCTGCTGTCAATAAAGTCACGATAGCGAATATGGTAGCCAACATGATATCCAATGATCGATAACGGTCATGGAACTAGAAGAAGAAATTGGTAATATGACATTGTTGATGATATAATAAATCAGCAGGTATATTTACCGCAATCAGCTAAAACGGCATAAGTCAAATTAATTTTTTTTTTGATATTTCATCTACAAAACTGTCACAAAAACACAAAATGTATAACCCAGATCGGTGCAATTTTCTCTTTATAACGACACAACTCGAAATACAACGTTTTTTATAATTATTGTAACATACCCTACACCAACAACTCTCAAGGCACAACTATCGTTATAACTCTTTAGTAGAATATTATACCCATTTGGAACATGAAAAGTGACACTAGGGCCACCTCGCGGCCAATAGATGAAGTTCATTTAATAAACTTTCGATGATTGATGCGTATATTAATATGGCGTCCGTTAACATCACTAGCTCAAATATAACCAGTTTTGAGTTGTGTCACTTTTGCAATAAGGATGCGACAACAAATATCTAGGATAACTGAACGCATGTTTACCGAAAAAAGCAAAATATGTGAGTATATATAAGGAAGCAATTCAATGTAAACTGAAAGTACACTGCCATATAATACAAGAAGTTTTGAAATAGAAACATGAAATGGATTATTAGGATCAACATATAAATTTATTTCGTTGATTGGAAATGTATACTGTTTATGATATTTATTTTATTTAATTTTAGGTACACTAAAAATTCTAAAAGCGACGATTCTGTTGAACATCTAATGGAATTGGGATATTTGAGAATGACCAATCTGTTACCGAATGAAATATACAAAGAAGTAATATGTCCGACAGAAATTCAATTTGACATGCCAATAGAGCACAAAGTAAGTGTAACCGATATTACATTATATTTGCCTATAATTATATTTTTCCTTTTTTGTAGAAAGTGTTAAGGATCTTCTGCAGGGAGAAGCCACCTGTTGGAGGAATATCTGTCAAGGAAATTTTTGAAATTAATTTAGTACCATTAACCATAGGTATGTTTATATTTTTTTACGTCAACTAAGAGTTTTTTTGACATTAGAGGATCTACCTAAACTTTATAGAAAATGAAACTTTTTGGTAAAATAAAATATTTACTGATACCCACATAATTTGAAGACATACGACTGTTCCATTTACACTTAAAATCAAATGGTTGCAAAATAATAACTTTTATTTAATTTAAAATTAGATATCGACTCTACTGTTCAGTAGAATATCATAATGGTCACTTAACACTGTTGCCAATTTGCTAGTGTCTTACTCACTATTGTTCCCGTAACTTTTCCAACGAAATTACGTGCCTACTATACCATAATACAGTTCATTTATTAGTGTATTTTGTTATGTTTCAGTCTGTGGTTTTTATATCGGTCTGAGGACAGAGTGCAAGTGGCTGATTCCTTAACTAGTCGCACAACAAAGATCTTTTAAAAATCAAAAGACTGATATTTTTTTGTACACACTTATGACAAGTCGAAAGAAAATGCAAAAAAGTATTTTTGAAGTGTGTATATTTTAGGCAATTCCTAGCTGAGCGCTTTCGGCTTTACAAAGCCATCATCAGAACTATGGTCAATTTTTTAAATACCACTACAAAGGAGAGATCTCATTTCCTTATATTTCAAAAATAATGATTTTTTTAGTTGTTGAAATTTGTTAAAACATATAAAATTGTTTTTTTATATGTTTTAACAAATTTCAACAACTAAAAAAATCATTATTTTTGAAATATAAGGAAATGAGATCTCTCCTTTGTAGTGGTATTTAAAAAATTGACCATAGCTCTGATGATGGCTTTGTAAAGCCGAAAGCGCTCAGCTAGGAATTGCCTAAAATATACACACTTCAAAAATACTTTTTTGCATTTTCTTTCGAAAGATCTTTTAAACCAATCACAATGAAGTGTAATAAAAGTCCATTTTTATGTTAATATTATGTATTTTTATTAACTAATTTCTCTGTATTTAGGTTTGATGATCGTCAATTTGCAAATATATATTAACGTTGAAATGTTTTTAGGGCTAACTAAAAAATTCTATAACACCATGATGAAATTTTGTTTCCCTGAAAGGGAAAGCGAACACAATGATTATAACGATAGAGCAAGTGAGGATGGTGAACTGGAACAAAAAGGAAAGAAAACAAAGAATAGACGGAATCGCGATTCAAACTTTTATGTTCATATTGATGATGTTGAAAAAATGAAGGTAACCATTTGTTTACATCTGAGGAGATCTAACTGATCAACTGTAATCATTAATCCACTGTATTATAACTGGTTTAATCCATTTAGTGTTCAGACTGGGTCAAATAAGAAAATATCCCTTAGATTATTATACTAGATGTGTTCAATTATTGTTTTTTCTTGATTGTTACCTAGTTTATTACTACCTTTGTACTTTTAATTTTTTTGCATTACTATTTACTTAGAGGATATCCCACCCCCTAATGTCATATTAATGTCACTTGAGAAATGCCAGGTATCATATTGTATACGTCACTTGGTATCTGTCATACGTTATTTTTCATCAGTCATGTGTTCTCTGTCTTGTCACCTATCACGGATCTTCTATCATAAATCACTGATATATCTATTCTAATTAGTTTCATTGTTATGATATACTCAACAGTACTAGGTTTTTTGGTGACAACGATCCCAGCCCCATAGGATTTGATAAGTTCGTTAGTCATCTAGGTTAACATTTTATATAAAAGGGAGAATATACAAGAAGTTTACTGTCAGGCAAATTTCTAGAACTCTTTGATATGGTATATCTAAGGGGACGAGATAGACCGAAGAATATAACACGTTCCTAGCTCTTAATTCTCTCTAGTGTATCCAATGTTATTTTTCTTTGGAGTAGGTTGCCTGTGTTTTATTGAATTAATAGTTGTAAATTTAATTAACAGTTGTAACAACATTGTTGTTTTTTATTTATTTAATGGACCGCCGGAGTGATGACGTAGATTTGATTGACATCTGTCAGTTTCACTTTCCAAACAAACGTTGTTTAGTGTGGATAATTTGTATTTTTCGTTATTATTTAATTTTTTTCATAATCTTTCCGTTTTTTGCAATATTTAAGTCTTCATAATAATAGTTACTACAACAATTTTACAAGGTTGTGTAAATAATAAAGCATGTTTTTTTTTATAAAAATAGCAATAAAATGAATGCATCAATAAAGTAAGGTTAGACTTTCTTTAATGTATACTTTTAAACTATATTTTATAGAAATAGAACACCGAATTGTGATGGTATTATCGTAAAAAACACTGTACTTAAAAGAAAAAGTAGCAGAGGAAGCAAAATGTTAACTTTATAGAAATTAAAAACTCTTGAGATTTGACATTTCAACTTTTGTTTGGAAAGTTATGACATATGTGACGTCACACTCCTGCTGTCCATTGAATAAACTATCCTTTTATGCATATTTCCTATACCAAATAGTTTCCTTTATTTTATTACTATAAAATTATTGTTAAAATATATAATTTTCATTTGCAGGAAAGAGCAGAAAAGAACAAATTATTTGTTTATATTAAAATTCCGGAAGTTCCTGTTAAGCTTAGTTATAAAGGAACAAAAGAAAAGAATCTTGAGGATTTAAGGGACTATTCTTTGATAATTCCCACTTTAGAATACCACAATATGACGTGGACGTGGTTAGACCTATTGGTAGCGATAAGAAATGACAGTAAACGAGTTATTTTGTCACAGGTAAGTTTATTTTAAGTTGGTAATCCAAGCGCAACTACAATAAAAATTTTAAATTCTTGAAGGTGTCATAGCAGTCGTTGCTGTTGAAGAAACTGTAGTAGATTCATTTCTGTTTGAAGGTGTAATAGTTGAGACAGCAGTATCTGAGTTATTTACAGTTACTGAGCAACTACCGGAAATGTAGCCATGTTGTTTTCAATGGAAACATTCATTGTCTATAACAAATATATATATATATATATATATATATATATATATATATATATATACGATTTATCAATTTAGTTATGTGAGTTTTATATCCTTTGTGTGACATTATATTTTCCATAAAATGTGTGTGATGAAATTAAGACTAATTATTTACAGCTAAAAAGTATTTTTCTTATAAAAGGAAAATAGTTTTCTTAAAATTTGTGTATTAACAATACTGACAGGTTAAAAATATCTATTCTCAGAAAACTTGTTCTATAAAAACTAAATCCCAAATTGTATTAAATCTTCATGTAACCTTCCGGTGCGATTGTCTTATCATATTATCTTCCCGTAACTTTTATAAGGTAGTGAATTTCTATCCTTTTGTTAATCACTGTACTCAAGGTAGCCTGATTTGCATATTTTTATTAGTTCTTTTGTTTTAAATTTAAATAAAAATATTGAAAGTTTTACAAATAATTTTTCTACCCTATTATGACCTTGTCATTCCAAAGCCAAGGAATTGTGGCTATCAGAAACATGTGCAGACATAGAAAGGTACCTATTTATTCTAGGTAGCTATCTGATTTCTTGGAATATATTGAATGTAAAGTTTAATATCATACTAAATCCCGACGGCTGTTAGGGATGATTTTTTCTTTACTTACTCGATGATTTATTGCAATTCGGGTATGATACCAAAAGCCCACCATAGTTTTCATAAAGATATTTTGCCCCAAGATGATATACGAGAAGAGGACAATAACTAACAGAAAATGTATCTACACTTTTTACAATTCTCTCCGTGCAAAAGTGTTATAACTTTAAAATTCTAATACTAATAGTGTAGTGATTAACAATTTTCTCCGTGCAAAAGTGTAACTTTGAAATTCCTATTTTTTTTAGCATTAATATTATTCTATTTAAATTTCTATTTTTGGTTAATGTAACATAGGGTGCGATATGTTTTGGACTAACTAGAGTGCCTATCGCTAACAAGTATTCTTCTAATTTGACTTTATTGGGAGAATTGAAAACTATTGCTTGTAGTTTGGATGGATAGATTGGTTTTTGTTGTTTACTGGCTGCAGCTAAGTGGTTGTGAAGTAAATTGAGATAATCCATCGTTATTCTCAGTAGCATCAAATTCCATTTTTAATTACCAATTGATTATCCTAAATACGGACCTGTTCCTCTTCAGGTTTTTGGTAATTACCTTTGATGATAAAACTGGTGTCGATAAATGGCTGGTATAATTATTTATGTACTATGTTATAGATACTGTGATCACGGATTACTTTATTAATAATAAAATATGTACTCACAGATCTTATTTCTTCGATGCACAATGAACGAACACTATAACACTGTATGATGGAGTGCAGACTGAGAATTTTACGATTGTTATTAGTATGTAAATTTCACAATTTGTCAGGATCGATTACTATTAAACTGGGAATATATATATATATATATATATATATATATATATATATATATATATATATATAATGGCTATACACCCCAACGTGGGGTTAAACCGCAAATGCTTTCTAGATCCTATTTCTTAAGTGGATCAGTCTTTTTTTTTGTTTATCTTATATTCTTGACAATATCTCTCCATTTTTTCCTGTCTCTAGTTCTTCCTCTCCATTCACTGACTCCTGCCCTTTGGAGGTCTTCTTCAACTTCTTGCAGCCACTTTGATCTCGGTCTTCCCCTTCTCTTTCTTCCTCCTGGATTCCATTCTATCATTGCGTATGTCACTGCCTCATCGCCTGCTCGCCAGATGTGACCTAACCATCTAACTCTGCATTGCTTTATTTTAGTTACAATGTCTTCCTTAATTTCTGCATTTGTTCTGCTTCTATATTCATTTTGCTCTGTTCTGATTGGTCCTAGTATGGTTCTCATAATCTTTCTCTCTGCAATTCTTAAGTCTTCTTCATCTTTTTTAACCATCGTCATTGTTTCCCCTGCATACAATAATATTGGTCTAATTATGGTGTTATAAATGCTCATCTTGCTTTTTTTAGTCAGTGTTTTGCTTTTAAGTAATCTTTTGTTTGCAAAATAAGCTTTATTCGCTGCTAATATTTTTTCTTTTATTTCGGATTCCCTTTCTCCGGATTTACTTATTGTAACTCCTAGGTATTTGAAGTATTCTACTTCTTCAAACTCGGAACTTCCTATTTTGATTTTTTCCTTCATTGGTTTTTTCCCTAATCTTAATATTTTTGTCTTTTCTTGATTTAATCTTAGCCCCATTACCTCCCCTTTCTCTCTTATTTCTTCAAGCATTTCTTTCATTATTTTTCTGTTCTTTGCAAGAATAGCAATATCATCTGCATATGCAATTATTTGACCACCTCTTGTTCTGAGATTTCCTTTATTTATATTTCGCAGTACATATTCTAATGCTAGATTAAATAGCGTCGTTGATAAGGCATCTCCTTGTTTCATCCCTTTATTTATACTGAATTCCTCTGTCTCTCCTCTTTGTGTCTTTATGCTTATTTTTGTAGTTCTCATTGTCATTTCTATTAATTTTCTGAGTTTATGTGGAATTTTTAATTTTTTAAGTGCTGTCATTAATACGTTCCTTTTAATTAAATCAAATGCCTGTTTGAAGTCTATGAATAACATTTCCAATTCTAATTTATACTCGTTTGCTTTTTCCATTATTTGTTTTATTGTGTGTATTGCATCGATTGTAGATCTTCCTTCTGTGAATCCACATTGGTACTGTCCTACTGTCTTCTTTGTGATCTTTGATAACCTCTTTTTTATTATTGATGTTAATATTTTATATGTTGATTTAGTAATGTTACCTCTATAATTTTCACAGATTTGTTGGTCTCCCTTTTTATGTACTGTTATGATCTGTCCTACCTCTCAGTCACCTGGCATTTTCTCTTCTTTCCATATATTTTTCAATAGTGCCAGTATTTTTCCTCTTAGTTCCCTTCCCCCGTATTTTATTAGTTCCATATTAATTCCATCTTTACCTGGGGCTTTTCCATTTTTGCTTCTCTGTATTACTTCATCCAATTCCTCTAATGTTGGTTCTTTTGAAATTTCGATGTCTACTTCATTTGCTTCTTCTTCGTGTACTGTTTCCTCCTCGTCATGCATTTCTTCTTCTGTTGTTTCCTCCGTCAAGAGCTCTCTGTAGTAATCTCTCCATACTTGCTTGTATTCTTGGTCCTCTATTATAACTATTCCCTCTCTATTTTTTATTCCGTTTGTTTTGCCCTTGTATTTTTTGTTTTGTTCTTTAATCTTTTTGTAAAAACTTTTCGTATTTCTGTTTGTTCTTTCCTGCTCTATTTCCTGCATTTTTTTGTCTACCCATCTTCTTTTATTTTGCCTTATCACTTTCTTAGCATACCTTCTTAATTTTTCATATTCTTCTCTGTCTTCCTCTTTATCTGTTCTTAGCCATTTATTTCTGGCTTGCACTTTTTTTTCTGTTATTTCTCTACATTCTTGGTTATACCATTCGTTTCTTGTTTTAGCCTGACTTTTACCTATCTGCATATTTGCACCTTCTTCTATTGATTTTTTGATCGTCTCCCATTCTGTGCTTATATCTTCTACTTTATATTTCTCTTTTATTTGAACTGTTACTGCCTCTTCATATTTTTTTCTTACTTCTTCATTACTCAATTTATTGACATTCCACTTTTTATGTTGGTTTTTTTGTTTTGTTTCAATTTTAACTTTTTGTCTTAAAATGGCTGTGACCATGTAGTGGTCTGAATCTGCGCACGCACCTCTGAACGTTCTTACATCTTTTATTGACGATTGTTTTCGTTTATTAATCATTATGTGATCAATTTGACTATATGTTTTCTGATCCGGTGACCTCCATGTTACCTTATGTATTTTAGGGTGTTCAAATTTTGTCGAGCTTATTAGCAAATTTGTTCTTGTTGCTAGGTTACATAGTCTTTGCCCATTGTCATTCGTGTTTTCGTGTATTGTATGCTTTCCTGCAATTTGCTGTAAAAAGTCCTCTTTTCCAATTTGGGCGTTGAGGTCTCCCAGTACAAATATGACATCTTCTTTGGGTATTTTTTCTATCTCCTCTTCGACCTTATCATAAAAGATTTCTTTTTCGTCTGCATTGCTTGTTTCTGTGGGGGCGTATAAATTCAAGACTGATATATTAAATGGTTTGCTGTTGACTCTAACATAGGCCATCCTTTCGCATATTGGCTTGAAACTGGGAATAAGCACAGTTTAATAGTAATTAATTTACAATGCCACAAGAAAATAGCTTCAGAACAATATTGTCAGGATCGATAAAAAAGTGTATATACTTATTCGATACCGGCACCGGACCATGATATTAAAATGAATTTATCGTTAATCGTTCTTCTTCTTCTTAGCCTTCTATCGTCCATGTTTGGACATAGGCCTCTTCCAACTCCTTCCATCGGTCTCTATCCTGAGCAACATAATTTTCAATATGTTCCGGCTATTCTTTTAATGTCATCAACCCATCTCATCTGTGGTCTTCCTCTTGGTCGTTTACTTTCGTAAGGTCTCCAATGTTGTATTGTAGTATTTCAACGTTGGTCTTTTTGTCTAGCAGTGTGGCCCGCGAAGCTCCATTTAAGTTTGGCAATTTTTGTTGTTATGTCCTCGAATTTTGTTTTTGATCTTACCCAGTCGTTCCTCTTTTTATCTGACAGTCGTATACCTAACATTGTTCTTTCTGTTGTGGCTAGTTTATTCATGTTTGACTTGGTTAGGGTCCAGGTTTAGCATCCATATGTTATGATAGGAAGTATGCATTGGTTGTACACTTTGCTCCTCGTTAATCGTTACTAAAGGTCGTATTATTAATTTTAAAAAGGTAGTATTTGAGGAGACTGGTATATTGTTTTTGAGGTTTATAGCCCGTGGTCTGGCATGGATTCCACGTTTAGTATGCAACTGTGGCACACATCAAAGACGAAGCAAGGGTGGACGTAAAACCACTACAAAATACCTGCCACGAAAGCGTGCTTTATCGAAAAATTAGGAGAGTGTATTATTTCTCTGTACCTATAATATATTATTGTTAATTTTATGATTGGATATTGTAGGCCATTAAACAGAAGTTACAAATTAAAAGAAATACTGGGTCTGCAGATGAAAGCTCAGCACCTCAGGAGGAAGATAAAGCAAGAATGTTGTTTGGAACAAGACATGTAAGTAATTGTGCAAAAATTAACAGCAGTTTTAAATTAATTTAGACTAACAAATTTATAAGAAATTATGTATGTATTTTGTCTAGGGTTTTTTCCTGAACGTGAATTTTCAATAAACTTAACGTTAAAAGACCAATTAATATGATGGGTGTTATTATTTTGGCAATTCGCGATAAAATATAGATGAACATAACCAGTGATATAGCACGTTGGCTAACTATTATCCTATTAGATTGAAATATATAGTGGTCTTTGATGCCTGTTTTATTATTCATATGTTTTTTAAAAATTGGTTCTCTTTTAAAATCTGTATACTTTTAAAATAAAACGAATTACCACTGTTCAAACCCTGTAAAAATAAAACATTCATGAAACTCTGGTGTACAATTCTTAAAATATTTCAATCTTCCACCAAAAACCTTTGGACGCTTAAAATGCGAACAAATCTTATGATATTTTAATGTTTAAAAGGATACTTGTATGTCTTTTGTCATTGCACTAACACATTATACTTCTAGATATACTAATTTATGCACACCTTTTCCATTTTATGGGCACAAGATATTGATTTCTTCTTTGCGTTTTAGTAAATCAGTTTATTAAGCGGCTAAATTCGTTTCTAACTTCGATTCTCTCGCTTCTTAATTGTCAAAACAAGTACTGACTTAGGAGAAATCATTTTAAACTTCCATAAGAGAGTTAAATAGCTTTTATCAAGGACACCGAACTTTTGATGGAGTTTTATGTAAGAACTGTCACAATACTGCCAGAGACAAGTATTGTGTCGAGTGATCTAATAGGAAGATAATGGTACCATATTCAAAAATGTATTGTATTTGCTGCAGTTGTTATCTACATATTTGGTTTTTCACAATCATTTTCTTGTAATTTCTTCTAGATTTTTCGTAATAAGAAGTACTAAGTTATATATAACAAATAGTAAAGATAAGGAAGAGGTTTGTCCAAACAGTGAACAGTTCTATACAGTTTAGCGTGTTCGCCACAAAAATTACATTATTATACGACCTTTGGGGGTAAGGTACGCTTCAACATAGCACATATGTATCTTAGAAACAAATTAGCATCTCCTAAAACATACGATGACTAAATATCCCTTTTTGTAGCAACAATAGGCTAGGAAATGTAAAGATCACCATAATATTATAAAAAAGAAATCACTTATACTATTAATTTACCTTCAAAACCCCAAATTTAAATACCATATATCGGAGACAAAATTTATTTAGAAAACGTAGTTCATAAAATCTCCACTCGTTAAAGAGGGCATGGTGAACACCCACATCTCTCCCCTATTCCATTCTCTCTCCATCTAGTACTATCCACATACTCTACTATCTGATTCAGTCATATGCGGTATCTACTACTAGTTGCTTGATTCCATTCTCTCACTCTATCTCATCCAGTATCTATTCCTCGATCTAGACCTCATAGCATTCAAGGAATTAGTCTTTATCGCTAAGCAGCAATCATGCTATCATGTCGATAATATAACGCGTCGCTTGCATGAGAAGAAGAATTTTATTGTCGTAAATGGTTCTGTTGTTGTATTATGTGATTTTCTAAATCGGTTTTTATATCTGTTGTTTTAATTTATATATTCTACTAGTAATTTGACTTACCCCTAACTTAAATTTTCGTGCATTTGAGATCAACTATTGATGATTTCTCTAACTTCTCCTTCTTTCCTTCACCACCCGTCACTTCTTCTTTTCCTCTGTCACTTTTTACCTACTCTTTCTCTTTCTCTTTTTTCTTTGCTAAAAACTATGCTGGGGTCCAGACGTATCCATTTCTTTATTAAATTCAGTAGATCTTGTATTAACCAATAACAATTGCTTAAATATCTCTTTAATCCCACCGCTATCAACAATGTTATACTTCTTTAAATTATTTTATTTGGAACACCAACAATACTTATTTACAACTTAAACTCAATGATAACTATCAACTTCAAAAACTCAATTATTACTGTTCCTTGAACTGTCAACTTTCTGTTTTACACATTATATACATTTTCCACCGTTCAGACTTTACTAGACATTTTCGGATTTTTCGATATCTCAAATATTCTAGAATTTTTATAGTTCTTCTTTTTTATAAGGGGACTTTTTCTATGTGGAAAAAATCTTAGGGGACTGTTGTAACAGTATAAAGCATTTTATTATAAAGTACTTTAAGTAAAAATCTTTCTAGTATCTCTAAGATTTACAGCTTTCTCTACTTACTGTCTCAAAGCTAGTTGCTTATGGCTATATTTTACCTTAGAATATCTAATATTGATAATTCTAAATATGTTTAGTCCTTAACCAAAGAATATAGACGCATATAGAAGGATCTTTCACTGTCTTTTAGTTTTGGCAGAATGTATACACATGTTATAGAGAAGAAGTTGAACACGATTTTAGTTCCTTATTGTACCACTAGGGAGCAGTCATGTCAGCGCTATTACTGCTTCTAAAATATCAAGAGATCTAATCCTACTCATGCACCATATTTTTGTAAGAAAATAAAATATTATTGTAACTTTTAGTAACTGAATCTTTTTAGAAAAAATATTGTGATTCAAATGTTTAATTAAAATATGTACAAATCTACAAATACATAATATCGGGTTGTTCGAAAAAGGTGTTTCGATCAAAAACAATTCATGTTCTCGTTAGTACGCTAGAATTGCTTACACCAAAGAATTATTGTTCACAATTTGAAAATTCGAAATTATACAGTATAATTTCGGATTTTGAAATTTAAGAAATAAATAAGTGTCAAAAAACGCCTCTCTAGAGCACAACATAGGAAGATGAGGAAAAAGGCAAAAATAGCCAGGATAAAAAGAGACTTCGGGAGAATACCATCACCCTCCTCACAAAGAGGTACTAAGAAATCAACGGGCTCTAACGAGTTTCTTGGTTTTTTAGTAACGCTGTTAGGTCTTAAAGCACCGTAACAAAAGTATTCAGAATGGTGGTAGCACACAGATATATTTAATTGCAGATAAGTTTCTTTCTATAATGATATTTCTCCATATATGTAATCAGTTCAATTCATGATTATATTGAACAATAACACTTTACAGAGAAAATCATTCCTTTATTATCCTTACACTTAGAGTTCAAAAGTAGGCATCGTTTGCAGAAATTTTATTAAGTGTGGATGCACAAGTTAAATAGCTCCGTTTGTACTCCTTTCCCACTACCCCCTAACCATATCTTTCATAATATCACTGATATTGTTTTAAGCCGACAGCCACGGTTTGAGTTTATGCAGTCGCCCTCTACAGGAGTGTTTTGAAGTATAATAACCGTGACCAAATCGTTCATTAGAAATGTCCTTCTATATGCACCTATATTCTTTAACTTAACTTAAAACAGTAGATTCAATAATCGTAAGAAAGTAAGAGTTATTAGTAACTTATTGACTAGATCAAGTAGAGAAAATTTGAAATAAATAATTGACTGATATATTTTATATTTTTACAATTTTAGGCACCTGAAAACAGAAGCATACGGAAAGGAGTGTTTAGATTCAATAAATGACGAATACCTAAAAAGCTTTAATATTTTGAGAAGTTTAGAAAATTCTACGAAGAAAACTATTGTGATTGGAAAGGTGATATTTTTCCCGATTAAAAAAAGAAAGGTATTAATTACTACACGTAATTGTACCAGTTGTATTTTTATTTATTTCTATTTGTCCTTTATTGCCGTCTGTATTTTCTACCTCTACCTATGTAAAAACAATATATGTATAAGAAACAAACCTGTTATCAAAAATATATGCTTAGCAAATATACAGTATTTATTTCTGAACAATTTACTTTTTTCGAATTATGTTCTTTATCTCTTTACTTTTATTTTCCTTGACTCATGAATGGTGTCTTACCATATGAGTTAAATTCCTTTTTTTTTGTTCCACAAATATTTTAGTGACACGATTTAGATTCTACTGTTACACTAAAGTATGGCAAATATTAAATGAAACTATAAATAAAAAATCACGCGCCGTTATACGGGCTTTACACCAACAATAAATTAACAAAGAAATTCATGAACCCGCTTCAAGGTCAAATTTGACGTGTGTAAAGAACAATTTGACATCCAATTTTGCCGTGAATAAATTCGTGAAGATATTGACGAAATAGAACATGTCCTGTTTTGTTAATTTTTTGGACGTGAATTCAGTGTCACCAACCTGTGTACATCGGCGGGCGAACTTTCGACACCAAATTGTCTTTGTACCTGGGGTAATCGAAGGGTCAAATTTTATTATAGGAAATTTCGACACCGCGGCGTAAAGCAGGTAGGTAGGTAATTAGCGGCGATGGACATTTGCACCCAAGCAGGACAAGCGGGTTTTCCCAATATTTATTGTCACGGCGGGGGACGTGGCACTTGTGACTAAATTATTTCAGTTGTAATTTATTTCTTGTTTGACGTTGACTTGTGCACGTATACGGATATTTAAAAAATGAGTTTGATAAAAAGTTCCCGTGGTCGAGATTTATTAGTGGTGGAGCATCATTCGTTCTCGAAACAGAAAGTGTTAAAAAGCGGCGAGATATTTTGGCGCTGCATCCAAAGAAACACTAAGTGTTCCGCAAAAGTGTTTACAATAGGCTGTGAGAACCTCACCATCACAAGAAGTGATTTGGTACATAATCATGAAGCCGATCCAAAAAAGCTTGACCAATGCATGTAAAAGAAAAGCCCAAGAGGACATATCGGAAAAGCCTGCCAAAATTACAAGAACTGCTGTTGCTGAGTGTGATGCCAATTTGCTGACGGTTCCTGACATAGCTAGCATAAGAAAGAACATTTACAACTGTCGTCGTAAACTGTTACCAGGTCCGTTACCAAGAAGCATATCAGAAGTCCATAACGCGGTTAGTAATTATTCTCCTAAAACCTGTCGCAATGAAAGTTTTTTGTTTTTAAATCATCCTGAATTAAATGTAATTGTATTTTCATGCGAGACAAATATTCGTTTGTTGTGTACCTAAATTAAAAACTTTGTATATGGATGGTACATTTTCATACAGTACCAAATATTTTCTACAGTTATTTACTATACATGGCTTGGAAAATGGACATTATGTTCCTTTAGCATACTGTTTGTTAAAGGACAAATTGTCAATGACATACAAAAATTTATTTTCTTTATTAAGGTCTAAGATTTTTGAAACATTTCAATTATCATTAGAGCCAACTGAAATATTTGTGGACTTTGAAAAAGCAATTCACTGTGCTTTATTGTATATGTGGCCCAATGCAAAAATTAGTGGATGCCGTTTTCACTTACACCAAAACTGGTTTAAAAAAATTCAATCTTTGGGTTTGGTACAAGAATATAAGGATACAAATTCAGAAATTGGAAAATGGTTAAGGCATACGTTTGGTTTAACTTATTTAAATCCAAAATATATATTGGCATTTTTGGAGAAAATGATGGATAAACTACGATCCCAACAAATACGTAGGTTAGATTTTATAAAAGCTGTATCTTATCATTCCTATAAGAGCAAATAAATCATTGTATACAAGTATATTAACGGTAAAATGTACAAAAATTAGGTACTAGTTGTATTATATTTAGATATTATTACAGTTATAAAGAAATAAAATGCACATTACTTTTATTAAAATAAATAAATTAATTAATTATGGTATTTTATTTATATCGCAGCTATATTTATTTGGTGTCGAATATACCTGTAAGATAAAAACGGGAATTGGGGCTGGTGTCGAAAATAGCCATTAAATTTTAGTCGCTACCTGCTTAGTGTCGAAATTTCCTACGCCCGAACTTTTACGTCCAAGATATTCACGAATTTATTGACACAGAAATTGATGAATAAATTCCTGAATTTCTTCGTGAATTTATTGTTGGTGTAAAGCCCGTATAAGTGTTTAAATGTAGCCGAAATCATTCAAAACCTTTACGATCCATCGCGGTAGATGCGTTGGCCACCTTTGCTGTATGGGATGATATATAAGGCGATTAAAGTATTTATAAAGAGTTTATTAAAAATAAAGTTAAATAATCGGTACAAATACACTTGTCAGCTGTTCCAGCACTTGCATTTCCTTGTTATTAAGGCCAGCATCCTTACTCAACGCATTTAATGTTATCGTCGCCGTTGTTAATGTCGTTGATTTTTCGGGCACCAGCCTCTCCAAAACCTTCTGAGTATGAGTACGGAATACGTCAAAATGTTGATCAAGTACGTCTTGCAAAATTCCCAAGTCACCTTTCCGGAGTAACGTTGTAAGATGGCCAAGGGACAAACATACCTAAAAATTAAACGTATATTAAAATGAAAAACATTAAAATGGAAAATCACAGTGGTTGTCTGTATACTACAGTTTAAAAAAATTACAATGAAGTAAAAACTTCTGATGTAAAATTGTATACAGTTGTGGTGACCTGAAAACTGCATATAGCACGCATTATTAGTGCGAAAATAACAGTATGAGGTTGTTCTGCTAACAGAAAGAGACCAAATGTAGTATGAAATTAGTACCGACATACGAGCTTGATTTCAACATCCATTAAATTGAATTCTAGTTTTGTCAAAGTAACATTCATTTTTGATAACGGAAACTTCAAATATATGTTTATTTTTAGTATTAGTAATAATCCTGGTTTTATTCGCAAAAAACAGAATAAAGAAATTGATATTTCAATTTAGGAAAATAATAACCTTTACATCTGAACATAAAATTTAAAGTATTGAATGGAATTAGTGCCGACGATATAATCAGTAGGTTTTCGTTTTCATTCGAAGGCCCTGTACCAACAAAATCTACAATTCACAACACTATTTTTAAATTTGAAACTGGTTGTGTGACAAAATTGTAGAAAATGCACGGACAGTGATGAAGATGAAAATCAACCAGCTCGTGCAATTAATGAAGAACGGGAAATGCGTGAAACTGCCGTATGTAGTCTAGATGAAATCAATTTTCCTTGTAACAGCGCCCTAGTTTTAAGAGAAACTGGTATTGTATATGGAGACAAGTAGGGTACTCTACAGATAGTAGGCACATCCTTACAAAACACAATACCGTCAAAAAGTCAATATCTGGGCTGGTATTTTAGGTCAGTGGTTCTCAACCTTTTCATCACTGAGGACCACTTATACCTTTCAGAACTCTTGGCGGACCACTTAGATATTATTATTAATATTTCCTAATAATAGGTAAAATGAGATGAACACTGAAATTTTACTAATGAATTTATTATTTACAAAATAAAAAAAGAAAATACATAGTGAAAGACAAAAGGTATATAAAAAACAAAATAAAAAGTCATAGATAGCGCCAAATTAAGACGTTAATGACTCCCTTGGTCTTGCTTCTCACTTGAAAGTTTCTCAATATTTGGATCGAAAGAAGTTAACGCCAGTCTCATAGGAGCATTTAAATTTATCAACCTATTTCTGTGTTTATTCTTAATGACATATAATGTTGAGAATGATGCCTCGCAGAGATAAGTGGAATGAAAAGGAAGAAGAAGTTCCAAAGCTTTTTTACTTAGCAGTGGACTTTCATCAAGTAATCCTATCCAAAAATCTGCAACATTTTCGCAGTGAGATTTTATCACTTTTAAATGATCATCGGATGAAATTTCAATAAGCTGTTCATTTTCCTGAATAGACAGATTATTATTGTGGGTAGCTAAAAATGGATCAATCACCCACAGATTATTTTTCCTCACATCTGTATCAGCAGGGAAGTACTTTTCAAAGTAATCTTGAAGCGACTTAATGTAGGACTTAACCAGTAAATGTAAAACATCCTCATTTAAGCCTTTATTTTCAGAGATAAAATCTGAAAACAAGTTGAACATTTCAAACGATCCTTTTCCAGCTTCGGACTCCCATAGCAACAATTTTTTCTTAAATGAATCAATTTTTTTCCAAAGGTCAAATGCGGTTTTAGATGGTCCCTGCAGGCCTAGATTCAATATGTTGAGCTGTTCAAAAATATCTGCTAAAAAAGCTAACTGGGCCATAAATTCTCCGTCACGCAGTGTTTTCACTAAATCAGGTTTTTTTTTTCATCAAGATACATACATACTTCTTCTCGAAGTTCATAAAATCTTGCTATAACCCGGCCCCTGGACAGCCACCTAACTTCGGTATGTAGAAGGAGAGTGGAATGGGTGGATCCCATGTCCTCGCATAAACAAAGCAAACAATCTCGAACTAAGAGCATTACTTTTTATAAAGTTCACGGCCTTTACCACAGTAGTCAAAACCTTGTTTAGGTCGGGACTTAATCTTTTGGCAGCAAGCATTTCGCGATGAATAATACAGTGTGTTAAAACAATATTACGGTTTCCTGCTTTTCTTACAAAACTTGGCAAGCCTGTTTTGTGACCTGTCATTGCCGCGGCACCATCAGAGCAAAGTCCTACACAGTCTTTCCAAGAAACATTTTTAATTGTGAAATATCCGTCAATGGCTTTAAAAATGTCTTTTCCGGTTGTGTTACCTTGCAACTCAATCGAGGTCAGGAACTCCTCAGATAATTTTTTGTTGTCTTTATCTATGAATCGAATATAAACAAGAAGAATAGCTTTATTGGTAATATCTGTAGATTCATCAAGTTGTACAGCAAAAATCTTTGAGGAATGAATTTTCTTTAGAAGTTGGGTTTCAACATCTGATGCCATTTCTTCGATTCTCCTACTAACGGTGTCATTGGAAAGAGGAATATTTTGCACTTTATAACGAGTCACTGAGTAGTGGCGCGATCAAAAACGCAGTGGTCGCAGTGTCTTGTACGTACACGACAGCGGCCGAAACTAAACGAAGATAATGCAACTAACTATTTGGCGCGTGAGGGAAAATACGCGGAAGATTGAGGAGAATGAATCTGTGTTCAGGCGCGCTTGGTCGTCTGGAAACGTTTTGAGTTAAAAAGATAGGCCGGCGCATTAATTTACGTCTCAAGAACCAAGATTTAAATTGAATATTTTATGACTGTTCACTTCGCGGACCACATGAAAACAGTTCGGGGACCACAGGTTGAGAATCACTGTTTTAGGTGACAACGTAATTGACCCTTTTTTCATTGTGGGCTCGTAAATACTTATATCTCCTGAGAAATCACATAATTCTAGCAGCTCGAGCATTACCTATTAATATGGATTAAATTTGGTTACAGCAAGACAGCTGTCCAGCTCACAAAGCACGGGAGGTGTTAGATTTTTTAAACGTTATGTTTCCACAGAGTTATTAGTATAAAAGTTACCATAAAAATGCCACCTCGCTTTCCTGATCTCGCACCTTTGGACTTTTTCGTATGGAGTTATGTGAAGCAACAAATTTACCGACATCAGTATGAACGTGCCGGAAATTTAGACGAATTATGTCAAAAAATCATTCAGACCTTTCAAAGCATAATACCCATAGGCAATTATACAATAGATTATGCTACTGCTTCGCTGAACGTGGTGGACTTTTTGAAAATTTAATTTAAAATAGTTTTAATTAAAATTATAAAATTGTTATTTTTTAGAATAAATGGTTTTAATTTATTTAAAGGATTGCATTTTTAGGGGGCATTTAGTATAACGTACAGATACCTAGTCTATAAGTAATTTGTAAAACACTTCTCATGTAATTAAAGAAAATTATTGTTACCTGTTCCACGAGATGATCCCTGTGTTTATATTCGCTAAAATCTTCCATTTGCTGAGAGTTTTCCAAAGCCTCTAGTAATGCCGTCCAAACGAGTACAAAATAATTACCATAATGTTCTCTGTTAGTCGGACATGACAGCGAAAGAGCTGCATTAATTCTTACTTTAAAATTTTTAAAGCTTACTACAAGTTCGGTCAAAGCTTTATAAATGGAATCCTGAAAATAATAGAGTTTTTAATATTGTTTGAAAGCTATTTTCTTTTTAAATTTTAATGTTATTTACTATTTACAATTTCTTCTTCAATTCTTCTACAATTTAAAACAAATTATCAAGTAAAAAAACGAATTAATTTTAGACCAGGAAAATAAGGACAATGACCCGGCCAGGCAAACGACAGTTGTTTTGAGTAGTATGGACCTCTAGAACAAGAAATTATATGTTTCTTCCAGTCGATTTTTTTATCTTAATTAGTTATTAACAAATTAAACCTTTGTGGCCATTGTCATGGCATACATGACACCATTACAACTCGTATGAAATAAGAGAGTACGGCAACGCTGCTGTCAAGCATATGAAGTGCAATTGGCTTGCTCCTGTATTAAACCCGAAAATCGAGAGGTGCAGAGTGAAATAATTGTACCAAAGCAGCAATAAGTGTGTGTAAAGTTACAACGCGTATCGCAGTGTGAATAAACCGATAGTAAGTGGCTAATTACTAATAATAATAGGCAAAATCAGTTGTTCCGATACGAACAGTTTCTGTTGTTTAATTTAGTGATAATAGCAAAAGAACTAATTCGACCTCGGGATTCTGACCGGTAGAAAAGCGGTGTTGCCGTAATGCAAAAATAGTAAAGAATTTAAAGAGAACAGAATTATACAATTTATTGTGAAGAACTGAATAGCTAATATCACGAGCACAATTAGAAAGCAGTGAATAGCGAAGACGAGTACACCCCGGATGAGGGCAAAAGAAGGAAAGGCCCACAAACATTTTGGTTTTGGAAAGTGCGCAAAAACTAAAAGATCTCCAGACATAAAAGAGAAAGAAGAAGATAACAGGAAAAATAATGGATATGATCCAAGGCTTGCAACGATTTATAGAAGCAGAAACGAAGAAATATAAAACAAGAACAAAAAAAAAGTCTAACAGAAAGATCTTATACAAGCCATGGATAGAATTGAAAGACTTGAGAACGAGAAAAGAAGAAATAATGTAGTAATTCAGGGACTACCAATAGAAACAAATAACGTAGAAACAGTGAAGAGCAATATGCAAAGATTTATAAGTAAGCACCTGAACATTGAGATTGAAATAGAAAGAGCAATTAAAATAGGAGAAAAGACCTGTTTATTAGAACTAAAAGATAGTAACCAAAAATACACACTTATGAACAATAAAGCCAAATTAAGAAATATTAGAGAACATAAAGTATATATAAATGATGATATGAGCGAACAGCAGAGAATTATTCAAAAAGAAATTAGAGCTAAAGCTAAGAAAGAAAAGAGTAAAGGGAATACAGTCAAACTGGGGTTTCAAAAACTTATTATAAATGGAGAAGTATGGACGTGGAACGGGGAGATGAAGGCTCTCAACAAATCCAGGAAGAAATAGCAGACCACGGATGATTTTTTCCAAATTTTTATGAAAAAAATTTTTTTTTATGTTTTGGTACAAGCACTCGGTCCAACTTATTACAAAAATGTGTCTTAGTCTGATCCGCTAACCCAAATTTGCCGGGACAGAGAAAAAATCGAATTAAAAATTCTTTACTTTTTCAGCAAATATAGACCTCCAAATGAAAATTTTTCTCACGAACCGTTTGATTTGGAAAAATTCTGAGCATCGCATAAGAACGAGCGGTCAATTTTATGTAAGAAATGTCCACTCGCTTGACTCTAGGACAAAAATTGACGCCAATATAGCCAAATAAAGAAATTTGAAAAAAATCCAAGGGTACCCCCTTTGTTCATTTTTTCCAAATTTTTATAAAAAAAAAAATTTTTTTTTATGTTTTGGTGCAAGCACTCGGTCCATCTTATTACAAAAACATGTCTTAGTCTGATCCGCCAACCCAAATTTGCCGGGAAAGAGAAAAAACCGAATTAAAAATTCTTTACTTTTTCAGCAAATATAGACCTCCAAATGAAAATTTTTCTCACGAACCCTTAGATGTAGAAAAATTCTGAGCATCCCATAAGAACTAGCGGTCAATTTTATGTAAGAAATGTCCACTCGCTTGACTCTCGGACAAAAATTGACGCCAATATAGCCGAATAACGAAATTTGAAAAAAATCCAAGGGTACCCACTTTGTTCATTTTTTCCAAATTTTTATACAAAATTTTTTTTTTATGTTTTGGTACAAGCACTCGGTCCAGCTTATTACAAAAATGTGTCTTAGTCTGATCCGCTAACCCAAATTTGCCGGGAAAGAGAAAAAATCGAATTAAAAATTCTCCACTTTTTCAGCAAATATAGACCTCCAAATGAAAATTTTTCTCACGAACCGTTAGATATAGAAAAATTCTGAGCATCTCATAAGAACGAGCGGTCAATTTTATGTAAGAAATGTCCACTCGCTTGACTCTCGGACAAAAATTGACGCCAATATAGCCGAATAACGTAATTTGAAAAAAATTCCAGAGTACCCCCTTTGTTCATTTTTTCCAAATTTTTATAAAAAAATTTTTTTTTTATGTTTTGGTGCAAGCACTCGGTCCATCTTATTACAAAAACATGTCTTAGTCTGATCCGCCAACCCAAATTTGCCGGGAAAGAGAAAAAATCGAATTAAAAATTCTTTACTTTTTCAGCAAATGTAGACCTCCAAATGAAAATTTTTCTCACGAACCCTTAGATGTAGAAAAATTCTGAGCATCCCATCGGTCAATTTTATGTAAGAAATGTCCACTCGCTTGACTCTCGGACAAAAATTGACGCCAATATAGCCGAATAACGAAATTTGAAAAAAATCCAAGGGTACCCCCTTTGTTCATTTTTTCCAAATTTTTATAAAAAAAAATCTTTTTTTTCATGTTTTGGTGCAAGCACTCGGTCCAGCTTATTACAAAAACATGTCTTAGTCTGATCCGCCAACCCAAATTTGCCGGGAAAGAGAAAAAATCGAATTGAAAATTCTTTACTTTTTCAGCAAATATAGACCTCCAAATGAAAATTTTTCTCACGAACCGTAAGATGTAGAAAAATTCTGAGCATCGCATAAGAACGAGCAGTCAATTTTATGTAAGAAATGTCCACTCGCTTGACTCTCGGACAAAAATTGACGCCAATATAACCAAATAAAAAATTTGAAAAAAATTCAAGGGTACCCCCTTTGTTCATTTTTTCCAAATTTTTATATAAAAAATTTTTTTTTATGTTTTGGTGCAAGCACTCAGTCCAGCTTATTACAAAAACATGTCTTAGTCTGATCCGCCAACCCAAATTTGCCGGGAAAGAGAAAAAATCGAATTAAAAATTCTTTACTTTTTTAGCAAATATAGACCTCCAAATGAAAATTTTTCTCACGAACCGTTAAATGTAGAAAAATTCTGAGCATCGCATAAGAACGAGCGGTCAATTTTATGTAAGAAATGTCCACTCGCTTGACTCTAGGACAAAAATTGACGCCAATATAGCCAAATAAAGAAATTTGAAAAAAATCCAAGGGTACCCCCTTTGTTCATTTTTTCCAAATTTTTATAAAAAAAAAAATTTTTTTTTTATGTTTTGGTGCAAGCACTCGGTCCAACTTATTACAAAAACATGTCTTAGTCTGATCCGCCAACCCAAATTTGCCGGAAAAGAGAAAAAATCGAATTAAAAATTCTTTACTTTTTCAGCAAATATGGACCTCCAAATGAAAATTTTTCTCACGAACCGTTAGATGTAGAAAAATTCTGAGCATCGCATAAGAACGAACAGTCAATTTTATGTAAGAAATGTCCACTCGCTTGACTCTCGGACAAAAATTGACGCCAATATAGCCGAATAACGAAATTTGAAAAAAATCTAAGGGTACCCCCTTTGTTCATTTTTTCCAAATTTTTATAAAAAATTTTTTTTTATGTTGTGGTGCAAGCACTCGGTCCAGCTTATTACAAAAACATGTCTTAGTCTGATCCGCTAACCCAAATTTGCCGGGAAAGAGAAAAAATCGAATTAAAAATTCTCCACTTTTTCAGTAAATATAGACCTCCAAATGAAAATTTTTCTCACGAAACGTTGGATGTAGGAAAATTCTGAGCATGGCAGAAGAACGAGCGGCCAATTTTATGTAAGAGATGTCCACTCGCTTGACTCTCGGACCAAAATTGACGCCAATATAGCCGAGTAACGAAATTTGAAAAAAATCCAAGGGTACCCCCTTTGTTCATTTTTTCCAAATTTTTATAAAAAAAATCTTTTTTTTCATGTTTTGGTGCAAGCACTCGGTCCAGCTTATTACAAAAACATGTCTTAGTCCGATCCGCCAACCCAAATTTGCCGGGAAAGAGAAAAAATCGAATTAAAAATTCTTTACTTTTTCAGCAAATATAGACCTCCAAATGAAAATTTTTCTCACGAACCGTTAGATGTAGAAAAATTCTGAGCATCACATAAGAACGAGCGGTCAATTTTATGTAAGAAATGTCCACTCGCTTGACTCTCGGACAAAAATTGACGCCAATATAGCCGAATAACGAAATTTGAAAAAAATCCAAGGGTACCCACTTTGTTCATTTTTTCCAAATTTTTATAAAAAAAAAAATTTTGTTTATGTTTTGGTGCAAGCACTCGGTCCATCTTATTACAAAAACATGTCTTAGTCTGATCCGCCAACCCAAATTTGCCGGGAAAGAGAAAAAATCAAATTAAAAATTCTTTACTTTTTCAGCAAATATAGACCTCCAAATGAAAATTTTTCTCACGAACCGTTAGATGTAGAAAAATTCTGAGCATCGCATAAGAACGAGCAGTCAATTTTATGTAAGAAATGTCCACTCGCTTGACTCTCGGACAAAAATTGACGCCAATATAACCAAATAAAAAATTTGAAAAAAATTCAAGGGTACCCCCTTTGTTCATTTTTTCCAAATTTTTATATAAAAATTTTTTTTTTATGTTTTGGTGCAAGCACTCAGTCCAGCTTATTACAAAAACATGTCTTAGTCTGATCCGCCAACCCAAATTTGCCGGGAAAGAGAAAAAATCGAATTAAAAATTCTTTACTTTTTTAGCAAATATAGACCTCCAAATGAAAATTTTTCTCACGAACCGTTAAATGTAGAAAAATTCTGAGCATCGCATAAGAACGAGCGGTCAATTTTATGTAAGAAATGTCCACTCGCTTGACTCTAGGACAAAAATTGACGCCAATATAGCCAAATAAAGAAATTTGAAAAAAATCCAAGGGTACCCCCTTTGTTCATTTTTTCCAAATTTTTATAAAAAAAAAAATTTTTTTTTTATGTTTTGGTGCAATCACTCGGTCCATCTTATTACAAAAACATGTCTTAGTCTGATCCGCCAACCCAAATTTGCCGGAAAAGAGAAAAAATCGAATTAAAAATTCTTTACTTTTTTAGCAAATATAGACCTCCAAATGAAAATTTTTCTCACGAACCGTTAAATGTAGAAAAATTCTGAGCATCGCATAAGAACGAGCGGTCAATTTTATGTAAGAAATGTCCACTCGCTTGACTCTAGGACAAAAATTGACGCCAATATAGCCAAATAAAGAAATTTGAAAAAAATCCAAGGGTACCCCCTTTGTTCATTTTTTCCAAATTTTTATAAAAAAAAAAATTTTTTTTTTATGTTTTGGTGCAATCACTCGGTCCATCTTATTACAAAAACATGTCTTAGTCTGATCCGCCAACCCAAATTTGCCGGAAAAGAGAAAAAATCGAATTAAAAATTCTTTACTTTTTCAGCAAATATGGACCTCCAAATGAAAATTTTTCTCACGAACCGTTAGATGTAGAAAAATTCTGAGCATCGCATAAGAACGAGCAGTCAATTTTATGTAAGAAATGTCCACTCGCTTGACTCTCGGACAAAAATTGACGCCAATATAGCCGAATAACGTAATTTGAAAAAAATTCCAGAGTACCCCCTTTGTTCATTTTTTCCAAATTTTTATAAAAAAATTTTTTTTTTATGTTTTGGTGCAAGCACTCGGTCCATCTTATTACAAAAACATGTCTTAGTCTGATCCGCCAACCCAAATTTGCCGGGAAAGAGAAAAAATCGAATTAAAAATTCTTTACTTTTTCAGCAAATGTAGACCTCCAAATGAAAATTTTTCTCACGAACCCTTAGATGTAGAAAAATTCTGAGCATCCCATAAGAACTAGCGGTCAATTTTATGTAAGAAATGTCCACTCGCTTGACTCTCGGACAAAAATTGACGCCAATATAGCCGAATAACGAAATTTGAAAAAAATCCAAGGGTACCCCCTTTGTTCATTTTTTCCAAATTTTTATAAAAAAAAATCTTTTTTTTCATGTTTTGGTGCAAGCACTCGGTCCAGCTTATTACAAAAACTTGTCTTAGTCTGATCCGCCAACCCAAATTTGCCGGGAAAGAGAAAAAATCGAATTGAAAATTCTTTACTTTTTCAGCAAATATAGACCTCCAAATGAAAATTTTTCTCACGAACCGTAAGATGTAGAAAAATTCTGAGCATCGCATAAGAACGAGCAGTCAATTTTATGTAAGAAATGTCCACTCGCTTGACTCTCGGACAAAAATTGACGCCAATATAACCAAATAAAAAATTTGAAAAAAATTCAAGGGTACCCCCTTTGTTCATTTTTTCCAAATTTTTATATAAAAATTTTTTTTTTATGTTTTGGTGCAAGCACTCAGTCCAGCTTATTACAAAAACATGTCTTAGTCTGATCCGCCAACCCAAATTTGCCGGGAAAGAGAAAAAATCGAATTAAAAATTCTTTACTTTTTTAGCAAATATAGACCTCCAAATGAAAATTTTTCTCACGAACCGTTAAATGTAGAAAAATTCTGAGCATCGCATAAGAACGAGCGGTCAATTTTATGTAAGAAATGTCCACTCGCTTGACTCTAGGACAAAAATTGACGCCAATATAGCCAAATAAAGAAATTTGAAAAAAATCCAAGGGTACCCCCTTTGTTCATTTTTTCCAAATTTTTATAAAAAAAAAAATTTTTTTTTTATGTTTTGGTGCAATCACTCGGTCCATCTTATTACAAAAACATGTCTTAGTCTGATCCGCCAACCCAAATTTGCCGGAAAAGAGAAAAAATCGAATTAAAAATTCTTTACTTTTTCAGCAAATATGGACCTCCAAATGAAAATTTTTCTCACGAAACGTTGGATGTAGGAAAATTCTGAGCATGGCAGAAGAACGAGCGGCCAATTTTATGTAAGAGATGTCCACTCGCTTGACTCTCGGACCAAAATTGACGCCAATATAGCCGAGTAACGAAATTTGAAAAAAATCCAAGGGTACCCCCTTTGTTCATTTTTTCCAAATTTTTATAAAAAAAATCTTTTTTTTCATGTTTTGGTGCAAGCACTCGGTCCAGCTTATTACAAAAACATGTCTTAGTCCGATCCGCCAACCCAAATTTGCCGGGAAAGAGAAAAAATCGAATTAAAAATTCTTTACTTTTTCAGCAAATATAGACCTCCAAATGAAAATTTTTCTCACGAACCGTTAGATGTAGAAAAATTCTGAGCATCGCATAAGAACGAGCGGTCAATTTTATGTAAGAAATGTCCACTCGCTTGACTCTCGGACAAAAATTGACGCCAATATAGCCGAATAACGAAATTTGAAAAAAATCCAAGGGTACCCACTTTGTTCATTTTTTCCAAATTTTTATAAAAAATTTTTTTTTTTATGTTTTGGTACAAGCACTCGGTCCAGCTTATTACAAAAATGTGTCTTAGTCTGATCCGCTAACCCAAATTTGCCGGGAAAGAGAAAAAATCGAATTAAAAATTCTCCACTTTTTCAGCAAATATAGACCTCCAAATGAAAATTTTTCTCACGAACCGTTAGATGTAGGAATATTCTGAGCATGGCAGAAGAATGAGCGGTTAATTTTATGTAGAAAATGTCCACTCGCTTGGAACCAAAATTGACGCCAATATAGCCGAATAACGAAATTTGAAAAAAATCTCTCTCCGACAATGAGCGTTTCTGGCCTTGAATTTAATTTGTGCGAAAAATGTTTAATAAGCATCTACGCTACAAGATAAGACTTACCTGCCAGCTTTTATTTAAACGCGTGGTTTCTTGATATAGAGCTGAATTTTTTAGTGCATTTCCAATAGCGTAACATGCATTCCACCTAACCTACAAAATGATACATTTTATTAACGTTTGTATTTCTTTTCTTTGTTTGATTTCAAGATCAGAAATTTCTATTTGTAACACAATATTAGTTGTATATTTTTCAAAGAAAATAGTAAGCTGGAAAAAATATTTTTGGATACGGTATTTGTAAATAGAATCATATGATAAGTAATAACTGATTTCAAGTCCTTTTTTACTACCATAAATTGAGATGTTATACTACTTGTAAACTTGTATACCTTCATGTTTGAACCCGTGATGCAACTTTTGACGAGAGCATCGAAGGCTTCGTCTATTATTTGGCAACACTTTAGATCGTTAAGGAAACTTTTATTTACTATTTGAATGAGATTTCCTAAAGCTCTTACTGCATTCATTTTAACCTTATCGTTGTCGGATGAGCTACTGACACCAATTTGTATTAATTTGATGATAAGTTCTCGAGGTATTTCTTCTATGCCTTCATCTGTTTTACTAAAAATATAAAAACAAAATTATAAGATGACCGGCTAAACATTCTGACCAATAAATATAGAAAAATACTTATTATCAGTAATTATGGCTTACAAAAAATCAAATGTATCAGAAACTTACTTATTTAACATAAGGGCATCGCTCAAATTACCCAAAGACCACGAAGCTTTAATCCTAACCATTAAATTTTGATCCTGCAAGGTCCGATAAATTGCTTCTGCAGTATCAACAACAAATCCGGGATCCTACAAAAAATTATATTAATAAACCATTTATTATAACTAGACTTCGGCAAATATGCATATTGCATATTGTGCATATTTTATGCAAATATTTCGTATTTTGGCATATTTGTATAAAAGTTTGCATAAAGTGCATAAAAGTTCAGATTTTTATAATGTATTTGAAAATTTTTAAACATTCCAATTTATTTCAATTCTTGTATAAAATTTTGTAGTCATTTTAATCAAGAAATGATCTAAGTACGTAATCTCTACAGGTACAAAACATTTACAATTTCAAAGAAGATCAATTTAAGTAGCCCTCAACATTCTTAGAAAGTCTCGGTCACTGAGGCATTCAGTTATTGGATAATCGCTAAGGGTTCGCTCATTTGCATTTTATGATCTAATTCCCAAATCTATCTACAATTTATTGTATCTTAACAGCAGGTAAACGGCTAATAGTTTTGTTCCTAATTTAGGGATTTTCCAAAATCTCCCAGTTTATTGAATTAGGTACCTAAACATTTCTAATTTGATGCTCAGATTTGTAAATCATTTTTGTTTTGATATTCAAAGCGTAAACACTCGTTGTGCGTAACAAAAAGGAAGATTGTGATTTTATAATGCCTAAAACAACCAGTGCTTCAACTTGGATTAAACCTTATAAAGAGCTGTCTATGGATATGGGAAAAATCTACTGTTCAGTCTGTGGCAAAATTGTAAGTATCTATTATTTTCTATTAAATATCTAATATTTCATACATACAGGGTGTTTCCAAATGACACTTACAACATTTGACTGTAGATACTTCTCGAAAAATTGAACAAAACGATATAGTTAATGAGGGGTCAAACTTATTTACTTTTCGAGATACAGGGTGTTAAAATTAAAAAAAATTAAATTCTTTTAGTTAATAACAATAACTTTAAAACCAATAAACGTATTTACTTGAAATTTAGTACTCGTAGGTTGTTTTTAAATGAAAAATAGCTTCCTTTAGTGAGAAAAAATTGTCCATGGTACAATACAATGGTGTGTATTTAGAAAAATTGTTCACCTTTACTTTTTTTTATGAAGTCAGCTATTCTAAAACACAATTATTTTTATTGTAATTGAATTAACAAAAAAAAAACTTTTGTTGAATTTTAAAATAAGTTATATGATGTACTAATGGTTAGTAACAAAAACTAATTTGTGGATTAATACTGCATTTAAAACACTTAGCGAGTGTTTTTTTTTCCAAACCAGTTATTTGATTAACCAAAAACACCTTGTATATTTTTATATTTTAAAGGTTGGGTTAAAATAAAGATTTTTATTTTTATTTATCGATAGCATGTGAGAAGAAATTTCAGATAGACCAACATGTGAGAACTGCTTCACACATTGCAAAAAAAGGAAAAATAGGAGGAAAACATCAAACTTCAATGGCTAAATGTTTCCAATCTACTTCAAAAAAATTAGATGAGCAAGAAACTTTTAATGAAGACTTGTGTCGCGCATTAGTGTCTGCAAACATACCGCTTTCAAAATTAGCAAATGTAAATTTTAGTTCGTTTCTAAAAAAATATTACAAACTTAATGTTCCAAGTGATCGGTCTCTAAGAAGAAATAATGTGAACGGGCTATACTCGTCGGTGTTAATTAATATTAAGGAAGAAATTGCAGATAATTATTTTTACATATCTGTAGACGAAACCACTGATTCCTCAGGAAAGTATATTGCTCATTTATTGATTGGTGTTCTTAAAGAAGATACCTTACCAAAATCTCATCTTATTTCATGCCAGCAACTTGAGAAAACAAATGCTTTAAGTATTTCGCGTTTTATACAAGAAACATTAGCAACTTTTTTTTCCAACTATTCCTTCTAATAAATTACTGCTTATTTTATCGGATGCTGCTCCTTATATGGTGAAAGCAGGACAAAATTTAAAAATATTTTTCCCAGATTTAATACATGTTACTTGTGTAGCGCATGGATTAAACAGAGTTGCAGAGGAAATACGGAAAAAGTTTCCTCTTGTAAATACCATGATATCCAGTGTCAAAAAAGTATTTCTTAAATCTCCTATAAGAATTCAACTTTATAAAGAAATGCTACCTAACATTCCTCTTCCACCACAACCTATTTTAACGCGATGGGGAACATGGTTAGAAGCAGCTAATTTTTATGCAGATCATTTTGTTAAAATAAAGAACATAATTGATACGTTAACAGATGAAAGTTCCCAATCTCTTTTGGATTCTAAACAAACTTTTCAGAGTAACTTGCTTCAACAAGAACTTTCATTTATAAAATCAAATTTTAGTTTTGTTCAAAAAACAATTACTCAGTTAGAATCACCAAAACTGTCATTGTTCGAAAGTACAGCATTAATAAAAGAATTTGCGTCATGTTGTCGGAACGTTAGAGGTAATATTGGAAAAGATATTTTAAAAAAATTTGAAGCTACTATGGAAAAAAATAAAGGTTACCATATTCTTTCTGAAGTAGTCAGTGTTCTAGCTGGAAATATTTCGGAAACAATAAATTTAGAACCAAATGTTTTGGTTAGTTTGAAAAATGCTCCCGTTACATCAGTTGATGTTGAACGAAGTTTTTCCATATATAAATATATGTACTCAGACAGAAGCCACAAGTTTTTGTTAGAAAATTTTGAACACCACTTGGCCATTTATTGTTACCATAATTCTAAATAAGTTTATTCATACTTAAAAATGATGTAGTTACTTAAAATAAATGTAAATCTTAATGAATAGTAGGAAATATTTAGTTATGTACACTTTTTTTTTTTAAATAAAATTGTTACTATTTTACGATTTTTTTATTTATTTGTATGCATATTTTGTAAAATATTTGCATATTTTCGGGTAAACACGTGCATATTTATGCGCATATTTTCTACATTTTTATTTGCATATTTGCCGAAGTCTAATTATAACTTTAGCAAAGCTATTTAACATACACATACAGTGCTAGCCAAAAGTCCCTTCTGCCCTCGTATTTTTTGAACGGTTAGTTAAATTTGGAGGGAGGACATAAACGGACGTAGTATTCTCAACTAATAACAGGTGATGTAATAGTCGTAGATGAGGTTACAGTTACAGAGCAACTGTGAGCGATAATTTTAAATAGGACCTTATGACAAGTGATATCTAGCTGATTTTGTTCAATAAATTAAATAAATACTAAAACTGTATTTTTCCAATTAATTAATAAAGATTTAAGAACCAGTTCTTATATTAAGTGTTCAAAATGTGCTCCATCTACTTCCTCAAACGTGTCGGGGGAAATTGCCCTACATACTTCAACAATTCTTTGTTTTAAATGTTAATATATTCGGGTGCTAAAGCATAAACCTTAGATTTCAAGTATTTCCACAGAACAAATCTAATGGTGTGAAGTTCGGTGACCGAGCTGGCCAATCTATCGAACCTCGTCGTGCAATCCATCTACCACGATATTCCTCATCTAGGTAACGTCTTACTGTACCATAATAGTGTGCAGGAGCACCATCTTGTTGAAACGATATTTCCAATTAATGGCTCAATGGCTTGCGTTTTGTAACATCTCCAGATACACTTCATCTGTTAAGTTAGCATTGAGAAAAACAGGCATAACTATGTGGTTTACCAAAATAGTTGCCCAAACAATTTACCTTTTCTGGAGAATTTGTGTCACTCTAATACCCCTCACATTGTGTGTGTTAACATTTCCATTGGCGGAAAAAGTACTTTTGTCACTAATCAAATTGTTTTTATGTGTTTATGATTTCTTTTTGAATGATTGCACAGTAAAAAATGTTGGTACGCAATATTTAACTACAGAATAAACAAGAGCTAAGCCCAAAGTCCTGAGTGTTGATGCCAATGCTCTCCTGTTGTGTCGTAAAGCTTCTGAATGATTTCTATTTTTTAGCTTGTCGGCAACTGTACTTAAATGTTCTCTAAAGCTTATCGTTCTATCTAAAGTCAGTAGATATTTTAAGTAGTAATTGTGGTTGTCATCTTGAAGCCAAATGATTGTTTAGAGGGAAAAAGATTACTTTGGTTTTAGAGGCGTTAGATCAAAGTCACCATTTTTGAAAGTAAATTCCCATTAAGAACAAAAACAGAAATCATACGATTTTTACTTGGCGAAATCGAATTCAAATCTCAGCCACCGTGCTTTCTAAAACTTGCAAAGCAAACAGCTTGATGAATAAATCGGCAAGGGAATCTAGATTGCATTCCAAATGCCGTTCATCATGGCCAAAATTCGTAGTGAATTCAATTTCTGGTACTCCAAACGAAGTAAAGAAATAAGCAAAATGACGGTATTAGATTTTGATGCGATTCGATTTTGATTCGATTTTTATTCATCAAGCTGTTTGCTTTGCTAAGTTTTAGAAAGCACGGTGGCTGAGATTTGAATTTTATTTCGCCAGGTAGAAATCGTATGATTTCTCTTTTTGTTCTTAGATGGTGTAGTTACGTCTGTACATAGTTATTTTTGATAACTATGGTCTACGACGGGAAAAGATTTTGTTTCGATACGGAGTAGTGGCTATACCCTACTGAAGAGACCTAAAGAGGTCGAAATACTATATGCGGCTTGTCGCTGCTGTGTATCGAATCAAAATCTAATACCGTCATTTTGTTTAAATTCCCATTACTATTGGGTCTTCCATCAGAATCTCTTCAGCTTCATCTAGGGATTTGATTTGTGTTAAATAAAGCCCAGTCATCGGCATAGCCAAACTTTGTTGCTTGCTTAAAATTTGATAAGATATATTTTCACAGAATTGTAATCTTCTAAAATTTGTTTTTAGCCAACAATCGGTGTACTGTCCTTTGAATGATTGCACAGATAGACGCAGCTTGGGCTGTAGAAGAAGTAGGGCTCACTTCGATTTCTGCAATTATGCAAATTTTTTTTCATCACTAATTGTTGGTCGAGCAGATCGTTTGGCATCTTGAACGCTACCTGTTTCTTAAAATTTCCGAAGAACCACCCTCAATAAGTTCTCGATATAGGCCGACCGGAGTACCTCTCCATAAAAGGAAGTTTTCGCTGCATGGAAATTGTTTCTACATTCAACAATTATTAGGAAAACTGCTACTTTGTCGGCTACAGTACGTACCAGTCTGCCTATGTACAAATTATATTGTTTGTTTTATGAATTAATGTGAAAATCGCAGCTTTCGCTATTTGGCACTGAGAAGCTTTATTTATTTAAGACTTTCGTGACTAGACAAAATACCAAGTGTTACATATGGTTGAAGTCATATTGAAATGAGGATTCTAATAATAATACAATATACAGAGTGTTTTATTAAAAAAACCAAAGTGACTAATGATATTAGAAAAATGGTAAATCGTGCAAACTTCAAATTTCAAATGTTCATATTGAGGAATAGGCGGGATCACGGTTTTTGTACAATTCGGGCCACCCGTTTAAGGGATAATTAGGCGTTTATAGACTTTTTGTTGAAATGAAGTCTTTGTAACAGCTAAACAATGCAGTTTCTTGTTGGGTATACATCATTTATAAGCAAAAAACACCAACACAGAAAAAATCAGAATGCCCACTCTCAGATGCCGCCTTTGAACTTTTTCAGCATGCGCGCCATGTTTTAGAAGGAAACACATAACACAGACATATGATTTGTGAGGTTATGTAATTGTTTATATTTATGTTTAATTATAATATATTTATGTTATTATATTTAACAATGTTAATATAATTGTATAGTATGTCTATGATTGCCGTAAATCAACTAAACCGGGTTAATTTTTCTATGCACACCACATAAACAACACTGGTTCCCTTTAAAACATGGCGGAACGTCTGCGCGAACGAGATGCGCGTACTTAATTTTCCATGGAGAGTGGGCATTCTGATTGTTTATTATTCTGTGTCCTCAAATAGACGCAGAAATAAAAAAAAAATCTATTATATATTTATTATTTTTACTAGATTGTATACTTACTTCTCTTAACGATGAATACATCACGCAAATAGCCAATGCTCTCACTGCAGCAGCTTTCACGTTTTTTTCCTCATCTCTCGTACAGGAAAACAAAAGAGTGACACATACAATCTGTTTATCTCTCTAAAATAGATAAAACATTTAAGAATACATTTTACATAATCCTATATTCGTCTTTATAGATAAAGAAGTTATAATATAAAGAGATTAACGTATTGGATGAGTAATAAAGAAAAGAAAAAACTGTGTAAATGATACATAATGCGATATATCATTCAATTGGTAAGAGAATAGTGCAGCGACGAGATAGAGACTAGCGATGCGATTTATTTTAGGTAGTTTAATTTGAATTGATGGAGCAATGAGTGCCCCGTTGTAGCATAGGGACAAAACAAGCAACGATACTAGATTTAAAATTTTGTTTGTTTATCACGTGACATGCACTGACAAGCTGCAGACAGTCGTTAAATTCTTTATGCTATACATGAGAACATAAATGTTTTTGAGAACGTCGTCAATGTGTTCATTATTTCCTTTAATTTGTAATGCACCTGACTACATTTGTATTTTGGCAACGCCGCAATAGTTCAGGTGTATGACAATTACTCTATAACCGCGCTCAGTTTTTCTGTCTGCTTCCATTTCAGTTGGTACGTTTTAATTTCCGTTCTTTTTGATCTTAATATTCCCCATGTTAGATGTGTAGACCCATGTCCCAAAGCTCGCTGCTATGTCCTTCAAAACACCTGACTGCCGGTTTACAAAGTGAACATACTTGAACCTGGATTTCAATTACTCTATAACCGCGCTCAGTTTTTCTGTCTGATTTCATTTCAGTTGGTACGTTTCAATTTCCGTTCTTTTTGATCTTAATATTCCCCATGTTAGATGTATAGACCCATGTCCCAAAGTTCGCCGCTATGCCCTTCAAAACACTGATTGCCGGTTTACAAAGTGAACATACTTGAACCTGGATTTCTTCATTTCTCTTTTAATCCCCAATCTCCCTTCCAGGCTAAGTTACTTTATAATAGAAACCGACTGTACATACAGTAAACGCAAATAGTATAGTATTAGTTAGTTATATGCAGATATACAATTAAATTATTATGTTTTGTATTTTTAAATGCAAATACTTACCGGTAACTTTTCAAAAATATCAGATCCTATACTTCCCAAACAATCACAACCAACTGCTTTTAAAACTGCTTGATCTTCACACTGCAATAAATCTATTAATGGCCCACTCAACAAATTCTGCCAAAACGTCAAAAAACTTTCAAATGGAACGGTATCCTTTATTTCTGCAAAAACAAAGTAAGCTAAGATATTATATTCTGTAAATATTTACGCATATTATTGTAATTACCCACAATTTAAACGTTGTAGGTATAGGTTATTCCACGAATATACGACTGTTTTGGATTATTGCGATAACGAATATTTTACTGTGCAAGTAAAAGTATGAAAGTAAATTGGTAAAATTATTTCAGTTAATAGATGTTCAAATAGATGCAAAATTTATTGTGAAATTTAATCCAAAAATAACAAAAAATTTTACGCAAACGCTCCTACAAATAAATACAATGACGTCTATGAAGCCAAATGTGTTCATCAGACATTTAGGTTGGATTTCGGTGAAATGTAAACACCAAAGAGGAGTGCCGGATTTCTTTGATATTACACTATTTTATTACTTTATTAGGTACAACTGCAATAAAAAGATATATACCATTTTTAATATAAATGAAAAGAAATTGGCAAAACGATGGTTCAGAAATCAGAAAAAGAATCTAATATTTCACTTTTTTAATTTTAAATATTTGTTTGCTTTTAGAGGATGTACTCTTAAAAGTTCCGAAAGTAACGGGTATATCATACCGGCTATTTATAGTTAAAGTACCGAGTCGTTACAGATATTAAAAAGTTTAACATTAAAAGTTCAACATTTACATACAGTTTCATATATCGCCGACTGATTTTAGTTTTAAAAACCATCCGTATAGAGGTGTCTGGTGAAGAGAGGTATACGTTAAGAGAGTGTTTAGTGTAGTGTATTTGTTCATAGAAGCCAAAAATGCCGAGATGTTTTTTAGATGTCGACAACTTTATATTTAATGTACTTTCTTATTTTACTGCTGAGAAAACCAACGAGGACTCTTTGCGACCAGTTTTGTATGAAAGAGCTAGTGTCGTTCACAAAAGAATAGAATTCAAACGAATTTGGCAGGACGAAAGTATAAAATCCATAAAACACATCGATAACTTGAAGAAGCAAATCTTTTGTTTTCATCAAAATCAGCCGATTATCATGACAATATGATGTAGATGTTTGTGAAATGGTTGAAAGAAAAACTTTTGCCAAGTTTACATGAACCATCCGTTATAGTACTGGATAATGCTACTTACCATTCGGAAATTTAAAATAAGTAACCAACGAACACCTGGACTGTAGATAAAATAAAAGAATGGTTAACGAATAAAAATATTACATTTCCTCAATACTGTTTTAAGCCCCAATAAGTAACGTTGGCTAAAAGTAATGCACAACCAAACATATATTTATAGTAGACGAAATTATACATAGTTTTGGATTTAATGTGTTGACTAGCGCCCTATCATTGCCAATTCAATCTAATTTGGGGGATATGCAAAACATATTATAATAACCATATTGAATACAAGGGTTACAGTGACGAGGCAGTCTTGGAAACTTGGCAACAAACATTGGATATTGCCACTCCTGAAATTTGGGAAAAAAGTGTAAAAAAATGTGAAGACTTAATTGAAGAATGGTGGATCCGTGAAGGTCGCATCGAAGCAGTTAATCCTGTTTAATAATTTACCATCCGAATGAGGATAGCGACGATAGTGATTATGGCTGTGAACCCGATGGTTGATGATAGTTTTAGGAGATTGGGAAAATAAGAAAATAAGTAAGTTTTTTGTTTTTTTTAATACTAATTAAATATTCGATTCGTTTAAATCACTTAATTCAAAAACCAACTTCTTTACAGTACTAAACTCAATGATAGTAATGTTACGATAAATATGTCTATACTACGTTCCACGTTTAGAAAATAACATTGCGGAGATAGGGCCATGTATTTCTTATGGACGATAGAAACGCGGCGTTGCCACGACACACACAAGCACACAAGCAATTATTTAGGGTTATATAATTTATATTTCCGTTTCCACAAACATGAATTAAATTAATGTTTTTTAACGTAATTGACCAAAAGTTCCCATTCGAAACAAGAGATGAAAAGTAGGGAAAATGATTTTAATTAGATAAATAGTATTTACAAAAGATAATTTTATTTTATCTTATTTTAATTATAGTAACGAAAGTTTATTTGTTTTTCGGTGAGAATACGATATGCTATGAATCATAGAAATCAGTAGAAAATATTGACTGCTTGGAATGCGTATATCTAATTACTAATTGCAACTTAAAATAATACGATGTGCGTATGTCAGCTATTTTATGTCGTTCTCTGACTACATAATGATAATAAGGCTTTTATTTAGTAGTTATTCTGACTTTACAGTTAAATGTTAATTAAAAATGAAAATTCAAAAATTAAGCAAAGGGAATATCTTGGACATCCGTGCAAAAGAGAGTGTCTGAGAGTTTTGGCAACACTGATCTCCATAAGCGTAATGTTATTTTCTTAACTTGAAATAAAGAATAGTAAATATTTTAATTCTTATATGTTCTAGATTTTACCTGATGGTCGAAATTCCAGATAATACCTACCTGACACGATGGGCTCCCCTCCGAAATAAAAACAATCGAACCTTCTGGAAACGGGCCGCTATAAAAAAAAGCCAGTTTGAGATCATTCGCCGCTCTGTCTGTTGTGGGATTTTCCTTCCTAGCTGAGAAGGACATCGAACCTTCGACGGGGTTCCATTCTATGGGGGAGATCAGTGAGAAGATATATCGCGCCGAGTTTTAAATGTAACGCTCATATAAATAAATTATTGTAAGATAAACTAGTATAAATAAACTTTAAATTATGTTGTAAGTGTTATAAATATAGAACCTTTGATAAATAATAAAAAAAAACAATAAATTAGAATTAATAAAAGAATAACAGTAATTATATACTTCAAAATCTGAATTACAACTGTTCTATAAACTATCAATTATATATTCTTAATATTTAAATCTAAGGTTTATATCTGTCATGACAGTATTTTTAAAATGGGGAGAATTTACTATTGTACAATTCAGCACATTGGACCATTTCAATCGATACCTTAAACCGAATTTAAAACAGTCGTATATTTGTGGAATAGTATATTACCTGATTATCATTATATTATATTAATACCTGCTGTGTAACTGGTTCTAGTGTATTGGGGTTGTATAATTAGTAGTAACAAATTTGCGAAATATAACATCCATTTCGGAGCATTAAAGCACTGAAAATTAAGGATTTGCAGGTAATCCAGAATATAACCAAATTAATCTAATATTATTTTTTTTAAATGCGATAAAAAGGATCTTGAGCATATATTGATATATTCATTCTAGATCCAGTATACAGATTGAACCAATTTAAAACGGATCATACAATTTAATATATGTCTGTTTGAACTGCATTTGAAATAGTGCACCGATATAAAACTTGGACAAAAATAAATCCATACCCGGTGATAAGACATTGTATAAAATATCGTTCAACTATCTGTCTCCTTTTAGGACGCACCATAGTCTATAGTGCCGCCCAAAGTCAATGTTGCCAATCGCCGTGCAATAATCCGATTTTCGGATCTTTTTGAGAGTTATATCTTCTTCGTATCTTTAAATAAATCGGATATTTGCCTATATTTTTCATTGTATTTACCAATATATTACAACAAACTAATAACAACAATAAACGTAATGGTTTGTAGTTATTTTCTTTCTTTCCTGTAAATATTTTATGGTTAACACCTTATTTGAGAAACGTCTAGAGGAATGAGATTGGCAACACCGCGCAAAATATCCATCTGCTTAGATAAATGAAAGAGGGGCTTGCCTAAGGAAGCGATAGGTGGTTTGACAGCATAATAAAATCCTAGATTTGTGTAGCTTTCAATTTTTATACGTAATGGGCGGGGCAACCTATTTGGGTGGAGTTTTGACTTGTTCTTGAATGAGTTCAGAATCCAGCAGCCCGCTGAAGTATTTGATTTTTATAATATAATTATTTGACAACCTTTTGTTGGCCAACCACCTAGAGCGGTTTCCTTTTTTTTACACTGTTTGTATTCTGGGAACGATTTCCGAAGTGGAATTGAAACGTCAATAAATGTATTTTTATCTTTAATTGTGGCTTATTCCCAGTTAAATAGTAAGTAGAGCAATTTATTTACCTCTATTTGTAAGATATCTAGATATTGCTTGTCCAATAAAATCAATGGCACGACCGGCATGCAATCTCAAATCAGCATATTTGTCACTCAAAGATGTATGAAGTCCCTTCGTTATATAAGATAAATATGGCGCTATTAATATTTCAAAATAGTTTCTGGTTACAGCCGAGATCACTTGTAGAGATTCTAATTTTACAGGAACGGGAACTACTAAACTATTATGTTCTCTTGCGTTGCTTGCACACTAAAACAAAGTTTATTAAATTATAATACAAAAAAGTATGCGAAAACATTAAAAATAAATATTCCAAAAACCACAACGTTGAAACCCATTACAGTGGTTCATAACTTTTCTGATACTCCTATTTTGACCATGGCTACTCAAGCTTTAGCAAAAGGTTTCAATTACTCTGTTAACCCAAGTCACATTACAATTCTGACATCTGTCATCTTACAAAATGAAGAATCCTTCTCCAGATTACCTTCAGAATATGCTGAAATCACGACACAAGACGTCGCTAGAATTCTTAGAAACTCAAAGCTTCCTACTCCGAACATTAGCCAATCCGAGAAAAAAACCCTAAAAGAACTTCAAAGAAGAAGTCAAATCCAAATCTAGTCATTTTTTCAGCCGATAAAAGGCAATGTCACCGTCATCCTAAAAACTTCTTCTTATATTAATAAACTATCAAATCTCATTAATACTCCAGACTACAGACCCATTCCTAATAATCCAATAACCTATCTGAAGAAAACAACAAAAGCCATTATCAATAAAATCTCTCTTCAAACATATATTAGAGAAATATCCAGCACTAACGCCAAAGCGCATGCTGTGCAATATACCAAACAAACTTAGTGACATTTTAGGTCTACAGTACAATATTTCAAACATAAAAAGTTTCTTAACCTCAATTAACGTTTTAAATGCTATCTAAACTAACATTATAAATGTAATTTATTATATAGACCACTTATTTCTCATTAAGTATTGTATGTCCAACACTTATTTCATCTTCCAAAATCAATTCTACCAAATCTTCATCTTCCAAAATCAATTCTATGCCAATTTTATGCCTCAAGATTGGAGAGCGTAGAAGTAGCAACACAAATCTCATCGAGTGATAAGAGCCCAAGTTGTGTCGTGGCTATATTATGATTTGCCAGTTGATCATGGTGTATGTGTATATTATACGTTTATATTGGGCAAATATTTTCGAATTTTTCCGCCCATAAAGTGGCGACTTCAACCAAATGCATCCAAAACAGAAGTTAGCTGCTTTCACCTGAACAATAAACTTGCTGGAAAGGAACTCAACACACGGTTTGAAAATACCACACTTACCCACAACAAAACACCGAAGTACCTGGGGGTAACACTAGACAGAACGCTATCATTTAAAGAGCATTTAACAAAAACTGCCCAAAAGTTGAGTACAAGAACATTATACAGAAGCTCTGCGGTACCACCTGGGGAGCATCGGCTTCCACTCTCCGCTCTACTGCCTTAGCCCTTGTTTTGTCGACCGCTGAATATTGTGCTCCAGTTTGGCTACATAGTCCACACGTTTAAAAGGTTGACACTCAGCTGCACAGCACTAGGCAAGAATGATACATGGGGAGTTCAACATCACGAATGCATGGTCCCAAGAATGGAACGTATGGCAAAATAACATGCCCTGCATTACCCACAAGCCAACAGGTTTTGATCTTCCACGCAAAACATATTCCACTCTAAATAGAATCCGAACCAGACATGGCAGATGTGCATACATGCTACATAAATGGGGAAAGAACCCGTCTCCTCAATGTGACTGTTTGCAGAACCAAACCATCGACCAAATTATTCAAGAGTGTCCCTCAAGAAATCTTTAGGGAGGCTTTGGATGACAGACAAGAGGGAGTACGACTAGGTGGAGAAGTAATCAACCATATTAGATACGCTGACGATACAGCCATTCTTGCAGAAAATTTACAAGATCTCCAAACATTACTAAATCTAGTAGGTGAAGCAAGTTATCGGAGAGGCCTTAAAATCAACATTTCAAAGACAAAGTGGATGGCAGATCACCATCACACATAAATACCTTGGCAGCTGGTTAAATGTAAATTGTGACTCTGATGGAGAGATAATAACCAGGATCGAAATATCAAGTAAGGCTTTTATGACGTGGAAACCAGTTTTATGCAACAGAAACCTGTCGATGAATATTCGTAAGAAGGTCCTGAAATGTTATGTGTGGTCCATCCTATTGTATGGTTGTGGGACATGGACGTTAAAAACCACAATGCTAAACAAGTTAGAAGCATTCGAATTGTGGTGCTATAGACGAATCCTAAAGATATCGTGGGTTTCGCACACTTCCAATGAAGATGTTCTTCAAATGATAAATTGAGAACGTCTGCTCATAAACACCATAAAGAGGAGAAAAACAGAATACTTCGGCCATATAATTAGAGGACCTAAATACCATCTACTTCGCCTTGTAATACAAAAAAAAGTGGAAGGAAAGAAATGGATTGGTCGAAAGAAACTTCCATGGCTGCGTAATATTAGACAATGGTGTGATTCCACAGTAGAAGAATTATTTCGCGCAGCAGCCGACAGAGAAAGGTTTCAGGAAATTGTAAATATGATGACGGCCAACGTCTGAATACGAACACGGCACCCAAAGAAGAAGAAGTCCCTCAAGATCCTACAATGGTAGCCCTGAAGACTTCCTGTTTGCAACTTCAGAGTCAATTGATTATATTAATACACTTGATGTTTGTTTGTAACTATTTAAAGTTTGTCATATACCTGTATGACTAGTGTTTGTAATTTTGTTCTAAATGTGTTGTAATTGCCATACGATAAATAAAAATAAATACGTTTATACTTTTATTTATAAATTAACTGTGCATACTTCACCTCTGTTGGAGTAAACTGCACTCCTAAGTTACTTAGACATCTTTTTAATAACCAGGGAACTGATTCGTCTTCTACATATTCATCTTCATCGTCTGAAAATTCGGCATAAACGATACTTTCAGCATCATTTTTACCGTTTTCTTCTGGATTAGAGTCCGTTACATAAGTATTGCCTTCTATATTTAAATTCTTCTTTAACAATATTTCTTTTGTTTCTGGTATGATTGGTTCTGATGCTACAACACAGCCTAGTACTATTAGAGCTGTTACTTGAACAGAAGCATCTAAAATAACAAAACATATATTAATTATTACCATGATATTAATAAAATAATTTAAGTCTACAGAAGACCAAATCTTCTCATTAAAGGAGATACAAACGACTTGTTATAAAGGTAAAGTTTCCCTGCATGTTTTGTTTGTGGATTTTAGACAAGCATATGATAGAGTCAAAATGTATCAAGCAATGGAACATTTGGGTATACCAAAGAAACTGATCCGGCTAGTTAAAATGACACTTAATAACTCTACGTGTGAAATTGCTTGGCAGGGTCACATATCAGATCAATTTACGGTTGCAAAAGGCTTGAGATAGGGAGATCCTTTATCCACTACATTATTCAACTTAGTGTTAGAATCTGTAATCAGAAAATGCAACATGAAAGTGGAAGAAACGATCATGAAAAATGAGCACCAGTGCTTGGCATTTGCTGACGATCTAATGATCCTAGCAAAAACCGAGAAAGAATTAAGAAGAGTTGTGAAGAAAATCATCGAAGCTCAGAAATTCGGATTGAAGCTAAATGAAGACAAAACCAAATATATGATCATGGGAGCGACAGAAGGGAAAAGGAAGACTTTAGTGTGAGGTCAGTAAGTGGTAAAAGCTATAGTTTTAAAAGGGTGGACAAATTTGAATACCTGGGTGTAGTTTTCGATGAAAATGAAAAAGAGAAATGGGAGCTCGAAGCCAGAATAGGAAAAGGGCATAAAAAATTAGGTAGTTTAAGAGCCCTACTGAACTCAAAATACGTTTCTAGACAAGGTAAACTCAGAATATATAAAACAGTAATATAAAACGTGGAAGATATCAGCACCCATAGTACACCAATTACAAGTTTTCATCAGTAGAGCGTTACGAAAAATCCTTCGTATATTTTGGCCTAACCGAATCTCCAATGAAAATTTATGGAACCAAAGCAACCAAGAAAATGTCATAAAGCAAATAAGGCGAAGAAAATGGAGATGGCTGGGTCACACACTCCGTAGACCGCCAAATGACATTGCCAGGACAGCGCTGGATTGGAATCCCCAAGGCCGACGGAAAGTAGGCAGACCTAAGGGAACTTGGAGAAGGACAGTACTGGACGAAGGGAGAAAAATGGGAAAATCCTGGCTTGAAATCAAAGCACTAGCCAGAAATAGAGTTCGCTGGAGACACTTTGTGGAAGCCCTATGTTCCTCTTAGGAATCTTGGGACTATATATATAATTCGACCCACAGTAAATAAGAAGGAAGATGATAATCTGGAAAGATGGAAAAGGAAAATATTGGGACGCATATTCGGAGGACGGAAGACAGAAGATGGTTGGGAGAGAAGAACCAACAATGAATTATTGAGGCACAAAGAATCAGATGGTTGGGACATATGGAAAGAATGGCAGCAAACGGAGGAAGACCTTAAACACGTGAAGGCGAGGGACTGGAAAATAAAAGCACAAAATAGAAGCGAATGGAGAAATATTGTACAGCAGATCCTTCAGAGTAGTTAAGCATGTTATATATACATATTTAAGTTAAAATTTTGTTTAAAATAATTGTAATTAGTTAATATTAGGATTATGTTGTAAAAAAATGCCCTAGGCCTTAACGGCCTGTTGTGCTTAAAAATAAATAAAATAAATAAGTATACAGAAGAACATCTTTATGAACTGAATCATTTATCAAATGGACTAAATGTCAAAAAAATGAGTACTTTCTTTTATTTTAAAATTGTGATATAATTTTTAAAAATATAGAAAACATTATATGAAGCTTCGCGCTAGTGTAGAGTACCACTTTTTTTGGTAGACACCTTGCTAGAAAAAATGTCTGGATTTAAAACTATTTTGTTTCCATTCTAACTAACCTTTATGATATATAAATGGTTTTACGTTCCTCACAATTTTCGTAATCAGCCCTTGGGACATTTTGTGATACGGAGTTGCCTGCACTAAAGCACCCAAACATTTTAACAATTGAATTAAAACTGGAACTGAAGTTTCCACAAGAGCCAGAGAGAGACCCTTATGCAATTCTCTTATGGTCAATCCCAACACAACGGAAAATGGTGTAAAAGAAGTACTTTTGATGCTGAAAAATACACGTTATTAATTATTATTTGTCCTTTTCAATGAATATTTCATTCAAGTACTCACCTATTTTCTGCCTGAGCTAGGTACAGTTTGGAAGATGTTAATAATACCAACAAAACATTTAAAGCAGACATTCGACATCTCGATGAAGGGTCTTTTAAAATGCAGTTGAGTAAATTATGTGGTGCGGATACTGTTCCTTCTGGAATAAAGCTGGACCAATATGAGAACATAGTATATTTTTCGGTGTTCTGGAAAACAACATAAAAATTTACCCTACATAAAAAGGCTTATTGGGAGTGTTGGAAAGTTTGAAGAAATGATGAAATCGATTAATTAAACGAAGAGTATACGATTTATAAAAAGTTTGAGGTTGGCACTGCTGGAATATGTTCAGAGATTCATCATCACCATCAATGGCGCTACAACTTTTAATAGATCTATGGCCGATTACAAGATCATATTTGAACCTGTCTTGCCTATGTCCATTTAAAATATAGAGTTAAATCCAAATACATTACCTTTACAACATTGTAAAATAAATTAAATGCAGCATGTCTGACTTTGCCTTGAACTTGCACTAATTTTGCAGATCTTCCTGATTCGCTGTCTGAAAAATCGGAATCGCTAGTTTTAAATTTATTCCCAGCATTCGAAAGGCTACAATAAAAATATATGTAAATAAATTCGCACCTAAATATATATAATGTATTACTTAATTCCACTGTCTGAATTATATTCTAATGCTGTAGTGGCTGGACTGTATCCTGTTGTTTTTCCATCAAATAAAATTTCTTCTGTCGAATCCTTTTTTTCTTTTTTGGGCTTTGTAGATCTGTGCTTTCTTTGTTTTGTAAGCTGTTAATAAAAAAAAGAAAATAATATATTGAAAATAAGGATAAATGTAACATTTTTTTTTTTAATAAATTTTTAGGCTCAGTAGGTCAGTTTTAACCCCTAAATTTGCTTCATAAGATTTATTTGGCTTAAAAACGTTTAGCAATTTGAACAATGTATTAGTTATAAGAAAATTATTGTTTTGGCAAAATTCGATAAGCCTGTCACCCCTTTTGTTTCTGTTGTCCAGGCCATATCCTCCTGTCCACATTCTTCTACTTTTTCTTCCCTCAACCTTTGCGTTAAAGTCTCCCATTATAAAGTTTCAACATCACTCTCTGGTTTGTCCGCAGTTGGAGCATAAACTTGTAGGATGTTTATTTTGGGTTTGTTCTGGTTTAATCTTCATCAATGTTTTTGTTTAATATTATCCCTACACCTCTTCCAATAATGCTACAGCCCGAATTGGGCCGTGTCCTCCTGTAATGTCTGCATCCAATATTGGCAATCTCCCAGTACACTCCTCCAAGTTCTGGGTTCATCAAATTTTTACGCTGTCACTTTACTCCCGCATATTTTGCGTAGGCTCCCTTTTGGTCTTCTCCCCTTTTAACTGATTTATACTCCAATAACTGTAAAAATTACTTTATAAAATAAATAATACATACCTTGCCTCCTTTCTTCTCTCTTGGTACATTTGTTGCTTCTGGTATGCTTAAAATTGAAGGTAACAACTTTTGTGGTAACATATATTCAATACCTTTGATTCCTAATACCATGAATGATTTTACGACTCCCAAAATTAAGCCTAATTCATTTTTTAAATATTCAGGATGTTGAATTATTATATTTTGAAGTCCGTAAAGACTAACTTGGAGCATCTATAAAACAAATCAAAAATACAATTGAAGCCTAATATTATAAGTTTTGATATAAATTATGTTTACTTAAAAATCTCACATTCAATTTTATTATTAATAATAAAGACCATATTAGAGAATGATAATGCATTGAAAAGTAGTCTAAAAATAAATACAAATAATCTATAATTTTAAAAATAATGTCAACTGAATTACCTTAACATGGATTGGATCCTGGACAATTTGTTGTTTACATAAATATGACAAAAAAATCTCAGCACAAATTTCCAAATGGCTGTGTTGAATGTTGGATTTTTCAGTTGGAACAGCTGTACAAGCTTCAAGACATTGTAAAGAAATTAGTATTATTTCAGGTGACCATCCTTGCTCAGTGTCTTTAATAATCTTGATAACTTCAAAAGAGACTTTATCCAACAGCTAAAATGGTACAAATTATTTTATTATTTTGTGATATATATAATAAGACAAAGTAAATTAATTACTATTTAACTGGGAATAAGCCACAATTAAAGATAAAATATGTTTATTGATTGTAATAATCAATAAACGTATTTTTATCTTTAATTGTGGCTTATTTCCAGTTAAATAGTAATTAATTTACAATGCCACAAGAAAATAGCTTCAGAACAATATTAAGACAAAGTAAAATTATTAAAAGCAAAAATAGGTACGTGGGACGTCAAAAGCGTGTATCAACCTGATAAAATGAGAACATCCTTCAAGAAATGAGAAGAATGAATATAAATATATTATGTGTAAGCCAAACATGGTAGCCTAACTCAGGATACCTTTATAAGCTGATATAAAAAACAAACTCCAACAGAAACTATACAAAAACTTTGACAAATTAGATACTAACACCTATAAGATAAACCAACAATGGGAAGCATTAAAAAACTGCGTCCTAGTTCCATGCAAAAATGTATTAAAAGAACCGATAAATTATTTTATATTCCATACCTGTACAACATAATCCACATTAGTTCTTAATAAGGCATCTAAGGCTTGCAAAATATCAAGAATGACATTTTTATTTCGTATTTTAAAACTATTTAAACACCAATTTATGGCTACAGTCAATGTTCTACCTTCAATAGGTACATTTTGTCTATTAACAAGATTCCATAATAATTGACTACATTTTGGGACAAGTACCTCATCATCAGTTGATACAAAACTGCAGCATTGGTTCACTAAAAGTACTGCTTTCTAAAACAAACAATTTAATTTATCTATTTGCCTAATTAATAGCTAAAAAAACAAATATCACAGCAGAATTCCTGTACAAAATATGTATAAACTATTTAATTTATATGACCTAATTTGGTTCAATGAACAGATGTGGTTCAAGAAACAATGTCAAATGATAATTTAAAAGAAAAAATACATGTTAAGTAATGTTAAAGGCCACTATAATGATTATAACTTAAATTAAAAGTCAGAGTCAGTTCTTATATTAAAGTTTTGTAAGATTACCAAAAATGTGAGTGGACTATAGTCAGGTTATCCTATCCAGGGTATAGGAATACTTAAGTACCTATGACCCTAAATGGACAATTATATTATGTAGTTAAAAATACCTGAAACTTATGTATTTATCTTATCTACTTTTGATAGGAAAGAGCCTATTGAATTTTGGTTAATATGTCTACTTTTTCTTTTCATATTCTTATGCCTCTCCTGGAAGGAAGGGTCCTAGTGTCTTGAAATTTAGTAGATATATTCTGCAATAGGTCCTCTTCTTATTTTCTTTACAATCTTTCTTTTCTTATGCCTTATGGCAATTTTCCTGGGGCTAACTTTCTACTAGTTTGCAACTGTTATTTTAAAACAGTTGCATGAACACTTGACCTAAGAGTTATAGCAAATGATTAAAAAGACTTAACAGTATTAATCCAAAGAATTTCATTGAGGAATTAAAGTTTATTTATTTTTAAACAAATGCTTATTTCATTTTAAGGATTTGTGTAGTTAATACATAATTTTACCTATAACTCCTGTGTACTAGGACTTAAATAAGGTAGAAGCACTCGACATTAATGGGTAAGGTATGAAAAAAATTCTCCTCTGGATGGAAAATGCATAACATAATGAGAACCAATAGAACAGAGAACCAGTGGCTACTGAATCCAGAAATTTGTCAATTTATAACAACTAAATATGAATATTGTTATAGTATTGCTGCATCGTTTAGATATCATAACTATACTAAATCTCAGAGTAAATATAGACATTTCAACTACATTCAAAATTTGAAATGTTAGTAAACAATAGAATCACACCACGTGAGTACAATATTATTTAAGCATTTAAGATTCATAAATAGTTATTTTGTAATACCTGCACAAAATGTCACAAATGCGTTTCTTAATTAAGTTTTATATTAAGTTATTAACATACATACATTGTACAGACTTCAAAAGGTATAAGTAAGGTTAAAATTATTTTTTACTTACTGTTGGATTTGTCACTACTGTATACCTATAATTCAATGAATTTAAATCGTCCAATGTTTTACTTAATATACTGCGATCACCTTCTGTTCTTCCATGAAGTAGATTTGTTATTTTTGATGACAGTTTATTGAAAATTTCCGAGCTGTCAACATTGGCAGCCATTACTCTACATTATATGCGGTGCTGCCACTATAGTGATATATCAGTAAATCTAATAATTTTTGGCTAATTTAAGGAAAATAATATTGTTTTGATACTTTTGTTTTTGCCCTGTTTCTTAGTATTACGATTATTTAGTATTATTTCGGCATAAAAACACGAATGCAATGTAATAAGTTAGAAATTCATGCTTTGATTATATTTAATATACTCTTAAAAATCAATTTTGTTATAATTTTAGCTATGATATTTACGATTTGATTGGATTTCAGGATCAATTTTCATCAAACACAACAAAGACAGATATTCTTTTTAAAAATTGAAGTTCTATTAGGATTTAGAACAAACTAAATCCCATGTTAAATTTTAAATTCTTTTATTTTGAATCATTCAGCCCATTTTTTGAAAGCTACCCGTTTTCAAAACAGAAGCATGACAACACCGCCTGCTAGGTAACAGGTGCAATGGTACCAATTTTAATAAAAAATAAAATCATTGTGTTAACTAGGGCAGGAAGTTTTTTTAATCAAAATTGTAACCAAAATGATACGACAATATCTTTAACGTCACCTCGTGTTAATTTTATTTAGTTACCGATGGAGAAATTTGCAAAAATCCTATTAATTATATTTACGCAAAAACATTAGGTCCGTCCTTAAAAATACTTATCGAAGAACGTAAAAAATTGTAGCGTAAATAGTTCATTTCAGCGTTCTTATCTTTTTCCACAAGCTATGGAATTGGAAAAGCAAACCACCCAAAAACTAAAATCCACAAGGCAATGAAAGATCCAAAACACGAAAGTGGCACAGTTTGGCTGTGAGAAGGAACTTACCAAGAGCTTACAATGACTTGTGGATAATAACAGACAAAAGAAGCGAAATCGACTGGGAAAATAGCGAAATATTAAATTATGCACATGCACACTAATAGATACAATCTTTATAGAAACAGTGTTTAGTTATATTATTACTTGGGAATATTGGCAAACTTTTTTTCTCGCTTAATGCCTCATAGAATGCCATAAACCACAAATACCGTGCAAACGTGGCGTCAGACCACAATCCTCTTGTAGCAAAATTCCAACTTTACTTAAAAAAGATACAAAAAAGCTACAAAAGTGATAAACTAAACATACAAAAATTAAAATCAGAAGACGCCAAAGAAAAACTCAAACAAAAAATTAATGCAAACCTAGAATCCACACCGGAATCAATTGATGGTGATGTAGAACAACAGAAGCAATTCTTTAAAAATGCAATTGTCGAACCAAGTCGTAGAGAACTCACAACAACCAGATGCAAGAAAGGAGATTGAATGACAGAAGAAATCTTGGAAATGATGGAGGACAGAAGACAAAGGAATATCAACATAGCTCAGTATCAACAGCTGCATAATCAAATAAGAAGAAAAATAAGAGAAGCTAAAGAGACTTATTTCGCTAGAAAATGCCAAGAAATAGAAGCGATGCAAATATATTACCGGACGAAGAAAGGAAATTTCAGAAACCGACACAGGCAGTTCTTGGCTTAGTTAAGCCTGTCGAAAAAAACAAATAAAAACATAACTGCTGATAATTGGTTCACCTCAATAGAGCTCTTTCATCTGTTACGCAAAAAAGAATTATTGCATAAGTACAAGGATAATGAAAAAAAATTAACAAGCGGTATACACCTCTGAAATTTTTACCATCGCCTAAAAGATCAGTTGCATCTACGTTATATGAATTCTCCAATGATTCCTTAATACTATAAATCTTTTTAATTCTTATTTTATAATGAGTTGATACTCTAACATAAAGTGCGCAATTATTCTTCTGATAAGCCCTTCAAATATGTACACTATGCTTTTATTTTATACGTAAAAATTCTGCAACGGTATCACAGACCGATATTCGTGAATAACGTAAAATTAATAAACCTCGCCAGTTTAGTTAAGGAATTCGTCTATTTCTGCAGCACTGTTTTAAATACCAATAGTGTAACATGTATAAAATCCAAGTTATAATTAATAGTAAGTTAAAACAACGATAAAGGGATCTATTAACACGTTCAGCCCCGGGTGGCATCAATATGATGCCTCACTAAATAGTACTATTGGGACAGTGAGGCATCACTCTAATGCCACACTACAGTTTTGTATTCGGGACACCGTGGCATCAACTGTGCCCCCACAGCTATATAAATTACATTGTAAGTTGGACAGGGTGGTCAAAGGAGCAAAATAATATTCTGATCGATGAGAGTTTACAAGATATGGAAATTATGAAACTTTATGAAAAAAATAAAAGATTTTATTCAGAATGTGCAAAAATAACTATAATTACACCTTATTATTTTAAAACAGCATTATGTGTTGAGAAAAAACACGAAATACAATAATGTTTTTGGCATTGGTTGCACACAAATTTAGAACGAGAACACTTGTTTTGAGCTTCCTTCCGCCCCAATTTATTCTTCATTCTGACGTAGCAAACCACACGTCTGTTTTTTCTTCCTTCTACAAGCTCATGACTAGCATCGGTGTTATCGTTGATATTAGTTTCAATAGCGGACATTTCACAGTAGTTCTATGCGACTTCTGTTTAAACTCTGTTATAGTCAATTTAGTTTGTGTAACCTGTGTATATACAATATGAGAATTCACCAAGGCACTACCAAACAATATTTCTGTGGCTAATTTCCTGTACCATTTATTCCCTCGTCTCAAGCAATGTGAATACGCTTTTTTCTGATCTGAGAGATCAATACAGGATTTTGAATCATTGTAATCAACAATCATTTTGGGTTTTTCAATTTCTTTGCCTTTGTGTAGATGTTTCAACATTTCATCCCCATGCTTTGTACTAATCATCAAAACATCCCTTTTGTCACACAATTTGAACATTATAACTCCGGAATTACTTTGTAGGGCAATTTTTCATTTATTTTTTAGTTTTTTCTTGACAACCTCGGAACAATTCATTTTTCTGTTTGACCAAACAGTGCCTACAAGGTGAGTTGTACGGCTGAGCAGTGTATGAGCAAGGGTGACGCTCGTGTAATAATTATCAGTGAAGAGAGTACGACCCCTATCTAACAACCCTTCCATAAGTGATAGAACAACAGATAAAGAGGCATTTTCACCACCCTGACTATCTTTTCCACAGTAAATTTTCAGTCATAAGTGTAGCCATTTTCCAAGCAAAGCTTATATAATTTGATACCAAATTTGTGTTTTTTTATTTTTAATATATTGCTTGAATTTCAAGCGACCACGATAAGGTACCATCGTCTCGTCAACACAGACATTTTCTCCTGGAGTAACAATTTGCTGAAATCTAAAAATAAGTTTTGAACCAACGGAGATATTTTGTGAAGGCGATCAAAATCCGATGAGTTTGGTTGCGGCGCTGTTTCATTATTGTTGAAGTGAATATTTGAAAATAATTGCTCAAAACGATTTCTAGACATTTTTTGTCTTATATTGGTAACAAATAAGTAATTTCTGCTCCACTAGTCGCGTAATCGTGGTGCTTTTAGCAATCACATCCATATAATTACCCCAAAGAATATTTCCATTTCTTTTCTTGTAGTTGGTATCCAACGTTTACATTTAGATTTGGCCACAACAGGTCGGCCATTTATCTATTGATCTGCGTATAAATTCGTTTGATCAACTATATAATCGATCAAGTCATCAGTCACAAATAGTTTATAAAAGAAATAAGAAGTTTCTGTAAAATTCTTGTAATATTCCAGTCTTACCCCAGCATTCTGAATAGTCTGCGGAAAAATTTTCAACTTCGCTCCATAATAAATCTGAACTCTCCCCTTCATCTTCTTCTACGACAACAGAAAATGCAGAAATTACAGTTTCTATTGTCTGTTGTATCAGGTCATCTTAAACAGAAATTAGGTATGGCTTTCCAGAATGAACATAAAAGTTTAGAAAAACTTACCTTATTTTCAACGGCCTGTAACACTATTTTTGGTATACAGCTAGGCCTTAGCACTGCAAGATTGCGTTCATCCGGTACTTCACTGATACCATGTAATTTTCTCAGTTTCTTAGGAATTTCTTCGGAAGAATCCGAGGTTTCTGTGTCACTGGGTATATAATCATCTGATGATGCAGAAGTTGCATAAAAGTTGTCCACTCCTACGTCTTCATCTAACATAAGCTCTTCGTATAAACTTACAAAGCCTTTTCTTTTCTTTTTCGTAGGAATCCATCGAAAATATTCTTGTAATCTAATATTTTATAGTACACTCATACAATAACCGTACGGAAAGAGCACCGAACAAAGAATGACTCAGAATATACCGTCAAATACTTCCGTCGCTTCATACAAGAATGAACAAGTTTGAGGCATCACGTAAATGCCACGCTGTGCAGACAAACAAATTAATAGTCCTCGGAGAGCGAAACATCAATGTAATGCCTCAAAAATGTTGAGCAAAGGCATCCACGACTCCCGTCTTATTTACAAAAAATAAAATGCTGACCAATGGACAAGAAAAAAATTATAACACCGGGGCTGAACGTGTTAATCCCTAACCGATGAACGAAGAAAAATCACACAATATGGACACTGGACAGGTATAAAAATCACATGTAATTTACTTCGAAAAATATTATTATATGCATTCTATTAAATAATTAATGTAAAATAAACAATTTAAATAAAAATTAATCTAATACATATTATTTAAAATCGTTTTGAAATTTGTATTACATACTGTAATGTAATAAATTTAATGACTGTCATTATTTTTGTCATATTCCGACCATATACTGTCCTATTAAATAAAGGTAAAATAATTTAGGTTTTCAGTGTTGGCAGCTCGGATTTTCTGCACGTGTGCCGTGATAAAACAGCTGTTTAGTGTCTGCTTGACGAAAATCCTCGAATAGGTTCGTCGGAATGAGCGAGCTCTCCACCAAAAATCAGTCGGTGTTGAATTTTCGAGGAGTCTGTGTCGAATAAAACTCAAAATTCTTCATGATCCAGGGTCGGAACTTTAAAA